GGTTCCCAGATGAAAGGGCCATGCAAATATTACCTGTACGGTGCCTTACCTGGTCCCCAGATGAAAGGGCCACACAAATATTACCTGTACGGTGCCTAATATGGTCCCCAGACAAAAGGGCCATGCCAATATCACCTGTACGGTGCCTTACCTGGTTCCCAGATGAAAGGGCCACACAAATATTACCTGTACTGTGCCTTACCTGGTCCCCAGATGAAAGGGCCACGCCAATATAACCTGTACGGTGCCTTACCTGGTCCCCAGATGAAAGGGACCACGCAAATATCACCTGTACGGTGCCTTACCTGGTCCACAAATGAAAGGGCCACGCAAATATTACCTGTACGGTGCCTTACCTGCTCCCCAGAAGAAAGGGCCACGCCAATATCACCTGTACGGTGCCTTACCTGGTTCCCAGATGAAAGGGCCACGCCAATATCACCTGTATGGTGTCTTACCTGGTTCCCAGATGAAAGGGCCACGCAAATATTACCAGTACAGTGCCTTACCTGCTCCCCAGATGAAAGGGCCACGCAAATAGTACCTGTACGGTGCCTTACCTGGCTCCCAGATGAAAGGGCCACACAAATATTACCTGTACGGTGCCTTACCTGGTTCCCAGATGAAAGGGCCACGCAAATATCACCTGTACGGTGCCTTACCTGCTCCCCAGATGAAAGGGCCACGCAAATATCACCTGTACGGTTCCTTACCTGGTTCTCAGATGAAAGGGACACGCAAATATTACCTGTACGGTGCCTTACCTGCTCCCCAGATGAAAGGGCCACGCATACATTATGAAAGGCCCATGGAAAGTATTTCCCGTATACGCGTACGCGTACGGCGTTTTACTGGTAACGTAATCTAGACCCAAGTCCCTCACGCAGTCATTACCTGTAAGGTTTCCAGAGCTAAGAGCCGCACAAATGACTGTTTGTGGCTTATCCACCGAAGTGGAGTGATTATAGTCGTAAAGGTTGACGTTTTTTTGCCCCTAAAAGTTGTGGATAAACGCCGGCAGCCCTCCCCACCGCTAGCTATCGCTCACTGCAGCAGCTGATACCCCGACCAATAGCAGCGTGGAGCTTGCTGAGAAATTGACCAATAGCGGCGTGGCCGTCTTTCGTGGCCGTCCTACCATATTCTAGACCAAGCCATACCTCCTGTGCGGGGACCCACGCTTCCCACAAGCCTTTGCGTGGCGGGTTCAGTTAGCCTCAAAAGGACAGCCTTTAGAGCCCTTTGTCTGCTTTAGTTAGCCTCTACCAGGCTTCTGAAGTTGCTAAAATGAGCGAAAATGGGCAATATATATGTATACAATAGACAGATAACATGTCAGGGTAGTTAGTCCAGTAAAGGAGTACAGTTTGCTGCACCTGTCTATTTGGCCAATTTCTACTCTTTCCAGTTCCTTCCGAAGCCTGGTAGAGGCTATTCTTTGGTGGCAAAAAAAAAAGAGTAGAAATTAGACAGTTTTTTTTTTTTAAATCTGCCATGGAATTAAGCCAACCAAAGAAAGATAGACACTTAATTATTACTTGGCAACTTTCTACTATTTCCAATGAAATTTCGAAAGAAATCTGGCAGGTGGATATGATATGATAGTCTCTTGCCAGACTTTGAGGGCCGGATACAGGTGGAAATCATCCAAACCAAGGAAGTTTTACCTTTTTTAATACCTCCTTGGCCAAACATAGTGCCACTCTGGGTTGCAAGGCTATTAACCTTTTTTTTGGCAAAGTATTCACCATATATGGTCACTTTTAATCCAATTTTCTCGTCCCATAAAATATGATGCAGACCAAGAAGTTTAATACAAGATGATTTTAAACCTCCTTGTGCAGACTCATGATTTTGACGTGACATTCAATACTTAGGATGATGGCTGCAATATTATTGTTTAAAGCATTTTGTTTGACCTCTTCACTATAAGAAATGAGGTTTGAAGAAGGCAAAAGCATTAGATTGTCTTCAAAGTTTAATTTGAGGCAATTCTAAATTCGATCAGTCCTGTTTTCCAAGTTGCCATATAATTTTCAATCATTGAATCATTGGCACAAATGTACAGGAAGCATACCCCTTCTTTCCATATAGGTGGATGAATTGATTTTTTGAACGATACTTATTAAATTTGCATATATATACATTTTTTACTGAATGGGTAAACTTTTCTGGGGATTTTAGCCCAATTTTTTTTTTTCTTGACTGCACCTAAACCACTCTGGGTACGAGAGGAGACAGACGTCATGACCGGGTTAACATCCGGGATAGTCAGACAGCAGCAGAAGGCCAAGATGGCGGACAGTGGAGATAGTTCTGCCGTGGAGAGAAACAATAGCGCCTCGGAAACCGCCGACGAACGCCTCAAGAGGATTTACTCAATGGTCAACGAGAAGGAGACACCTCTCCCCCGTTCGTGGAGCCCCAAAGACAAGTACAACTTCATCGGATTGTCACAGAACAACCTCAGAGTCCACTATAAAGGTTGGCTTCGTCAGTGATTATTTTGATGCGGAGAAAGAAACATGGCAACTCACAGCTGCTGTTTCCCCTTCGTAAAAATCTTCGAGCTTGTCCGTGCCGTTTTCTTTTACGTCTCGACACAAAATTTTAGTACGTACATACGTGTATGACAGAGTGTCTGATGTTTTAGTCATTCCGCAGGGTTTCGGTACCCCTTCTGTAATTCAGTTGCCGTTTTATTTTTGTGCTATAAAAGTTGAGTTGTTTTTAGCAGACTGTGGCGCATCGAGTGTTCCGTGGTGTTTACATGTATGCGGGGGGTATGATGCAATTCCTGAAGTAGTCAGTTTCCCTCAGTACTTGAGGTTTGTCCTGATTTCTCAGATTCTGTCAATGTGGGAATATGTTGTCCCCTTTTCCAGGGCAGACCCACGAACTAGATTGGAAAAAAATTATAAGGATGCTTCTGTCTTCTGGATGCTTTTGCTTGTCTGTATCTTGGTGGAATTTTATAATGATGGGAACGGGAAATTTTTGGGTGATTGGGGTAAAATTATAGCAGGTCAGTTAAGTTATAAATACGGCAAGTCATACCAGCGTCTAGTAATTTTTAGTTGTTTCTTCACATCATGGGCACGGATAACATATTTGGGTACAGATAATTACATCAACATATGCAGTGTCTCAAACACCCTGAGTCCAGACTATGATTATAATGATTATCAATGTCAAATTCCCAGTATTTTCTACCGGTTCCTCGAAAGTCTAATGCGAGTTATGGATCACATGGTTTGAAATGATTTTCCAGTGTTCCCTGCATGTATGAATTCCGCTCAAATTTGCCTAACTAACCTGAAAGCATCCAAGACTCTAAGTGTATTGGAATGCCAGCATTTTAAAGATTTTGGAAAAAAATTATAGGATACTGGTACAAAAGTTATCAGATTTGTATTCATTTCTTATGAATATGGAATATTATCAAGTATGAAAAATGTCATGGAAGGATGACAATACATAGGGAAGATCATGGCTGCTTTTTTAAAGATTAATTTTCAAGAGAAATGTCTCATGATTATGGATGATATATACATAGATTAGGATTTTCTTTTCCAATGACATACCATATGATACCAAGAATGATTATTTACCAATTGTCTACTTCTGTTGCCTTGGTAATGAAATGGGTATGGAAATATTTCTATAAACTTGTGTCAGGATTGTTGTCTATTTTTGGTACTTGGTTTTGTCAAACATTTTTGTACGTGAAACAAATTCCCATCTTGTGGCATTTTTGTCAGCTGTAATATTTCACGGGCACACATGGAATCTCTTTCTTGTCTAACAGGATTTTACAACAGAACTTGCAAGTAAATATCACATCACCTAGAACAATTAAACTAAAGGGCTACCAATTCAAGGTTACACAAAGGCATAAACAAACCAGTTTACAGAGGGGTTAGTTATTTGAGACTTGTACATGAAATAACAGAGATGATACCAAAGATCACTATAATATGACATCTAAACCTGGGATCACCCTGGGATCCTAACCTGGGATCACCTTGGGCATTTCCTGTAGCTTTTTTTTCTCTTTGAAAATTTGACCTTATCCTGACCAAAGTTTTGTTATGAGCCATCAAAATTTACAGGCAGTAACTGAAAGCAGATATACGTGACAAGAACCCATTTTCATGGACAAGGCTAAATAAAGACCATAGTAGAGCCCAAAAGGGGTCACTAATCTGTGGACTGACTGTTTCGTCCCATGGATATTTATCATTCCACCGGATACAATGTATCTAAAGAAATGATTTTCAGTTCACGATGTTGGAAATCTTGTAGCTACTAAAAATTAGTTGCAGACTGCAAAATTTCCTCAGTGATAGCTTCCCATGCTACCTTGAACCTGTGCAGCTAGACATCAGAAATAACTGCACCACTCTAATTTTACCATGAGCTGTTTTCAGTAAAGCAGGAATGTTTTGAGACCTTGTGACAATTTGTTGCTCAAACAGATGCTGTAATGTATGCCATAACAATTGGAATCAATGTCAGGGTGTTATGAATGGCACATGACATGTAGTCAACACATAATGTCAAAATTAGTTGTGAATTCTGAACGTTCAAAATCTGACAATCATTTTGAATTTTGAAGTCAAGAATGGTAGGTTCTATGTTGCAGGTTTTCCATCTTTGCCTTCATTATTCCCACCATTACTTACTGAATTATTGTTATGCCTCATATTTACTAGTTCTTGATAAGCCTGTATGTATAATGTGTATGTTCTTGCTGAATGACAGTGGATATTCCCATGAAAACAAATACAGTTTAATAAATCAAATCAAACAAGTACAGAAATCGGCAGAAACATCAACAGTTGAACAAAAACACAAAATAGCAAGGTGAGGTTGCATTCAATAATGTGTTTTATTATGGATTCACGAGAGATGTTAATATCCAGTCACTGTAAAGTGTAAACATTAATAGGACTAGGGGAACCAGGAATTCGAAGATTACATTTTGGCCTTAACCTCATCAGTACCATGTCTATACATGTACATGTAGTATAGACTCTGAAAAGGGAAATCTTGTAGGAAGTACTCATAATGAATTTGCTTCCTTCTAAGATACTTTTTATATAATAAAAAAACTCGAATAGAATTTGAATAAAGTCAAACATTTTTAAAGATTGTCAAAAATACAAGAATGTACATTTGTACATCATAAGTTCATAATCCACTCCCTGATACCAATTGCAACCCCCATCAACAATACAAATTTAATGTCAAACAGATATACCGGTATATTTTTATTAGCAGGCTGAAGGCTAAAGAGTACCATGTCATATTGCTGTATGCAAGGCACAGTGATCAGATTATAAAGATTCCTGCCACCAATCAGACCAAATTTGTGTGACATCACGGCTGGTCAAGCACACCATATATGGTGTTACTTCTCAGAACTTCTTTCAAGATGGCTGACCGTATGGAGTGGATGGAATGTGATGTATCCAAGAAATGTTGTTCCTTTCCTTCTAAAGCAGAGAGACAATAAATTATTTAACTTCAGTACCTCAGGTAAAACATACATGTTAGAAAAGTAGAAATGTACTACTAGTAATCGACTTGTCTCTGTGTGGGGGGAGGGTGGGTGTTTCTGTGTTTAACTGTAATAATATACAATGTGCATACTACAACATTGCCCATTCATTCAGTGACAGGTATATTGATAATTGAATTATACCAAGGAAAGGAAAACTAAATCTGTAAATGATGCTTGGCTATCGGTGTTCGTGTATATGTATTGGGAAGATATTTGGTACTGTAGGTGGATTTTGAAACAATGATGACCGGGATCGGTTTTCCTAGCAGCTTTCCCTGGTACTGCAGCTGAACTTCTGTTTTCTCTATCTTCTGTTCTAGACATGCCATGGTCTTTTTTCCATGTGTTTCGTGCAGGGATCGGTAAAAACCACAAAGATGCAGCATCTGTACGAGCCACACACCCCATCCCCTCCTCATGTGGGATCTACTACTTCGAGGTCAAGATCGTCAGTAAGGGTCGCGACGGGTAAGTCTTGACTGTTATCACTCTCAATCTGCAAGTAATGTATAGCACACCAACATCTGTTAGAAAATTCAGGTTCTGAACAATCTGTAGTTGAACTTGAAGACGAAAATCTTAGTATGATTTGATTCTATTGGAATTGTAGGAAGACAACATATGTGGGACACAGGCAGCTATTGCTGGTGTCTAGACTCGCAAGTGAAACATTATAGGACCACAAAGGAACCTGGATAGTTGACATAGCAGTATGTTTTAAGGAGTCAAGTCTGCCGTCTCTGACTGTTGTTTCCATTTCTTTCGCCAGGTACATGGGAATTGGACTTTCTGCACAGGGGGTCAACATGAACAGGTTACCAGGTAATTCCTCATTGCTGAGTTGGACATAACTTTGTCTCGAAGGTTTCAACTGTAATTTCTTTAGTCTTTGTCAAGGAATGAGCAATCCACCGCTTCCGTGACGTCACGTACAATAGTTACATATCTACACATATGCATGGTTACAGGGAACTGTATCTACAATGTGATCCCAAACGTACATTTGTACAGGAGTATGTTATATCAAGACCTTGGAATGGTGATTTGACATGGTATCATCTCTTCTCTTCTCAGGCTGGGACAAGCACTCCTACGGTTACCATGGTGATGACGGGCACTCGTTCTGTTCCTCTGGGACGGGACAGCCGTACGGTCCCACCTTCACCACAGGCGACGTGGTGGGCTGCTGTGTCAACCTCATCGACAACACCTGCTTCTACACCAAGAATGGGCACAACTTAGGTCAGCTACTGTCGCATTTTCTCTTTCCCTGTCTCATCTAGGACTAAGGTAGCAAGTTGATCCTATGGTTAGGGTTGTTCACTTGAAACTGAGTTCAAATCCTTGGTAGGCCACAATATTGTGTCCTTGGAAAGGCACTTAACAATTATTTTTTTCACTCACTTCCAGTGAAAATGAGGTCCTAGCTATAGGGATGTCTTCTCAGGTTTCGAAACCCTGAACCTCTTGAGTCAATAACCCTAAACACTATGCTAATTCAGAGTTCGAAATACAAAGGTGCAATGTGCAAATTGCACGTAATTTTCAAGATTTGCACCTAAAAATATTTTGAATGTGCAATTTTGCACCTGGACAATACCGATATATCATGTTTGCACTGCGTATCTCCGAAGTTTCTTGCTGTGTCGGCATCGCGCTGGGCGCATGGCAGCCATATTGTTTTCTTTACTGAACATCCTGGGAACAAGCTGCTCTCGTCCCCAGGTGAAGACGCGAAGGCATTACGTAATGATTTACCTAATATGGCAAGACGCGAAGGCCTACGTAGCTGATTTACCAAATATGGTGAGACCCGCGAAACTTGTTGCCCGATGTGGTACGAAGTCCTTCGGCAGAGTAATTTCGGCTTTTTCGTCCAATTTTCGGTAAAATTCGGTGAAAAACAGAGTTTTCGGATTTCCCAGCATTCAGTGCTACCCAGGAAATTTGTAAAGCATGAAGAAGGGCCCATGAAGAAGGGGTCGATTTTCAAGTTCTTTTCACGGGCCCAGCCGGCATCAGAGGCTGGTGCAGCCGGGGGCGGTGGATCGGGAGATGCCACCGGGTCCACCGTCTCCGAGGATCCCGCGGCCGATGTTGACGATGCGCCCCCAGAGGAGGGGGAGGGGAGCGCCAAGAAGCAAAAATTAACCGGACGTTATTTTTTTCTAAGCAGTATTTTTTTCCTTATATCGTGCACGATATTCAAGGTAAACAAATATGCAAAATAAATGAAATTTATTGCTCGCATACTGTTGGTAATTTTTTTTTTATGACGAGTGAGAGGGCCGGGGGTCACTAGCGGCGTCCTTTGAAGCTAATGCCGACAAATTTTTTTTGTGTTCTTTTTTTTATAAACACAGATGATACTTGCATTGTTCATGTTTTGTTTGGTCCCTTCTTTTTAATGTATACTAAAACTTCTATATGCAGTGGCAGGCTAAGAAGGTTGATACACAGTAAAACAGTTCCAAACCTAAAGATGCAAGGCTAAATATAATTTTGCACATAAATTTTTCAAATTGCACCTAAAAATTTTGCCAATGTGCAATTTTGCACGTACCTGAAAAAAAGTATTTCGAACCCTGTAATTGATGCCACACCTTTTCAATGACAAGTTGTACTGTTGTTTATATAGTACTGTAGTAGGTGCGAACAACAACAAGACAACTTAGCTTTCTTGAGGGCATTCTTGTGTATGAACTCATTGTGTATGATCTTATTCCTTCAACTTTTCAAGGACATTATTGTCAAGTCAATGACCTGTTTCGTCTCCTATACTGATTAAAAAAAACATGGTTGTTAATGTTGTTGTTTCTGTGTTTTATTTTGCAGGTATTGCCTTTACAGACTTGCCTGTAAGTATATTTCTTCATTTCCAAGTTGTTGACATATTTAAAACTAATCTTCACTGAATACTTGAATCTTCACTGAAGAATTGCAAGTTGTTATCACAAAATGAATTTATATGTGACTGTCATCTTGTTTAGCTACATGTACACTGACATTCTGTATTTGAGACCTGTTTGTAAAAGATGGAGTCAGTATGGAGTTAGAAATGTCTAATATGTCCCTGTTCTCTTCCATTTCCTCCACCCAGCACAATCTGTACCCAACAGTTGGGCTCCAGACTCCAGGAGAAATCGTGGATGCAAATTTTGGTCAGCAGCCCTTTGTGTACGACATAGAAGACTACATGAGAGAGTGGCACCAGAAGACTAGAGTCACGATAGAGAGCTTCCCAGTCCCAGATCACAAAGGGGAGTGGCAGAAAACCTTGCAAAGGTGGGATTGAAATCTGGCAGTATTCGATCGCGAATACCCTGGCTATTGACTATAGCTTGAACATAGCATGGTATTCAAAAAAACAGTTACTCAAGCAAGTGGATATGATTTTGGAAACGGTCAGACGTTTCAGGTAGCATCCACTACCTTTTGTCAGTGACATATCATATCCAGTTGCTTGTGATTTTTTGGCATATCTTATTACCTGGATGTCTAACCTTCACCGACATAGCACGGTATTGGATACAAAGTAGATTCAGTATTATTGGATGCCAGGATCTATTTAATATGACAGATTTAACAATATTTACATATTACAACTTTGTGTTCAGGATGGTGTCCACATACTTGGTGCACCATGGATATTGTTCAACTGCAGAAGCTTTCGCCAAGAGTACAGGGCAGTCCTTTACAGAGGAACTGACTTCCATGAAGAACAGACAAAGTGAGTGAACTCTGTCAGATTTTGTTCAGTGTTGCATCGTCGGTGAACACAAGCTCATGCCTTTGTACTACATTTGCCTTTGGTGATGAGTTTGTTACTTTATTTGAATGATATTATACACAAATGTGGTGTTGAATGGCTGAGTGCCTAAGAGATCAAGAGGACAAGGGTTTGATTCCTTGCATTCCTGGCAGGAATATATTACCAAACAGATTTTTTCTTGTAGATGAATACTTATTACTTTATCTACATCTGCATACAAGGCTTCTGTACCTTCTCCCTCAGAAATTGAGAAACTATTATTTCTTCCTGCAGAAATCCAAGAATCAAGAAATCAAATTGGTGTGGCAGTATACTTAATGTAGATGTATACTACTACTGTCAGTCAGTCTCACAAGATTATGACTTTGCTGCACAAAACAAAACAGGATGGTTCAGTTCTTGAATTACAGGAATAATGTCTAAAGTCCAAGTTTAAGTTCATTGTAGATGTATACTCAATTCTTTATCAACAACACAGTTTTCTGTATCTTTTTTTTACCCCCAGGAATACAGAAGTTGGTTTTAGCCGGGCGGATGGGAGAGGCCATAGACACCACACAGAGCCTGTACCCAGGACTGCTAGAACGCAACCCCAACCTCCTTTTTGTGCTCAAGTGCCGCCAGTTTGTTGAAATGGTTAATGGAACGGACAGTGAAGTTCGGGGACTCAGTGCGAGAAGTCCCAAGTCGCGGAACAGTAGCGGGAGTTCCACGGGGTCGGAGTACAGGTCGTCTCCTAGCCTCAGCCCCAGCCACCACAGGATGGACACACAGAGGGCCAACGGCAAGATTGAGCGGACATATGTTGCAGGTAGGATCAGTGTTTGTAAGCCATTTGCTTACTAGCCCATGTTACGCAATCTCTTGCTAAGGCCACAGCAGGTAATTTTTATGGATGATATCAGCGCACGCATCAATTTTCGCCTGATTTTGGAAAAAAAAACATTTTTTTTGCCCTTTGACAGTGCTTAACATGCTGAAAATGGGTAAAGGTCTGTTACCATGCCAGAATGTGGATCGCAGATAAGTATGAAGATAGGAGACAATACAAGGCTCTGATTTAATGTTTCGTCTTTTATATGTGATGGTGGATGTGTATATGTGATGTTCCTACTGAATCAAAACCATTTGCATAATGATTGAAACCTTTTATATTTTTATTCATAGACCAGTGCTGGTCAGGTGCAGGTAGACATCATAAATACCTGCACAGCCCCCCCTTTGACCTTCACTAAGATTGCATAGGCTCCTAGTATTTTGAGCCCGGAACATCTAACACCCAGCGTTTCTGTTGTTGTACCCAGGGAACAAGAGTCCTAACCCCGGTGAACTCATCAACACCAAGTCCAACCCCAGTACCTCTGCTAACCAGGACCACGTTAGTGTAGCTGAGATGAATGCAGTCAACTCTGTCACCAACGGATTCTCATCCAATCAGGTAGGCTGGATGTCTGTTGCTGTTGTCTCACAGCTTGTAGAGAGAGGAAAGGCAAGAGATCTCAATCCAGTTTTAGCTCACTGAAGAGCTAATCTCCCACTTGGTGGGACAGAGAAGACAGATACTATGTACAATATTTACAGGTTCATTGTACCTTTGACAAGCACTATGAACAGTGGACCACAACTTACTTAAACATCTCCTAAGAATTGATTGATTGATCAAGCGATTGATTGACTGACACAGGTGGATGTAGAGATGGAGGTTAAGGATTGATTGATTGATTGATTAATTTATTGATTGATTGATCGATTTTATTGGCTGACTGCTGTTCTGCCCAGGTAGATGTAGAGATGGAGGTTGAGGAGTACAGCAGTCAGATGGTGTGTAACGGTGTGTCCAGCCCAGTGAACGACGGAATTGATTGATTGGTTGATTGATTGATTAACACAGGTGGATGTAGAGATGGAGGTAGAGGAGTACAGTAACAGTCAGATGGTGTGTAACGGTGTGTCCAGCCGAGTGAACGACGGAGCGTCCACCTCCTACATGAACGGCTGCTCCCACAACCAGCACAGGGAGGACCTCATGGAGACAGACGACTTTGGTAAGGCTACACTGATTTAATTTCTATTAATTCTCATTAAAAAAAACATCACGTCCTCCAAGGCTTGGGTGCCATCCTCCGTAGTACATGGTAGCCAGCGACAGTAGGGAGCCTGAGGTAACTATAGAGGATGGCACCCAGGCTACCAAAGGTCCATGACTCAAGAACTTAGTACAGTACATAAATTCCACAAAAGGCCAGCTTGTGCCATCTTGTCATAAAAGTCGCTACAAATTCACAATACCAGCTTTAAATTCCTGTGGTTTAGCAGCATTTTTATTTTTGGCTGGAATTTTTTTTAATCGCTGGGGCACACTAGTTTGGGGCCGGGGTCTTCCAGGGTTCTCGCCAGCCTAAATTTTTTTTCCATCATGTCACAGACACAGATAAGGATGTGCAGAGCCAGAGGAGACAGCTGTGCGGAGGCAGCCAGGCTGCTATAGAGAAGATGCTGCAGTTCGGGAGGGAGTTACAGGGCATGAGTGTCCAGCTCAGGAGGCAGTACGGCAAGAACGAGGCCAACAAGAAGGTTCTACAGGTTAGAGTACTGTGATTCACTTGATTTTCACGGTAGCATGTAAATCGCTTTATGTTCATGGTAGGAAAAGTTCACTGTCTGAGAAAAATAGCGGTGTGCACGGAACTGTATGTTTATGGTGGGAGCAGGTGCAGAAAAAAGAAAGTTGGTGAATTATTTGTTAACAATAAGCGGTACAGAACAGAAGTGATCACTAAAACTGCGAACATAGAAATACCGCAACAAAAAATCAGGTATATAGACTAGAGTTTTTAAGATGTCATTTTCATGCCATAGGACTATCAAATAAGAATAATGTACTATACAATTTAGAGTACTGAATTGGATAATAGATTGAAGCCATACCTTTTAATGACAACACAATCCTATGTAATCACTCTGTTCCCCCCAGGATGCCTTCAGTCTCCTGGCCTATGCAGACCCCTGGAACAGTCCTGTAGGTTATCAGTTGGACACAGTACAGAGGGAGCCCATCTGTGCTGCACTCAATAGTGCTATTCTAGGTCAGTCCAACACTGCTGTACTCATTTTTTACCTTGGCCAAGAAGGATATGTTTTTGGTAGCATTTGTTTGTGTGTGTGTGTTTGTGTGTGTGTGTGTGTGTGTGTGTGTTCATGCATGTGTGTGTGTGTGTGTGTGTGCGTGTGCGTGTGTGCATGTATGGTATTATGTGGTTTAGCATCAAACTTGGGACCTTGTCATCAAACTTGGGACCTCAAAATGATTAGATTTTGGACCCTCTGGTGGTTTGTTATGGTACTGCAGCAGAACTCGCTCAATGCATGAATAGAGTCTGTTGATTCATATACCAAAAACACTGGTCACACGTCTTTCCTTCTCCCCCCTGCAGAATCTCACGGCTTGCCCAGGCAGCCGCCGCTGGAGAAGGCGGTGGGCCACGCCACGGAATGCCTGAAGCTGATGTCCAAAGTCGGGATCGGCTCCTGCGCGTTTGCTAACATCGAGGACTACTTGCGGTGACCAGCCTGCCCCCTCCGTGCCCCCCTCCCCCTCCTGTACTTAGCCCTCGTTCGATCCCGGTCGGTTTAGCCCCCGCCTGTGTGCGTTCCTGTGCACGATATAACCCTCCCTCCCTACGTAAATAGTTTCGTCAGGTTGGTAAAGTATAGGATACAGGATTTTTCTTTTACAAAACCAAATTTTCTCACAAATTGGGGTTGATGTTTTGGTGTCTATCAGATACCTTCCTAAGAGCTTTGCGGCAAGAACACAATCCCAAACATGGCTGAGTTTGTAACTCCCCTCGTCATGGTTCATCACTGGGGTCGACTTCCAGACGCAGAACTCCAGTCAGAAGCTCTGAGGAAGGTGTCTGACAGACACTGAAACGTCAGTACCAATAGCTGAGAAAATTTGGTTGTGTAAAAGAAAACTCCTGTATCCTATCCCTCCCTCCGTAAATACTTTCATCAGGTTGGTAAAAAGCTGGATGAGAAAGTGCTTTTTACACAACCGTGTGTTTATGCCTAGCCCACGTTTCAGTGACTGTCTGTCACCTTCCTCGGGGCTGACTGGTTGTGCTTGACACTTCAGCTAGGCGTTGCTGCTAGAGTGTGAAGAATGCAGTCCCAAACATGACAGAGTTTATACCACCTCATCCCTGCAACACCTAGCTGCAGTGCAAAGTAGAACTAGTTGATAGTACCCCAAGGAATGTGACTGACAGTCACTGAAATGTTGGTTAGTTATGAACTCTCTGGTTGTGTTCAAAGAACTTGTGGTCCATCCTTTCATTCATTCAGGCCAGGTCTTGTACAGAAATGCCCCCCCCCTTCCCCTACTATGATTCAGCTGAAATCCTGTTGATCTGTACTATAGGGCTCTGATATATACTGTATATTCTCCCACATAGGCTGCAACAACTCTCACTGTCACTCTTAGGAATGTGTGTTTTCTTCAAGTCACCATCTTAAGAGACGAAGTACTCCTACCTAAAGCTCGACCCTGTACAGAGAAGTTTGTACATGTAGCTATGGATTGCTATTTTGCCAGCTGTAGCGAATGTCCAGAATTTATTATTGGAATACTATAATTAAAGCATGTGTAAAAGGGAAGTGACGATAGATGATGCAAACATTTAGACCACTTTGTATAATGACTGGAACATCAATATATCAATATGTGTTATAATAGTAGAAGCATTGCACATTTCATCCTGTATATTGAGGGGGGAAAAGGGAAGTATGCTCATATTGTGTAGACTCCCCTTCGGGTGAGATGTCATGTGTAAGCCCGAAAATAATTGCAAAGTTTTCTTTTCTAGAAAGACAGTAGGTAGTTGTTGTTTGTTTGATTGTTTATATGTGTGTTTTAAAAAAAAGGACATATGAAGTGGTTCCTATTTACATGTGCTACGACTAACGTCATGATTTTGTTTGGAGAAATGAAATGTAGTTTGTGTCGAGCCTCGAGGGTCCTGACGTTGTATTGTTAAAGAGGCTAGAATAGGTGACCACACTCTATTGTACCTACATAAAATAAAGTTACAGTAAAGGTTATGGTGTCAACTTCTTCTCTTGTGGTCCTTACTGTTGCCTGGGTGTCATCTTACTGTATTACCCGTAATGGTGCTATGTACCAGCACACTGTACCGGTACTTACATGTATAGGTACAGGTACAAGCTGGAGAATTCAAAAGAGAAGAATTTTTAGCAATAGAATCAAAGGTGCTAGAAGTGTCTGAGTTTGTGTCAATACAAGACTACAGCTGCCAGGCAACAGAGGTCGGGGTAGACCAAGTAAATCCTGGATGGAGTGTGTCAAGAAGGACATTAGACTTGATTAGAGAGTGCGGCCATGCCGGTGTGCACATGCTGGACAGAGTTGCTTGGAGGTGTGGTGTGGTGTGAAGACTAGCCAACTGCTGCCCACCCCTGTGTTAGGGACCCCCATAGCAGTATATAATCAAAGATGTGGATACTACTACTACAAGTACAACAAACCCTAGCCCTTCTTGGTAACACCTACCAGCCTGAGGGTAATACAACTGTAAATCACTATCAACACTCGTAAGTTTCTGTTCCCTAGAAACCAAGTCTGTTGACGTGGTGGGACAGAGAACACCAAATTTATAGCACAGTCATTAAAACTGGTCCAGCCTTATAAGTGTTGATTTGGGGTTCCTAGTCGAGCACTTGGCAATTTTATGACAATAGTAGTTGAAGACACCAGAATGCCAACTGGCTACAATTTGGTGAACCACTTGACACTGTTTAACAGTATGCTCAATCTGCATGTAACTTACTAGCCTGGGTGCCAGCCTCCGTAGTTTCCACCGGCTCCCTACCATGGTAGCCAGCAACATTGGAAACTATTGGCACCCAGGCTAGTAACTTATCACCCATGCATGTGAGTCAAAATTGGAAGTATCAATGGCTAGTAGTAGTACAGTGTTGTCGTTTCCCCCCAATGAAAGCAAACTAAGAAAGTTGGAGGTCATTCAGCATAGCCTGGTTACCACACCTATTATAGCTCCTGAGTCCTACATTCTTCCCGGCCCGCAAATAGGACTCAGGAGCTATACATGTAATAGGTTTGGTAACCAGGCTAATTCAGCGAAGACCTGTGCAAATGCTTTGACTAGCCTCCGTAGCAGGCTTATAGAACTGGGGGTTTGGTGGTCTTCGGCTGTTTTCTGATTAGCCCGGTTAAAAAAATGGGGGTAATTCAACCGGGCCGGCTATGTTGTCTATATGCAATCAGAAAATAGCACATATAAGCTCCCAAAGACCATATGAAGACCCACAAAAAAAAAATAGTTGTTGGCATGCTATGGAGGCTATGCTTTGACAGTGTGCATCATATGTCCTTCATGTTTAGATTCATGATCCCATAAATTAATTAATGGCTGGGTGATCAATCAGTATGATAGATTTAGAAGTAGATTAGTGTTTAAGTTTGTGTCCTATTACAACTTAGCAACTGCCTGTTTTATGTGCCATAATAGCCCCAAACATTCAAGCAGCCCCCTAAAATCCTTTACACCAGGTAACATCTGACTGCTTAACTTCCATGTGCTTTGCCAAGTGGAGAAACTTGCTAGATTTCCTACAACAGAGACTACAATAACATACTTTTTATTAAAGTCATAAATATGACTAAATTTGTGGGTCAGAGATACCCTTTCATATATACTGAATGTGCATGTGTCATTCTCTCTTCCTGTAGCTTTCTTGTGACTCTACATAGTCTCCACCAGACTCCTTAGCAGGCTGAATAGTCAAAATCAGCCTAAAAAGGACATATAATTGGCCAAGAAAGTTATCCAGCCAAATAAGCAACTCCCCTGGCCAGCTATATACCACTTTTTAGGCCAATTTCAATTATTTACTCAGCCTGCCAAGGACTCTGGTGGTGACTATGACTCTGCTATACCCAAATACATTTGGTCTAACTTGATAAGATAGTATTACATGTTTTTCCAACCTTTGCATATTAGTCATTTCCCACAAACCTTAGTCATCTTCCTGACCAATCAGAATTCACTTCATGACCAAATATGGGCATGGTCAGTGAAAAGAATGTTTTGCCCTGTCACCTGCCTTTTGCCTCCTCCCTTCTGGATGAACAGTTTTCTGAATTACCCTTGTGTCGCATATAATCTTGTAATTGATCTTTTTCAGCCTTAATCTGCAGGTATACAATGTACATGTATTATGTCTAGTATAGGGAAGAATGGCTAACAGTCCTTTCCCTCTTGATTGAATTTGCTTTTCTTTCGTGAGAATCATTGTTCATATCAACAGTAATGGTAACTCTTGAGAACTTTTTGTTTACACTTGTCTCTCATGCTTTGGGCACTTGTAGTTTGCCATTTGCATGTATTTATGTGGACAGCATTTTAAGTTGAGAGTCTGTAAATTTGGTAGGTGGGTAAATGTCGGGAACACAAAGGACAAGTTCGATTGTCGAGCAGCTTACAATAATGAAATCCAGCCAAATAATCCAGTTGATGAGTTTAAACTTGTGAAGCGTTAAGAGATTCACCAACTTTCTCGCAACAGTAACCAAACGTGCACGGAAGGATTAAACAGGCAAAATGTAATTTTTATTGCAATATGTAACAGTTTGAAATATGTAAAAGCTACATGTAACCCTCATGAAGGTTGTTCTATACATGGTTGATCACAGAACACTACAACTTTATATCAACCTAGTCATCACCATGGTTACATACAGGGGCAACTAATACAGCTTCCAGTATTTACAACGATGGAAGAAAAATTGACATGGCTCGTTCATTTCGTTCTGTCCTGATGGTCAGATGTACAAGACAGTGTCTCTTGGCCACTTAATGCTTAAGTGAGGTGTTCTTAACAAATCTGTTATTACAAAGTGGGGAACGTGCCCTAAACTCTGACATAGTTAAACATACATCCAGTCCGCTTCCTCCCAACATACTTAACCCTGATTATTAATGAACGGTCCCCTCTACACGGGGACAACAAATATGCTTACTTTTTTCTTTTTACATTCAGAAACAAGAGTTATGAGAAATTCACAAAAATGGGTTGTTGCTGTCATTTCCAGAACAGTTCCTAGAATTTTCTACCGATGCTACAGCTACTGTCTGTAGAAAGAGTCGACACTAAACATATTTCTCTGGTAGGTTACACCTAATTTTAAACTACATTGCAGGACTATGTTGAACCGAGAACTAGATACAGTGCAACTGATGTTTTTGGTAAAGTCTTCCTGACAAAATGAGTCACGTTTGGTAGGCACCAGGAAGATATGGAAACATAACTTATGTTGTTTGGTCTTTTTTTTACAGCAAAATAGGATTTGGTGACTGCACTGGTTTGACAGAGGTTCTTCAAACCTGGAACAGAAGAAAAATCACTGAATAAGTACAACATTGTCATGATCAAGGACTAAAACAACAAATATAAAGGATTCAGTTGGTAAAAAATGAGAGACAGTGAGTTTTTTTCTAAAATCCGATCCAATCTTACCTTTGCTTTGTTCTGCACAGGTAGGTAGAGTTTGAATTCTGCTGGCAGCTCGTCTTCTGAGTACAACCTGTCGGAGAAATAGACCCGGCGGATGCGGCAGTTGGCGTGGATCTGGACACGCAGCGTCTCGATGTAGTTGGTCCCGTAGGCCCTCCTCGTGAAGTCTGACAGGTTGAACTGTGGGAATTGGACAAGGGTTATGGTTAGAACTTGTTGTGATTGTGATGAAAAAGGATCCAAGACCTCCAAGAGAAATACAAAATCATAACGATGTTTGAAAAACATGTTTGGTTCTTAATACGGTTTATCCCCCTGAATTTCTTCTTGTTGTACATTGACATTCATTAACATGTACATAAATATTAACATTAATATGGTCCATGAAGTCATTGATATGCAGTATCTATGGTGAATTGTTATCAAGACGAAATAAATAATTAAATGATTTAAGTCAACAAATTTTGTGCCACACCCCACCCAACAAAATTTTTCCAGTACTCACTTGGATCTGGTTCCACCCATCGTCCAGTCTCATGGGCATTGTGCAGATGAAGGGCTTGACTCTGGTCGTGCTCTGGTAGTTACTCGCTCTGAACCGTCTGCGCACATTCTTGTCATCTAGGACCTGTCAGTTCACCAAAAACAGATGTTAGAACCATCGATATCAGGACAGCTATAAGGTTATAACATATCTGGTATAAGCTGCTAAATATACTGGGCATCTTTGTGTGGTTCATGTGAACAAAGTGCCGAAAAAACTTCAACCAAAACAGACTTTTACTTCTTTAATGCTTCTCCACAAATGTGTATAAAAATGTGTGAATTAAAATAGCATTTCTACCACAGGAACACAAGACCTTATAGGAAAGTCTCTGCCATTATTTTGACATGTCAATACAGTATTCTTTATACTATATATTTAGATTATATTCTGACATAGAATTAAGAAGTCTTTGAAACCAAACCTACCTGAACCTCAAAGGTGAAGTACTTCTTCAGGTTCTTGATGATCATCACAAGGAAAGGCAATTTGATTCCCAGGGTTTTCTTTGGGTCTGCCGGGCACGTGATATATGTTGTGCTGTAAGGTAAAAAAACAACAACAATGATCATCCAGGCAAAGAAAAAACTTCTCATTATAATAGCAAAAAATTGTGGAAGTTACTCGTTGATTTCTAGAAATGTGACTGTTAAAGAGACATGTTTGAAAATCTTACATAGTGAAGGGTAAGAAACGGCTCTTACCTGACGTTTGTGCCACAAATCTCCAGTACAAGTGACTGGATGTCGTTGTCTGTGATCCTCTTGATGTGGCCATTTCGCACCTGGGTTTTTGGAAGAGAAATCATAGTTTTTAACCTCATGGTTTATTGGCAGTTAACGACATGCATCACTAAGTGGTCAAGCAATCAAATGAACAGCAAACCAACTCTAAGGACACAGCCTCTGTGTGACACTGTGTGACTTTTGTACAATGTACAGATTACATTACTAGTGATAGAAATCTCTTTGTTTGCGATGGACAGGTAAGAATTTCATCAAAGTATATTTCAAACTAAAAAAACTTATGTTTACACTTGAGTTGCTAGGCTGCTAAAGACAGCATATTGTCGAGCACTGTTAGAAAATGTGTGGGGCTGAAAAAATGTAGTGGACTGATTTGGGAACTGTCATTATAGTATTTCTGCCATTGTAAGAATGCAAATTGCACCCATTCAAAGTTGATTGGCTAAATCAAACCATATTGACTGTTATTAGCAACAGGAACAAAAACTCAATACAGAACTCTTGATATTTTCAGGTACTATTGTTATGAGTGGACAAGTGATCGGTCTTGAAACCAATTTCAGATCAGGTTTCCAAGGCTGATTAACGCTATTTATAGCAACTGAGGGCAGTGCACTTTAATCCTATTTTCAACGAATCTGTCATGTTTCCATTTTTTGGACACAAAACCAAAGTTAAAACTTAATGTTTCAAATTGGTTTAATTGTTTTGTTTATGCCAATACGAAAGACGGTAAAGTCATGATAGAAATGGCACGCAAAATTGACATTGTGGAACAGAATAGAATCTTACATACACAATGATTATAGTATTTATACATGTTAAATTAGCGCATTTTCCCATGTAGTCCAAACATAAACAAGGACAAAACTATTTCAACAAATGTATTAACGACACTGTCAACTTAGCAGAAGTCTTCTAACCAATCAGCATGCTTTAACATTGGATTTTGTTCAACCCGTTAAAATAGTAGAAACAGTGAAAAAATTCTTTATCTAACTGGCTGAAAACAACATACATGCATGTACCAGAAGACTAAAAAACTTGTGAATCTTGGAAACCTTAAACAATGGCATGTGATTTGTTGTAAGATCACAATCTAGATACCAAGGACATTATACACTGTGTGTATAATGTCCTTGTAGATACTAAGGCAAAAACAACAGAAACTTGATGGATGTGATATAATAAACAAACACAGCAAGAAAACACAAAACTGAGGGAAAATTTGATAACCTAAACGACAAAGAAAATTGTGCAATTCAGACTGTTAAATTGGCATTTGTACTGCACTTCCAATCTGAAATTGTTTTTGTACTACATATTTTACATTGATATTCTTTGATATAGAAATCCAGGAAGCCATTGGCATTGTTGTGAATTTCACTAAACATAAGATACAAAACATTTTAAAAACAGCAAAAGAACACAAAAAATATTTTTGCAGCGAGATACGTTTGGGAAAATGATGAAGGAGACAATCCGCTAGAATTTGCTGATTTTCCACCAATAGGATTACAGATGAGATCTCGAGTTAGGATCATCGTCTGAACCCGTCTCCTAGGTAACCGCGCCCTTCCCACACCCAACATTTCCGAAACTCAAAACTACCCGGGATTTCCGACGGAAATATAATTTTACAAACATCCTGATGCGAAAAATATGATTTGTACGGTCTGGTTGGTACGTGTATGTTGTTTCTATGTATACGTATAAACAATATTGGCTGGTCATAGTTCAGATGGAACGTTGGCAACACGGCCGATCGTATATTTCGTATCAACATCGTATATGGAAAAACAGGGCAGAATTTGGCATTGTATCGTGATATTAAGTCATCTTAGGTTCATCCTAAGGTTTAAATGTTTCTTCTTGTGCTAAACTGATCCTACAAACAACGTCACTAGTTACAGCTAAACATGGCCGGTAGTGATGAACCATGAGTAGCGTGGTAAGAAAAAATCCTCCTTACCTTTTTGTCCCAGATTTGCAAAGGCTTGCTTCCTATGCTGTACAGGATGGACAAGAAACCACTCTGAAACGTATTCTTAAACATCTCTGGCAATTAGAAGGTGAATTTTCGGGCCTAAACGCTACCGTCCACCACAGAAACGCGCAAAGGCCTTGCCTCTTTGACTGTCTCGTCGTTATGTGAGAAACACTCTGTATACAAAGCTACATAGTCGTCAAGTAACCGGAGCACTCAGGCCCTTCCGCCGATGGCTCTTGACAACTGCTTTAGTGACAAACAAATCCGGTTAAATGTGCCTTTATTTTGCATTACAACTATAGAATATGTATCACTAAACTTCACAACATTGATTTCTCTTCTATATTAGCGAGAATTGTAGAATGAACGGCATAATATGTGTTGGGACTTGATTGTGCGGAGCGGAGTAATATGTCACCCGGTAGGTAGTCACCGATCAGAGGTCATCACCATGGCTGCCAGCTGAACAAGCACTTCCGGGTCAAACAAGCACTGTTAGTTGTCCCATCAACCAAGGGTTGCAGTCTTCTTAGTTATAGACTAAGAAACCAGATTTCTGTAACTTTTATTGACATGTTTTTTGCCTAAATGTTAAACTTGCACTTACCTCTGTTGTCTGTGTTAAAATCACAAGAAAATCCAGTCGAATAAAACCATTCTTTATATATTCTTAGTGATAAACTGTTTATTACAACCGACAAATGTCTACCCAAGACAAATATAAACATACGGTTACAAAGTCGACGCCTTGATCACATTCTACGTCTTTACAAGACGGTTTTGTACATTTGGAGGGTTCTTAGGAAGAGGGGGGTGTCTTGTATCGTTGTTAGGGGGGATGGCTCATTAATATGTAATGAGTAACCACCGCCAAGCGTGGGTACCGGTGGGGAAAGTGGTCGGTGTGGGAGTTGCAGGTATTTGTTTTCACGCTTCATTGTTGAACACAGCGACTCGTGTGGCTACGCGGGTAATACACACCATTCACCATAACTACTCCATGTATCATGTATTGTACCTAAATTAAAGATAGCCGATAGATAAATAAATAATAAACAAATAGATGAATAAATAAATATGAGTAATCAAATATAGATGCCCGACGTTAATAAACGATTTGTATCTTGCTTATTACAGTTGTCCTAAAAGAAGGGTAAGAACTTGATCCTGTACGTTTCTAGTATAGTCGCTAGGGTCAGATTGGTCACACTGATACGCCACTGTTAAATCCGTTACTGTTTTATCCACATAGCCTATTCTTACTGAATTATTGAATGAACATACACAAAGGTGTTTTATTTACTAGTCATTCATTCCTGAGTGTGCACAGTGTCTTTCTACCCTGGTTGCTTTTCGCGGCTGCCTAACCCGCATTAAGATACTAACGTTATGAGCCTGACAGCGGAGCCCGCGAAAACTGGCTACTAGAAAAGTATCATAAATCAACTACCCATTATATTGTACTGCTATGGCCACTATTATAATTATTTATCTACAAATTTAAACAACACCATATACCTTATGCGTTTGGGGTTGACATACATTCCCCAACACACCTCTGTAAAAATGAACTCCCTTTGAACCAGTTCGGACTTGTCTAAAACTTTCCGAAGCAGGTCCATCATACAATTTACGTTTTACCCCAATTTCACCCACAATTAGTTACAGGTTGTTGTATTTTATGTGTAGCAATGAGCAAGTGTACGTCTGTCTGTAATGTCTGTTTTAAGACGGGAAGAATAGTGAGTATAAGAGTATACTCACTAATGGAGGTCATTCAAATAAACAAACCCACAATAGGCCTAGTCCTAGGCCACTTTACCCCCAGCGGGTCGGAATAGTTTGAATTCTGCTGGCAGCTCGTCTTCTGAGTACAACCTGTCGGAGAAATAGACCCGACGGATGCGGCAGTTGGCGTGGATCTGGACACGCAGCGTCTCCGTGTAGTTGGTCCCGTAGGCCCTCCTCGTGAAGTCTGACAGGTTGAACTGTGGGAATGGGTATTAAAGGAATCCGATGCAACTTCAGGGCGGCAAAAGTGGAATTTCTGCGTCAATTGTGTGGTCATTCTTTCAATGTACCAAACTGAATCACCTTGATCAACCCTATCACAAAGGGGGCGTCACAAAGCATATCTGTGTGGCGAAACCCCAAAATAAAGACACGCATCACGTAGCTTGGGGGCTACTTCAAAAGCTTCAAACGCTTCAAGTATGAAATGAAAATGTGCTAAGAACGGTCAGTAAATGCCAATATCAGACAAATTTCCTTATCCAGAAATTTTTTTTTTTTTTGCCCAGAAATTGCATTGGATGCCTTTAAGGGTTACGGACAGACCTCATTTGCTGAACGTCCATGGCAACGGGAATAAAAATCTCAATTTTAAAACTTTTGAAATGAATGCAAATACAAAACCAAAGCCTCACACAAAACACTCACTTGAATCTGGTTCCACCCATCGTCCAGTCTCATGGGCATGATACACATGAACGGTGTGACTTTGGTTGTTTTTTGGTAGTTACTCGCTCTGAACCGTCTGCGCACTTTCTGGTCATCCAGTACCTGTAAAATCACCAAAACTCAGACCGCCTTCCACTTCAAGAAAAAAAGCTACATTACTGGAAAGAAATAAGACGGAATCTTAGAGATCCAGATTGAATAAATCACTGTAACGGCCGTGACCTATAGTAACTGAGGTATAGATCAATCAAAGTCCTGTTGTCAAATTAAGTTCTTCTAGATCTACAGCAACAATTTCTTTCCACGGACTGCAAAACTAAGGAAATCCCTCCCAAGCACACCAGACCAGCTTTCCCTCTGGATACAATCCTCAAACTTTAAAAATGAACATTCACCGCCATCTTTTGGCATAGTCATTTGTATGTCGTTTCACCTAGCTCAAGCCTAGCTAGAATAGCCTCCATAGCATGCCAAAAACTGGGGTTTTGGGGGTCTTTGGGAGCTTTTATGTGCTATTTTCTGATTGCATATAGACAACATAGCCGGCCTGGTTAAATTACGAACTGGGCTAATCAGAAAACAGCCGAAGACCACCAAACCCCCAGTTCTATAAGCCTGCTACGGAGGCTAATCTAGCCTAGAAGTGGTCATTTAGGCTTTGCATTGCGCAACGTGACCGTATAAACCACAGTTAAATCGAATGGGCTTGGTACTAATAGTGTTTGTCACAATGTAACGTAACGGTATGGCATATCTCGGCAGCAATAAACCCCGACTCCATACAAACTTTACAACTCACCAAAACCTCAAAGGCGAAATACTTATCCAAGTGCTTGATGACCATGGCAAGGAAAGGCAATTTGATTCCCAGGGTTCTCTTTGGTTCTGCTGGGCAGGTGATATATGTTGTGCTGCAAGGGAAATGAAATGGATGAAACATAGAAAAGAGGGACCTTTTATATTTTGGTTGTAAAAAAAATCGCGGGACTACTAGTCACAGGCAACCTAACATAAGGAGCACAACTGTAGATTTAGATGTAGTATACCTATGATATGATCCGATCGCGCGCGAGTTGTCGAAATCGCCTCCAACTGACTGGAAGCCGATTCAAGCTTAGTTTTATCAAAAGATGAAAGGTGGCGTCGTGCCAATTCAGAGTTCAATAGCCTCTACCAGGTTTCGGGAAAATCTAATGAACACTGGTCCGATCTGGTCAATGAATACTACCTTGCCACCCGCAGGATCTGCTTACTATTACTATTACTCTCTCCCAAGATCTCCCAACGGGGAAGCCTCGCGCCCCAATCCCGGAGTTGGCAACCTTCCTGCAGCTGGTATTACCTATCCCGCTGGGCGAGAGATAATTCAGACCCCGGGTGCCAACCTGTCTAGATCGGGGCGTGAGGCTCCCCCATAGCCTCTACCAGGCTTCGGGAGGCGGCTGGAAAGAGTAGAAATCGGCCAAAAAGTGTGATAGCATGCCAGTTGATCTGCTGGAGAAACCCGGCATGTTATCTCTCTATTTGGCCGATATCTACTATTTCCAGCCGCCTCCCGAGGCCAGATAGAGGCTACCTCCCCCCGGCCGAAGAGAGTATCGCGTCGCGCGGGGGTCTGGCACCCAGGCTAGGTATCCAGCTGAATTATAACAGCAGATGTTCAACAATGTTTGGAACTTTTTTTCCGACCGACACAGGAGCAAGAAGAGACTTGTATTATGATACCTGACGTTTGCCCCCACAATCTCCAGTACAAGTGACTGGATGTCGTCATCTCTGATCCGTTTGATGTGACCATTTCGTACCTGAGTTACGGAAGAAAAATTTACCGTTGTGCTGAACAATTTCTACAAGAACCCGGCCAAGCCCTCCAAGTTGTAGCCTCCTTCCCAGACTTCTGAGGTGGCGGCGTTAATTTTTTTTTTCAAGTTTGGGGAGCGACGCAAGTTATGCCGCGGAGGGACACTTTGCCGGGGAGAGACACAGTTTCACAGCCTAAGGCAAAACCACGGCAAAACCGTCCCTCCGCGGCATAACTCGATTTGCTCCCGGGATCCCCGAAAAAGAATAACGCCCCAACCTTAGAAGTCTGCGAAGGAGGCTATCTAAGTCGTATATCAACGTCCTTGACTCATTGATCTTAAGCCATTATACGTGCATATGGATTAAATATTTATGAGCTACCAAATTACACTGCAATTACTTACAGATGGAATATTAGCAACAGGTTTTCCTAACAATGTTTTTTTTTGGCATGAAAAAAACGAAAGCATAAAATAATGGCCTTGTCACGAATTGCTAATGGTTTCGTGTTTCGTACGAAAAATAAATTACCTTAACTTGCACTGAGGAGCTTCAATATACATAACTCTGATCCTTGCTTAGACACGAATGTACTAGACATGGTAAACAACGGCATGATAACAAGCCATGGAGAAATTATTGAAAAAAAAATTGCCCACCTTTTCCTCCCAGAGGTGCAAAGGCTTGCTTCCTATGCTGTACAGGATAGACAGGAAACCGCTCTGAAACTGATTCCGAAACATAGTTTAAGGAAGAAGCGACGAGGATGTCAACCTATACCTGGCTTAAATACGACTGTGCGCACAGAAACACAACGCTACTGACTCCGCCCAAGTTTTCCGTTGTCAGGCTAAACCATGTAAATTCTATGTATGACATCAAGTTATGAACATTATTTGCCACGTTAGATTATGTCTCAATTTCTTAAGACATATCTTTATCTCTAGGTATTAATTATGTCGGTGTTTTCGTTGGTCATAGATGAATGTTCTTTTATTGTCACCACGGAAATTAATAAAATTTAAAGCTCCTTGCTCTCTCGCAATGGATTTTCAGAAGATGACACACGGAGAAATTGACTTGCTCTGGCCTCATGGCAATTTGTGTGTACATGTAATTACAAACTGCGTCACCAAGACGTCATGGCCATTTGGGCAGGTCCCCTGGTGAGTTTTCCCTTGGGGATATCTGTAGGTATATCCATGAAGGTTAGACACCCCGGTTACGGTACAAGGAATTGTTTGTTACACAACTGGATAAATTTTGCAAATTATCAGGTAGCATCCACTACTTTTCCTATGTAACTGAGATTTTGAAAATTTATTCAATTGCTTGTGTAACTGTGGGCATCCCGCCCTTGCTGTTGTACATACATGTACTGTATAGTCGAAATTTAAACTGTATTTTATTTTTCCTTTATAGATTACTAGTATCTATATATTTCCCTATAACTCCAGGAAGAATAGCCCTGTACATATACTTGTATACAAGCTATTGAATGGAGTAATAAAGTTTTACTACCCACTACAAAAGTCTTTTGACACTGGTGAATTGAAACATTTCACTCAACCAATTGCTGATGTACATTGTATTTGCCAGTTTCCCTTTTATGACACTTATATGAATCCTTCTATCCATTCATATAAAGAAAACACATGTACACCCTTTTGTCTGATATAGTTTATAATCTTTACGTGACAGTGCATGTTGTCCATTCTGGAACTGTGCTTCTTCAACTTTGTACTAGTAGTTAACAGATATACATGAATGTATTTCACATCCAAGTGTGATAAACATCATGATACATGTATTTGTGATGGTCCAAACTTCTGTGGCTGTTGAGTTCTCAGTATTATCAGCAGGAGGAAAAAAATCTTGTTGGTTGTAGAAGTTCCTTGTTGGTATAAGATAGTCATAAAATGTTCAAGTTGCAAAATAAAAAAAAAATCAAGCTTTTGATTTTTCTTCACATTTTGAAAGAAAATGACCTAAAACATCTACATGGCCTACTTGCAACATATATCATATCAAGCTAGTGAACTCATTATTTTCACTATTAGCTTCACTACTCACTTTGACTTTAAGTACATGATATAAATATGCATTTCTGACCATCAAATCTTTACAATTCATAATTCAATTGATGCCATTATTTGCATAGATATGTACATCATATTACATTTACTTATTTCATTTATATTTAGTGACAATGTGAAAATCACTAGTGAAATCACCATTATCTACAGAAAACAAATAATATAAACCCAGTGTACTATAAATCTTCAAATATTCGTGCAAAAATTCTGTTTTACTCAACTCACTGAAACATACGTGACTGTATGTTCTGTTTTCCATTGTCTTACTAGGGCTGTAGAACTGCAAATTTCCTTCTATTGCGAGATTAAGACCTCACAAACATAAATCAACTTAAAGAAAATGTGTGAGTCTTGTATGATCAGAAGGAGTTGTGTAGAAAGTTGGTGATCATAGCCAAGGCCTGACCAGGCTTCCACTGTGGAACCATGTGTCCTGCTCCCTGGAAGGGAAGGAAACAAAAAATTAAGAATGTGAACAACAAGACAGGACATACCCAAAGAAAACCATGGATGTTAGGCTACTACATGTACATGCAATTGTATCATGCACTGAAATCACAGTGCCTTCTATAACACATGTTTGGGTTACAAAAAAAAAATAGCAGGTGACAATGTACTAGGAAAACTCAGAAACTCATGACTTTTTCTATGCAGTACCAGTACAATTAGCAAGCATAACTTTTAACTCAAGTACATGTCCTTACAGTGACAGTGAAAACATTCTTTTACTTAAGACTGTCCTCGCCAGTTTACATAAGGGCCACCTACCTTGACTGTCACAAATGTCAGGTTCTGAAACTGCTTGATGAATCCTGCCACCTGGTTATTGTAGGTCCATGGTTTCCTAGCAGCTAGGACCTGCAAACATAGAACATTTACATGTACCAGTAGGACAAACATCATAAAAACCTTCTCCCTGCTGACTTAAATGCTGCAACAATAGACAATTGGTAGCCAAACAGCTACTTAAGGTTCAGACATAGCATGCATGATCAACCAGACAAACAAACAACTAGCTGTTCCGCAAACATTTTCACAACAAATCACCTCTTTTTGTTAAAAGAAACATCACAACTTTTGTACAAATCAGGATTTTATCAATACGTGTACGACTAGAAATGACATTTTGACTGCTATCCAGCAATCTCAGCAATGACTAAACCAAGATGTATAAGTTACATTCTGGATGAGTTGAGGAACTTGCATAAATATAACACGACTTACAGGTTGTTTTAGTGACTCCACGAACCACTGATCACCCAGGAAGTTACAGGCCATGTCGGTGTCTCCGTTGTAGACCAGAGCTCGGTACTTGGGCAGGAGCGCCAGGTACTGGTCATGCATGGTGGAGTAAACTGTCGTGTACTGGTCTCCTACCTCCGCACTGCAACACAATTAGAGATTTCATTTTATTATCTTATTAAGATTTTACCGCATTTTTGGAAGGATTGACACAACAACTGTAAGATTTGAACCACTCACACTGGGGAGGACCCCTAATCTTTTTGATAAGTGTTGTGGGACCTCCGGCTTAAGAGGACGTCCCTAGCCGAAGCTGGGTACTCATTTACACTGAAGTGAAGTGAGGAAAGTCGTGTTAAGTGCCTTTTCCACGGGCACAATATTGGCGGGATTTGAACCAGGGACCTTTTGGTTCTGGGCCAAACACGCTACCATTACACCACACGACCCCATCACCAATCAGAGATGGCAGACTTCAACCCCTCCAGGTGGGTAAGAGACACAAAGTACCTGCACAGCGCCCATGGTTGTACAAACTCCGGGATGTGTAGTGCCAGCCTAACATCCGGCCGGTTGAGCCACGTGGTCTGGGCAGTGGCATTAATACAAGGCGGGGTCAGACCCACTTTGGTGGGGGCTGTGTACATTCTGGAACCATTCACCTGTAATAACAGAAGTTATCTATTAATAATGGGCTCAAAATACTTTTTATCTACATACCTGCACTGGTCCAGGCAACATTGAAAATCACCTACACCAGACAAGTTTTACCTGCACCACTTAAAAATTCAGGATGTATGGATCATACTGAAAACTGTTCAGAAACCACTGCTATTATTTCTTCCTCATAGGTAGTAACAACAGTCAATGCAGCAAATAAAAAGAAAACTCCACATACACATACATGTATATAAAACCCAGTACATGGACCATACGATCTGAAATACCTGCATAGCTCCAAGTTTACCTGCACTAACCTGCATACAAGTAGCAGTAGGAAAACATGAAACTTAAGTCTAAAAGACACAAAAGTTGTCCACAACCTAACACACTGACCTGAGGTTTGGGAGGTGCTGGGAGAGGCAGCTTGAAGGCGCTGAACAGGTGACTGACGGCCATCCTCCATCGGGCGAAGTGTGGAGGCAGACCCCCTGCGCAGTCCAGGTACAGCGCGTACTCATTCAGGCCAATGTCGAAAATAAAGTGCATGGCTTGTCGTACCTAAGAAAGAACATAGCCAGTGTTACACAATCTCTTGAGTCTCATTGGGCCTCCTCCCTGAGAGCTTGTGGCCATACACCTCTTGCTTCTAAGTGGTATGGAAAGAGTAGAAATTGGCCAGAAAAACAGATAACATACCAGGGGAGCTGGGCCGCTAAAGAGTACATTTTGCCACTCCCAAGAGCTCTTTCCAGTTGCTTCCCAGAGCCTGACAGAGGCTAACACACATCTGTATCTGTATCTGTATAGCCGGTATAACCGCCTTTCGGCGTAACACACCAGCTTCGCAGGCACGCGGCGCGGCGGCAGCTGGCTATATTACACCGATCGACTTGTTACACCTAAACCTTGAACTTCTGGCTCTAGACATTGTTTAAAGCTATCTATTGACAATGCCCCTACTGTACTTGGTGACAGTGAGTTCCACTCTGCGATAGTTCTAGGAAAGAATGAATTCCCAGAACCTATAGGAGCTTAGGATTCTTTTTCACTATGAGAGTCAGTCTAATGGTAGTAGTAGCAGTACTAGTAGTAGTAGTATACTGTATTTGAGCTGCTCTTGATTTTCTGTCACTATGGAAACCAGTCATCAAGCAGACAGTTTTATGCATATATTTCATCAAATGTTCTCACCGATTCCTGACAGTTGGCGTCCTGATTGTCTGCAAACTGGCAGCCGGTGTCATCTGAGCAGCAGTACTTGTTTAGAGATGTCCAGATACTGCAGGGAACAGGGGTCACTTATGAGATTACCAATACAATTTATGTGAAACTGTTGAATATAGGAACATAGAAAATGTTGAAATTATCTTTCCTAAAACCACATATAAAATAATGCAACCATGATGATTTGAAAACCAATGCACAAAATTTCATTATGTAACACTACAAGATCTGTATGTGTGTTTTCATATGAATCTGTATGTGTGTGTGCATGTGTTTGTTTGTTTGTTTACTTGTTTGTATGTGTCTCTTTGCATGTGTGTATGTGTGTATCTGTGTCAGGTTTGTGTGTGAAACCTTACTCATCTCCATAGAGCCCATGGTAATATCCGTAGTACACGACAGAGTTGGCGTTCATCACATGGCTCGTCAGCCCGTTTCCTATCCCAAATCCCTGGGGAGAAGACAACAAAAAGGACATGATTATAAAGCATTACAATTCTAGCCTGGGTGCCATTCTATTTGTATGCCTGGGCTCCCATACTTGCTCCCTAAGAAATAGCTAGAATGGGAGCCCTGGCATACAAATAGAATGACACCCAAGCTAATACAATTCTGCCTGAGGCATAGCAAAAAAAATGATCAATGAATATTATGAGGACAAATGATGGTGATGATCAGAATGATAATTAAGATGGTGTGAAGAAGATACATGTGTACAACATAAATGTATAAAAGTTATATGAATATGAAAACCAATGAATAACAATGCAAGTCTTCATAACCTCGGACAAATACACAATATAGTAATACATATACATTATACAGTGACAGGTGTAGCAAGATTAAGCCAGAACAGAATACACCTGGGTACATTCTGGCCAGGGGTATATTCTAGCCTGCTACACAGGCACTAATACTATGAAAACTACATACCTTGAAGTTTATGGAAGTGTTGGCCTTCATGATGTTCACAGCAAGGGTTGGGACGTAGAATCCGCCGTAACTCTCTCCAACAATGTAGAAATCATTGGGAAGAAACTGGGGGAACTTCACGAAGAAACTCTGAACTGCTGCCAAATTATCCATCGCCACCTCAGAGGAAAAGGAAAGGAATTTGATGTGTGAAATTTTAGTCTACATATAGTCTAGCTTTGAAATGAAAATGAGCATAAATTCTGATTATTATACTATATGAACTTTGAGGTTTTTGCATTCTCATTTTGAAATTACAGTTCTTTTGGCATTGTCCAGGTGTACTTTAATGTCCTTTTGGAAACCATGTCACTTGTAGTCGTATAGGCAGGTAGTCTGGACTACTATCACGAGTAGTAATACTAGTATGCTGGCCTGCTAACTCTTGAGAGTGAATTTACAGTTGTCTGTGTCATCCAATGATCATCATTGGCATTTCCAAAATCATACCCAGTTGCTTCATCCCCAACTGTTCTTTTGGCATATCTTATAATTACCTGGATGTCCAACCTTCACCGATGTACGTGATCATCATTTGCGGAGTAGTTTTTGTCCATTGAATAGGGTATGCAACGTCCTTGCTTAAACGTTATATAACCTCCTTGCTTAAGCTGCTAACTCTTGAGTGCTACACACTTAAAGATGAGTTAACAGTCGCCCGTATTACCTGATCGTCGTTTGTGGAGTAGTTTTTGTCTGTGGAGTAGGAGAAGCCAACGCCGGCGGGTGACTCGAGGTACACGACGTTAGCAACCTGGTTCCAGCTGTACGGGTTCTCGTACAACGTGCTCCCATCATCCTCTACCTGCGCAGGCAGGAAAAAAACAGAATCACGTTCATGATCATTATATCATTACAATTGATACGGGAAAGAGAACTGGCCATGTATGGTATACATTTCCTGGACAGTGAAACATTACATTGGAAGTAAATCTCCAAATAGCTTATCTAGTAGAAGAGTTTGAATTTTCTATTGAATCTTATAATACATCCAATAGTTAATCAGAAAATTGTTGTACGAGTATACTACTAGTAGTACAAAAAATAATGTTACAACACTTAAGGAAAATCTCAAACAAGCTGTAAAATCTGAATCTCACATGATACGGTCCATTTTCTGAGAGATATCCGTCCAGAGAGCTGCACCCTGGTCCTCCGTTCAGCCACAGAACAACAGGGTCGGTTTTTGGGTTTCCCTGAGATTCCACAAACCTGGTAACATTGTACAGTGCAAAACATTATGTTATATGACTATACAATGTCACAACGTATTACATTTCTACAAATGTGGGTGATAAATGTAACATTACTGATTTTTTTACACGTCTGGTGTCTGCCTTCAATGTCTATTCAAGGGAGTTATCAATTTAATCAACCTCCTTATCCTGATAATAAGTGACATGTAAAAAGTCAATTAACCAATCAATCAAAAGGTTTATTTTGTTAACAAAGGGACTGGCAGTCTGAATGCCTTACTCAAGTTGTTGTATAAAAAGATAGCAACTCTGCATTAAAACAATTAACGTTAAGTTATTAACATGATAATTAGGTCATCGTCAATTCAAACAATAGCTCACTTATTAGGGATTAGGAACTAGGTGTGACTGGGAGCAAAAGTACAGAAACAAAACAGCAGGTCTTTTCTTGAAAGTGTTAAACCATACAGGTGGGTTGTAGAGTTATATCCGGTACCGACGACTGTTGTCAGTCACATGCTAGTCACAAGTTTGTATAGAACGCTCACCAGTAGTGCAGCCTCTTGTTCCCCGTAGCGTTCACATAGCCGGAGTACTGCGCGAATTTCGGATTCGTTGCCAGACCAGGAAGCTTCTGTATTTGGTCTGGATGCACAGCAAGTGCCTGGAACACGGAAAGCAGCGATAAAGCGCAGAGAAAAGTTACCGTGGCCGTGTCCGCAGACATGATGTTGTTCAACTGCTTTGTTTGCTGCAGTTCGGGAATAAACCGCATGAGGGAAGCACGTGAGACGAAAGTCAGGGTTACTCACATCAGCTCTGTAGAGGTGCTAACTGAAAGCTGTCTGCGGAGTACTCCACGGTTTTAAGTGAAATATCTCTGAAGGTTTTTCCAAGAGACTTTAAACTTAAGTTTAAAGATGTAAATAGTGTTTAAGACCAAATCGTAATTTCATATATTTAGTCAAAATACAGGACATTTTTTTTTTGCCCCTTTCATATTCTAGTCGCTGAACCAGCTGCTAGTTTCTGCCTACTCCGTTTTTGGACATGTATCATTGTCATGGGAAGGTGACATCATCGGGTAGAATTTAGCCAATGCACCTTAAATATGACTTCTTTCACCTTAAGTTACTAATTTCATGTATACATCTGCTCTTTTATACTATAAAATAAGAGCTTTTTCTATCAAAGTATTCGCGGCTTCTAAAATGAAATATTCTAAATGTACCCCCTTAAATTTAGTGGTATAGCCTATATGGGTCAAAGGTTGGACATCTCTTTCTGTTCTTCGTGGCGTCAAATTTCCTCCAAATTTTGAACGTTGTTCAACGTTTTAACCAAGAACTGACGTGACCTGCAACTGAACTGTAAAGGCTGTAATGGGCCTGGAAACCAGTGAATCGTGCAGTGTGGTGAAACAACAATTCCGTCCAACTGTAAGTGTAAGGTGAAGCGAATGTTGGAAAGTTACTGCCGTTATCCAAGAGCTCGAGAAAAATGTCCTCTTCACAGCTTTGCGTGTTGCTGGTCGTCTTGTCGAACGGTTTCCTCCGATGTTGCGGACTAACGGACGTCACAGAGACCGTCTTCCCCAACCACATCAACCACGGAACCATCGCTGCTGTCGGCGACTTCAACGCGGACAAGCAAACGGACCTGTTCGTGTTGACCAACCAGGGTAAGCTTGGCGTTGTGATTTTATAGCTCTGATGAGGTTCCTTGGTGATACTACATGCTCTTTCTCTTGTATATAAATGACCTACCAGATCAACTTGACTCAAATGTGAGGTTATTTGCCGATGACTGTCTATTGTATGTAGAGCTTTCTACACAGACCGACTCACAACTTCTCCAAAAAGACCTGAACACCCTGGAAGAATGGCAAAGCAAATGGCTCATGCAGTTTAATCCCGAAAAATGCTACATTATGCACATAACAAACAAACGAACACCACATGCAACTAGCTACCAGTTTTGTGGTCAGGCTTTAGCAACCACAAAAATCCATCCGTATCTGGGCGTCACGCTGACAAGCGGACTGAAGTGGGGTGCACATGTTAATAATATCACAACTAAGGCGAAACAGACATTGGGAGTGATTAAACGTAATCTGTGGGCATGTCCAACGAGAGTAAAATCACTTGCATACACGTCACTTGTAAGACCGAACCTAGAATACGCTGCGACAGTATGGGATCCATATACAAAGAAAGACAAAGGCAAATTGGAAAGGGTACAGAATCAAGCTGCAAGATTCTGTATGAACAACTATGTAAGAGGTGCTAGTGTCACGGAAATGAAAAGAAACCTACAGTGGACCTCACTTGAAGACAGAAGAAAGATGTCTAGACTATGCATGATGTACAAAATGACTAATAAACTGGTGGATGTCCCAACTACTAAGTACCTAATACCAGCCCAGAAGAGAACAAGAAATAGCCACGCATTCAAGTACCAGAGTTATCAACCAAGGATTGAGGTGTTCAAGAATTCATTCTTTCCTAGAACTATCGCAGAGTGGAACTCACTGTCACCAAGTACAGTAGGGGCACTGTCAATAGATAGCTTTAAACAATGTCTAGAGCTAGAAGTTCAAGGGTTAGGTGTAACAAGTCGATCGGTGTAATATAGCCAGCTGCCGCCGCGCCGCGTGCCTGCGAAGCTGGTGTGTTACGCCGAAAGGCGGTTATACCGGCTATACAGATACAGATACAGATACATGTAGTACTGTATACATTACATAGAATTTACACAGGTAAACCAAGGAGGTTCAATTTTAACTGACTGTCAGTGACAGCTGTCAATAAAATGATACCATAACAGTACAGTATGTGCTTTGTGAGATGAATGTTCTCAAACAGTCAGAGATTGGGAGCACTTCCTCATGATCAGGACATAAATGAAATCACAGAACTTCAAGCAAGCCGTACTCCTGCACCTGAGGAAACAATAACAACACAGTGCACTCCCCCTGTGCATCTTACACCAACAGAGGGGTGTTGCACAGTATCTTCTCAAAACAAGAACAAGAATGAGATATCTAGATAATTAGACTAGTAGAGGTTTTTGTTATTTTCAAAATTCACAAATGAATGAATGAATTTTTGTTTACCTTTTTTCTCAAGGACGGCACCTGGATATCTTACTGATGGGAGACAAGCATCCTCAGTACTTAAAAAAGGACAGACGACTGCAGCTGGACATGTGAGTTTTCCTCAGAATGTACTATAGATTACATGTACCTTATTCATTCCTATGAACAGGTGGGGCCTCCTCACCCTGAAGATGGTATAGAGGTACATTGTGCAGGTATGTGAAAAAAGAGTCTCAATTTTCAGTCATCTGCAATTTATGTTTTCATGCCTCACTTGTTACCGAGTACAAACATTAGGGAAATCCTACAACTCTTGTTCGTCAATTTGAATAAATGTACAAAGATTATAGAGCTTGAAAGACCACGTAGTGCAGGTAAATCAAAACTGTGGAGGTACTCTATTTCTGATGTCTACCTGCACCAGTCTGCATGAACTGGATTTATATGTACAGTATGTGCCGATTTTGTGTATCTGCATTGACGGTTACCCCCTGTTCCCCAGAATGAGACGATGACAGGTGTTGTACCACTCGACGTCTACCTGCACCAGACCATGTACTGGTTTTAAACATGTAGGTGTATGTGGATTTGCATTGATGGTTTCCACCTGTTCCCCAGGAATGAGACGATGACAGGTGTTGTACCAGGCGACTACGACGGAGACTCGCAGATGGACATCCTGGTGACGACCACACCCGGTAACGCCATGGCAACCAGGGTGCACATCTTCTGGGGGAGGACAAAATCTATTGGTGAGCGAGTCCACCGCCATTCAGCACGGTTTGCTCCATTTTTACAGAAGGCCTTCTTGTTACCTTGCTGATGTTTTTAGATTCAAATTTCACACGATGTTGGCAAACCTTACATTCATCTTCCTTTAGAGTAGATGGGCCTATCTGTAAATTAGAAACTTAATTGCGATACCGGTACGTCTGGATTGTGTATCCTTGTCAGTACAGCTGGTATAATCGCCCTTCAGTGTAACACACCATGCGGCTTCGCAGGCATGCAGAGCGGCAGGAGCTATCTATATTACACTGAACGACTTGCACATTTAATTTTCTAGTGATGTAGCCTCAACTGTGCTTAGTGGCAACGAGTTTCACGAATTCCGCCACCATTCAGCACATCTTGCTCTGTTTTACCCTGGAATTGTTGTTCTGTTTTAAGATACAATTTTCACATGATACTACAAAGGCCTCATATTCATCCTCCTCAAAAGTAGATGGGCCTACTTGATAGATATACATGTACATACATTTATAGGTTTTTGTTTTTCTATGATGGAATATTTGGTGTTTCAGGTCCGTCTGTCACCCTACCAGTGTCCTTTACAGATGAGCCCTTAGTGATGGAGTAAGTACACTGTATCTTATATTAAACCATGATTTAATGTTCTTGTGTATACTGTGTATTCTTAAAAGGAAGAAAGAGTCACAAATATTGGAAAACAAAAATTCATTTCCCACAAAAGTATAGTAACTTATTAGTTGCATAACAGCAAATCTAAATTTTTGTACACAGTTTTCTCATTGAATTTGAAGCACTAGAAATATACATCATTTGATTTGTTATAGACAAATGTTATTTTCCACTGTAACAAACAGCTATTTCACACACTTCTGTTCCCCCAGTTCCAATGGCAACATGATTCCGGACATCTTCGGTGAAACGTTGGAAGGACATCGACTATTCTGTGAAGTCCTGGATAGGTGAGATGTAGATGTGTATTATTTGAAACTCTTGTCTGTTTGTGCTTTGAAAACATGATTAACAGCACTGGTCATAAGTCAGGTAACTTCCTTGTGGCCTATGTTACAGAAATCAGGGTAACGTGAGTTGCCAGCCCCTAGGAGGGCACAACGATACCCAGTTACCTCCGCTGAGGCGTCCGCACTCCAATGCTTTCCTAGACCTCGTGGGAACCAACCACTTCCCAGGTACGCAAAAATTAAACCATGGTTCAAATTTATCTGTTAACAGGTGCAATGGCCAAGTGGTTAGAGTGTCTGCCTTGCAATGTTTTGTGCAGTAGGTTCTACTAGGTTGTGTTCACATCTTTGCCTTTGTTTTCACAGATCTGTTGCTCACAACAAGAAATGAGTCTGCTTCTGTGTTCTCATTTGAAGTTTGGGAAAATCAGGTAAGTCCCAAATGTGGCTTCTGTATTACTATAGTAAACTACATGTACGTGTATGATAATAATCTATATAATGTATATAACCTATTGATTGCAATGATATTTTTCCTTTCTGTAGAATGGAGTATTCACCTGGAATGGACAACCCCTCTATCTGCCACCAGGGGTGACCGTAGCACACATAGGACAGTCAGCATTCGCAGACATAGGTGAGGACTTGCCACTGGATAAATTCTGTGAAGGGTCAGACATTCCAGGTAGCATTTCAGATAGTAATTGATCTGACGGAGAATAATGTATTGTTTTTTTTGTTGTCTCTCAGATGGGAATGGAAAACAGGACCACCTCCTGCCTGTATGTGAGGATTCAGACTGTCGGCAAAGTTCTGTCTATGCTTACCTGGATGATAAGGTCAGAGCTAGACCTAGGTATGCGATTTGGAGAAATTCGAAGGTCGCGTTTCACCATATCGCATGTCGATTTTGGCCACCTCAGAGCGCAAACGCGCAGATCGCCCTATGTGTTCGATTTTGTCCACCTGACAGTGAAAACGCGCAGATCGCCATATGGGCGGCGCATGCCATCATTTCTGTGCGAATTTGTCCCCCTGAAGACGGAAACGCGCAGATCGCGATCTGTGCGAAACTCTCCACCCAACAGCCGGAATGCGCATGACCTTCGGCGCCACTAACAGCAGGGCCAACCGCCTGAAGTCGGCCTGCCGCCGAGCCCACCTGAGTGCAGGCTCCCGAGTGGGCTGTGACACTGTAATCAGCGTGACGACCCCTGGTTTTACAACATATACAACACGGCATCATGAAGTATATAGTAACCTACTTGGTGTTTGTGAAAATATTTGTTTCTGTGTAAGTTTTTGCACGAACGGAGCACCGGCCAGAGCGCCTGTCCGGCTCGTCGGTAAAAAAAAAGCAAACAATATACATGTAGTAGACTAAGTGTTCTTCGGTTATAACTGTATATTCCACAGACACTTATAGACATATCTTTCTGGTAGCTTTTGCAAGGACATTTGGTAATTTTTTTGTAAGTGTCTGTGCAGCATTTTTTCAGCTAAAATCCCACCGGTTGACTCGGTCAAGACGGCAAAAGGTAAGTGATCGCAGTAGCCAGGGGAGATCATCGGGCACACAGCGCCGTGGAAAAAGGTTTGCATTACACATAGCTGTGTACAGAGAATAAATATTTCCTACATTATCGGCACCTTTTGCTTAAATAGAAGTCTACCAAAAAAAAACAATGATTTGTCTGTAGTTTGTCTTATTCGTAGAACAAACTTATAGCCATTTGGAATATTGTAAAATGTCGGCGTATGAACCGACAAAGAAAATGTTGATTGTCCGGTAAAGTCTTTGATTTTCATGTCCTCCGTTAGGAAATCCTTTGACATTGCCTACTATGCATAATTTTCAGACAGTGTCAGACTAGTTAGTTTAAGCCCTTTCTTCTTAATTAAACAATCTACTCACCAACACAATGCGAGCAAGTAACCTGTTCGGTGGGAAAGCACTCTGCGGACGCGGGAAATTTTAATATGAACACATTAACCTCACCAAACAATAACAACCTTTGCCTAACAATAAAGTGCGTGGCGTTGTCCACCAGATGTCCTAAGAAAACAACAGCAATATTTCGTAAGGTGTGACAGTCAATAATATGATAGAAATGTCCACATACGGTGACTTCTAGCCAATCATTGATAGTCTACCTGTTGCAAAATTCTTCGGACTACAGTAGCTCAGTCACTCGCATCAGCACTAGCCAACATCAAACGGCTGGTGCATGACGAAGGGTGAAGAATCCAGCTTGACCGTACGCTAATGGAGTGGTTGGACCTTCAGCGGAAGGAAGGGATCGCTGTCAATTAATTTCAAAAGCAGTTGTCGCACCGCAGGCGTGCAAACACCAACACAAGCATTTCTTTCATTGGGGAACTTTCTTGTAGATTATATTATATTTCAATCCATCTTATGATCAGTTGGGGTTGTCGTTAAAATGATAATGAATATATAGGTTATTGTAGCATGATCGATATTCCTCTGCAACAATAATTTTCAAATTTGCTTGACCGGGAACGTACACATATTTGTTCTATGAAATGAATCCAACTCGCCGCAGAGGTGAGATTGGCAGGAAACGCAATGCGTTCTGGGGCGTTCCTTCAGAGGACAATGACCCCTTGTTTTTAAAATGCGTGCGTCACCCCATACAGGCTCGGCGTCTTTTAGACAAATTATTAAAGGAAATTTAAATTCTTCAACATATAAATTTGGATAGACTTTAAGATCCTTCTAAATTTTGCGATCAATCTGAACAAGCAAAACAAACCGGAAGTTTACTGGAACGCAGCTTGTGAATTTCATGTTTACAAAAAAATCAGAAGACATACACAAAACAACCTACTTTCTGTTGTTGCATATATATATATATGCTACAAATTACCTGTTCTTGGTCAAAGAACTTTTTTGATGCCTGCGGTAAGCCCCTGAGTGCTATCAATGGGTTCTTCGGGCCAGGGCAGCCCAACTTACCGGCAACATGTGGATCCGGACCGTAGGTTGATCGGCGCGGTCAGCATCGCCCAGTCAGCTTTACCAGTACTTGTGATATTTCGTAGTTTAGACGGGCCAGTCTTTACACTATCGCCAACGTTAACGTTATAATTTCACGGCATACTACAGGCGTCATTCCTACCGGAAGATTCCACTCTACTCTAGACGTACTCTTTAGTAAATCTGTCCCCGAGTCTACCTCGGTATTTTCGGTGATTTATGACAAGTTTCTCAACGAATAGTCCTCCTGGGTCCAGTGTAGGGAAAGAAGGCAGTTAACTTACCGGTACTGATTAAATTAATAGTAAGACAGTCTTACCAAACTGCCAGTTTCAACCAAACTTTGCGGGTATGTTTGTATTTGGTCTGAAAAAAATCCCAGCGCAAACCTTGTCATGTATAGAATAACGTCGGGTTCCGGCCGCGATATTTTGCGCCGCGGGTTTTGACTGAATCCTCTTTTTATATTAATACATATGAACAGTATGTACAAATAATTTCTCTCTACCTTGATTTCTATGAAAACACTTACCACAAAGTCGCCAAGCCGATACCACAATGGATGACGGGATAGCGTCACAACATCACCGTCGCCATCTTGTTATTTTGGTAGAGAGGGAAGTTATGGCGATTGTCGTAAATCCCCGTGTAGATGTTAGCATTAGAGGGCCACCTTATTCTAGCACGCAATAACATATAGCGTTACACTTTAATCATCGTTATTGCACATTCTTGCCCAGATGGGCTAAGTTATAGCCCGGTATATAACCGCCGGTAAAGAATACTTTGGTCCTATATTTGCTTCGAGCTGTTGACCAACTCACTCACACACACATGCTTTTCGGCGACCCTACTTATTCATAACTTCGCCATTTAGATGGCCCCACCATCACACTCTCGTCAACGTTGTAATTTTACTGTACACCCCTCAATATCATTCAGAAATATTTGAAATACATTGTAAAATATGTTGCCGACTCTACGTGGATATTATCGGCGATTCAGTGTTTCTCAACGAAAACTCCTCTCGGTCCTGTTGAAGACTCTGTGAGTGGAGGAAAGAAAGCAACAAGTTAACTTTCTGACTAATACTAAGACTAAATCAAACGTTGGCATTTGGTCTAACTATAAAATCCCCAGTGTAAACATATGATGTTTAAAATTCACGTCATCAGGCCACACCACATTTCGGCAGGCTCATTTCGGAGCATTTCCCGTACGTGCGATCAGATCGCATCTCGGCGATCTGCGAGTTCCCGCCTTCAAGCGGAGAAATTCGCACACACATGATGGCCTGCCCCTCATTTGGGCGATCTGCGCGTTGCTGCTCTCAGGTGGCCAAAATCGCACACACGGCCGATCTGCGCGTTACCGCTCTCCGGTGGCCAAAATCGACATGCGATATGGTGAAACGCGACGTTCGAGTTTCTCCAAATCGCATACTAAAGCCTACCTGAAGGTCAGTATACTACTAAGACTAGGTGTCGATTTTGCACAACATGCAGTCAGTATATCAATGTGTCTGTGTGTAATCATACTGGTACATAATTATACACTTTGCACATTTGTATCATATTTGTATCATGTTTTAATAGTCTATAACATCCCCTGCCCTGTAGTGGTCTCTTGTGCTGAAGACGACCGCCTCTGATGATGTGACCTGGAGATTCGTGCCCCCGACAGTCAGTAACCAGCCCATCACCCTACGGATGGGGGACCATAACCTGGATGGCTTCCCTGATGCCCTGGCTGTCATACAGGTCCAGACTGACAAGTACGTGTGTGTGTACCAAACTTCGGCAGGGCTCAAAATACAGGAGTGGTAATACTGTACTCCTTTAGTGGACCAACTCCCCTGGTACGTTATCTGTCTATTTGGTGGCCAATTTCTACCCTTTTCAGCCATTTCTGAACCCTACTGGCTACTGAACAGGGAGACATTGTGAATAAAAATACTCTTTTTACACAACCAATTTTTTTGTACAGCAGACATTTTGAGACAGATTGGGACATTTCAGTGACTGTCTATCACCTTCCTCAGGGCAATTCTGACTGGTTTACATTTATGTTTGGGAATGCATCTTTAGCAACTGTACTGTGCAATGTGAACAAGTCCTTAAGGATTTAGGTGACAGAAATGTTGGCTGAATAAAAGACTTGATTGTGGAAAAACGTCTCTTTATTCAGTGACTTACAAACCTGATGAAACTCACAGAAGTGAGACTTTGTGTGACAGAGGCTAACTGCTCTCTGCTGTTTCCAGGGGTTATGAGAGGAGGGCAGCCCTGCTGATTAACAGTCCCTGTGAGGATATCGTCAGCTGCACACCTGGGAAGAGAACCTTCACTGTACAGCCCATCACAGCTGTACCAAACGTCACTGTCGCTACCTTCTTCGACCTGTTTGAAAAGGTAAGGACGCCTTCTTATAGACTAGTATTTTTGACTTTGAGAGTTTTCAAGATGTTATGACTAAATATGCGTCAGAGTTTGAACTGGTCAACAGATATAACCACCATTCAGCACACAGTGGCAGCTGGTTATATCACACAAAAAGACGTGTCACGCCTAACCCATTAAAATCTCCATGTAACTCAGGCTGGGTGCTTCATTTGCTAAATGATTTGGCAACATAAATAAGTAGTGGCATTGAGCATGACTGTCATCAGTGAATGTATGTGTTTGTGTTTTACAGGGTGTGTTGGACATAGTGTTGATGAGTGATCAGGGGCCGGGAAAGGACTTCCAGCTACATGCACTGGAGAACAGCTTTAGTGAAGACGTCTGCTTCCTCAAGATTATGGGTGAGTCAGGACCATACAAGACTTTATCTTTCTGTACATTATGTTAGGTATACTATTTGTAGATATCATACACATTAAGTACAATATACGATGTACCATATGAAATCACCATCTTGGCTTTTCTTCTGTTTCAGTGTTGAGTGGACTGTGTTTCTCTGACTGCAAGTCCGGCAAGGTGAGTACATTACACACCATGTAGCATGATACATGTACATACCAGTATGGCTTAGCTGGTAATATGTCAGGGCTTTAATCCCATTGCCCATTGTTGGTGGTCTGCGCTGATTGATTTGCACAATTTTGACGCTTTTCTCCAGCCATACGGTGTGAACCAGCCTGGTCCTCTGGTCTGGTACAAAACCACTGGGTCGGATGGAACCACACAGACCAGCTCAGGTACTCTTCAACTTATCCTTAGCTACTGCTTTCAACAAAAACTCCATGATGTATCCAGCAATGATGACATCTAGCAGCAGATACTAGTTTCACAAATCTTAAAGAGTGACGTAAATTGTATTCAATGTGATAAAATATAAAACTTTTGAAACTCTTATGTAGACGTTTGTATGTACCATATTTTGTTCCTTTTTTCCAGCTGCCCAATTGAGTCAGACTGCCCACCTGGCCCTACAGTTGCCGTACACCGTGTTCGGACTGGGGAGAACACCCAACTTCGTGGATGAGCTCTGGGTAGAAATACCTGCACCACCTGGCAAAGTAAGCCAACTTTACCGTGTAAAAGGAGTAACGAATTGTTGAAAATTCTGTTGTCAAGTCATTTAGTCTGGGATATCTCGACCACGAAGATTGTGTTAGTGTACTGTGCAGTTCTGACATGTTGTTGTAACTGCCTCCACCAGGCTTGGATAGTAAGATTTGGCAAAAATGCGGAGAATTAGCTAGGACTCTAGTAGGAGTGTGAGCCGCAATAAGAGTAACATTTCCTACAATTGTTTCAGGACCCACGTGTACGCCGGTGGACCTCCATCATTCCGAACTCTCAACTCATCATCATCCCACAACCCATGGACCAGCCTGACCAGTAAGTGGGGGAGTTTTGGAGTCTGGAATATAATCACTTTGTTTGGCAACTGTTTAACTTATCCTCCAGCTTGCTTAAGTATCAGTGAGATGTACATTTGAGATGTAAGACAGTAGCCTGGGTGCTATCCTCCATAGTTACCGCTGACTCCCTATCGTCGCTGGCCACCACTTCTTAGACCACTTCTTGTCCAAGAAGACCACTTTTCATTGGTCCATTGGGTGGTCATCTAAGACACAAGTTTGCCAGTGACAATAGCATGGATGATGGCACCCAGGCTATTAACTAGCCTCTACCAGGCTTCATAAAGTGGCTAAAAGGAGTAGAAATTGACCAAATAGACACAGATAATATGGCAGGGGAGAGTCTGTGGTAAGAGAACAGTTTGCCACTCCCAGATATCATCTGTCTATTTGGCCAACTTCTACTCTTTCCAGCTTCTTCTCGAAGCCTGGTAGAGGCAACATTAATCCAGATGTTTTGTGTTGCTGCCTGTTGTGTAGATGGCTGAACAAGTTACTGGTGACCCCGGGACAGCAGGCCCTGCTGACGGCCGGTGCACTGTTGGGGACATGTATGTTCATCGCAGGGATCGTCGGAGGGCTTCACTGGAAGGAGAGGGTAAGGAGAATGTACTCCTATGTTTCACACATACAAAAAATTTGTACAGTTGCTAGTGGCAAATGTGTAGATCTTGGCCCATTGGTGACACCAAATCCATTTGTGTCCTCATCAGTGTTTGGACACAAGTATCGACAATTGGCTGAAAGGCCTGATGGGCATCACTCCACCATACAGGGAGGGAAGTCGTGTTAAGTGCCTTTCCCAAGGGCACAACATCACAGGCAGGTCAGGGGATCGAACCCTGGACCTCTTGGTTTTGAGCCAACTGCTCTGACCATTATGCCATGGGACGCCACTTTCACAAGGCATACTATCAACCAGTTACAGTGCCTGTTTGCACCACACAGAGTTACACATATCTACTGATTGTACCAGTGACTGTACAATGTCAATGAGAACATGTGTGTAGTGTGAGTCTTGTTCTGATATTGTTCTTTATCTGCCCTACAGAGACATGACCAGAAAGAGAGAAGACAAGAGGCTCATCACTTCCACTTTGAGGCACTGTAACCATGGTTACAGTTAGACGGAGGGAGGACAACATCTGTTGCAACTACATGTACATGTATATAGATGGAGCTGCATAGAAGCATACAATGTACATGTATTTCTTTGTTGGAATGTCATCAAACTTTTAATTTCTGATCAATATAAAGTGACAGTAAAGAGACTTTTGTGACAATTCATGATTGATGAAAATGTGATGAATAATGTGATTATGTCTTTTTTGCCCATGCTGCTTATTCATTTAGATGAAAAAATGAATTATGTATCCAGTGAAGACGTCTCTCATCATATACATATTTTTGCCTGTTGTCAAGTGAGCTTTTTACTGTGCAAATCATACAAGTGGAGCTCTTTTGAACATCGTTAAAAAGTAGGTAAATGGACTTTCAATAGAAGAGTAACACAAAACTTTGGTGTAGTTTTTGTATCAGTATACAGTGTAATAATATAAATAAACTGCATTTACATTTGCAGTGTATTGCCAATTGCAAAGTCCAGTCAGCTAAAAATTGCAAAATCTGAAATGAGAACTATTGTTATAAATGTACATTTAGTGATAGCTCTGATTGTTTTAGTATATTGTATTTTCTTCGTGTATTTATTAAGCCTGATAAAAGAAAACAAGATACAGTCAATGAAATGTATATTAAGTAATTATGAATGAATGATTTTTGTTCTGTCCTATGACAGGTCTTACTACATGTGCAATAAACAAGAAACAAAATGAGGTTAACATTTCTTTTTCTTCTTTATCTCATCAATGTATCATCCTTATACACACCATACAGTATGGCCTCAAACTATTTGCACCACAATATTGGCAGCAATCACAAATATCACATTGTCACTGTTCTAACCTGTACATATCCTACAGCTTTATTTTCATCTTATTCCTGTGACATGGGTCCTCTGAGTACAATGTATTAATAAAGGAAACAGATCAGTTTTTCTAACGAAAGAAATCTTCAAAATCTTACACCTCATTGCTTTGTACAGGAGTTGCAGGCCTGAATATACCACTGGCCATAATATATCCAGGGGTACATTCTGAACAAGGGTATATTCCAGCCTGCTACACCCATTTCCTTATACCATTTGGTTTATAGACACAAAAGCTTCTATGTATCTCATTAGGTATAACCAGCACAAACCTGATTTTTATAAATGGGAAATTCAATCATTAAATTAAGATATCATACACAGTATTGACAGTAATAATAATACAAAGTAAGACCGCTGTCACACTGGTGTACCCGAGACTGTACAGAACATTCAACACATCGTCAGAACGTACTGTGCTTGTGCAAAACTGGGATTTTTCTCGGTTCTTGTTTTGGTCAACATCGCATCAGAATTTTGCCTGATGCTGAGTTTGAAACTATACACAGGGTGTCATGCTTAAATATGTGATTAACTTTCTACCAAAGTGCTATGCACAATATAATACATTACAGGTTTTGCAGTGCTTTCTGCTGTAGTTACTTGATTTGGTCAGTTTATGACTTTGTAGAAAGAATCTAATATTGTAAATAAGTCAAAGTATGACAATGAGCACATGCTACGATATTCCCAGTTTTCCTGACTAAAGGTGTTGGTCATCAAGCATCTAGAATCTAAGAGGCCCAACCAGTAGAAGGCTGATAGATGACTGTATGACTTTGCTAGGTTAATATTTACCCTTTGTTTGCTACAACTTAAATCCACACTACGACTGCCCACCAAGTCGTTAACTCACTAACCTAGTTACCACTGATTACTTTTTATCCTGGTATTATTTTCTGGTCATGATATAATAGTGTTACACAATATGATACATCAATCACTTGCAACAAAAGCTCCTCAAAGAAGCCTTATAGTTGTAGGTATTCTCTCCTTGACATCTAAAATCACCGTAACAATCTGAGTTTTCGTCAGCAGCAAGAGAAAATACTGTAAATCAAGATTTTGTTGCGGTACTTTTGTACGTCCTCACAGTTTTTGCGGCCACTTCTGTACCGAAAAATTATCTTTATCGTAGGCAAATAATTCACCAACTTTCTTTTTGCTGCACCTGCCGCCACCGCGAATGTATAGTTCCATGAACATGTCCATTTTTATCACGGAAGTTCATCTGTGTTGGTAGTAATCATAGTAAAATGTTGCCCTCGTCACGTATCAGTAAAGTCTCATGTGAATAAGGTCACGTGATTGTAACCGTAACTCTCGCGAGATCACGTTGATTGGTCAGTAATTATCCTGATGAAGGCGACAGTGGTCACTGAAAATTTTATCTTTTGTGTGTTGGAATAAAGTTCAACGTTTTACTACTAGTATGTCCATTTTTCTCAGACCGCGAACATAATATAAAGTTAGCCTCCATAGCATGCCAAAAACTAGGGGTTTTGGGGGTCTTCAGGGTCTTTGGAATCTTTTATGTGCTATTTTCTGATTGCATATAGACAACATAGCCAGCCTGGTTGAATTACCCCCGTTTTTTAGAACTGGGCTAATCAGAAAACAGCCAAAGACCACCAAACTCCCAGTTCTATAAGCCTGCTACGGAGGCTAATATAAAGTGATTTACAGTAGTTTTTTGTTTTTTGGCGACACCTGGAAGGCGATGCCAGCTGTACATGTGTGTAGATCATTCAGAAGAGAAGAGGTCCCCAGCGGAGGGCAGCGGTGCGAGCCCTCCTGTCACGTCAGGTAGGAGCGTCAGGTCTGGCAGGTTCTGCAGGTGGGACTTCAGCTCTTTCCTCACGCTGGTCACCTTCGCCAGCTTGGTCTTGTACTCCTAGGAAAAATAAACATGTAGCACTTATAAATACTTTTTTGTCCTTGCATTCTGGGCTATTTTGTGTGGCAGTGGTCTGATGCCTTGAGGTTAAGCAGCAGTGTTAGAACTGAAAATAATTTTATCTGGTTGGTCAAACATAGAATAGAGTCTTCTTTAAGACAAGTAATAAAATCTCTCCCTTGCATTTTGATGCCTATAAGACACCTTCCTCAGAGCTTGTGACATAAAGCAGCAAGAAGCAGTACTGGTAGTACTGTACCTTACAAGTCAGAATCTCTGAGGAAAATGTCTGATAGGCATCAAACGTAAGAAGTAGGGGACATGACTGGTTGTGTAAAAGAAACCTCCAACACGAGTTCAGGTATGCAGAATTCTAGAAAAAAGTAGATACAATACAAATGCTCACCGACAACATTTCCTCGGACTGCGCTAATTTCTCCTTCTGCACGGCTACAAAGTCCTTCAGCATCCGGGACACGTGTTTCCTGTCCTCCAGCTCGGCGGCCAGTCTCCCGTTGTACTCCGCCAGTAACATGCACGCCTCATCTACCATCTTAGACAACTTTTCTGCTGAATCTCGGTCTGCTAGAAAAAAGGAGTACAAGACATTAGAGAGCATGGCCTTGCCAGTGTTAACTCCCTGGATAGGGCCGCCTGGAGGTACGGAGTAAAGAACAGTACTACGGTACTAGCCGACTGCTGCCAACCCCTGTGACAGGGACAACAACAGCAGTATAATCTAATCCTGGATGGTGAGTGAGTGAGTGACAACAGTAGTAGTAATTGGTTTATTGTTAAAACGCCAAGCTTTACAGTACAAAGTAACAGTAAAACGAACATAGTTATCATAACAATATGTCAAAAGACTATGGCAAGTAACATTCAAGTTCATTGTAGTTCATATATTGAGGGGACAAACCTTGTATTTTCTCTAACATGGAGACATCCTGTACTTCAGGCGGGAGGTTTGCGATCTTCTCTCTCACTGCAGCGTCACTCGAGGCCGAGTGTTCCAACTCCTCCAGGGCCTTCATCAGCTCCTCTGGCTAACAGTGAGGAGCACATGTAAGACTATAAGTCAAAGTAATGAGCTCCCTTGGGTAACAGTTAGGAAGACAATCATGTAAAACTATACAGTTCCTGGCTAACAGATAAGAACACATGTAAAAATGTCTGTATAATGTCCTTTGGTTAAAGCAACAGAATTGGCAGTCCTAAGCACTTTTGCTACATGCATATACACAAAAACATCTCAACATCAACTTTAAGTCCTTCTCATGATGATCAAGTCCTTCCTACACCATATTGTATATAGGACAGCCCCAATCTCCATTTCTACAGCTCTTGGGCCATAAAGCTGCGCAAACACTACAGCAGGGGGCTAGTCCTCTGGTAGACCATGTATAAGTTACCACAAGTACGAAAAGAAGTGAATCATCTTGCAAAGTGAATCAACGCTTTTTCATGTAGACCTGCAGACAGCTTAGGGCTAGCATTGGGCCTCAGTGACCTAAGATCTTTCTTCCTAACATCTGCTTGGAGATTTGGGTCAAGACTTCTTACTTCAGGAGGTTCCCTTGGAGACCCCTCTTCTTCTTCCTCTTCCTCCTCGAGTAGAACGACCGGCTCCACCTTCTTCTTCTTCACGGGCGATCGCCTGTCTTCGTTTCCTGAGCGCTTGTCTGAAAAATGAAATGAAGCACATTGTTGTATATTGGGGTTAAGCATATAAATATGCTAGCCTGGGTTCCATCTTCTTTGGATGCCGGGGCTCCCATACTCACTCCCTAAAATATTTCTTAGGGAGCGAGTATGGGAGCCCCGGCATACAAATAGGATGGCACAGAGACTATAAATATGCATCTGTTAGTGTACTGCTTGTTGACACTGCTGAATCTGATAGCTGAACTGAGCCTGATTTCAATAAAGCTTCTAGCAGCCCTTCCACTGGTCAAGCCCCTAGCCTGGCTACATCACACTTCTAGCAGCCCTTCCACTGGTCAAGCCCCTAGCCTGACTACATCACACTTCTAGCAGCCCTTCCACTGGTCAGGCCCCCAGCCTGACTACATCACACTAAGACTTCTAGCAGCCCTTCCACTGGCCACTCCCCTAGATGCTACATGCAGATTACTAACATCTAAAGTTAGGAGAATTGGGAGCATCATAATCCTGTTGACTTACGCATAACATTGTCAGACTGAAAACTGTCTGTTACCAAGTGTTGGAGGCTGTGATAACTGGTTTCCATCGTATGACTAAGACAGAATCCTGAGTTCTTCCAAGGAGGTTAATACTTGTATTTACAAGTTGTATTTAACCTCATTGGTTCTTCTTGCACTGATTTTGATTGTGATAAAGATAAACATGTACAAACAATACTTACGAAGTCCCCGTTTGAGTTGGTCGACATAATCTGCATCATATACTGCTCTTTCCTTCCAGATGTCCACTATTCTTTCCAGCCGTTTTACTGTATCGTCATCTGTTGCACTGGGGGGACAAAACAGAACAGGCAGTTTTAAGTTTCTCTTATCTGCTACAAATATAATTCATAAGCTTGTGAATGTAAAATTTCTTTACAACAAAGGGTTCTTCTTCTTCTTAATCTTAATGATACTGGTACAAAACCCTCGCGGGTATAGCCGACCAGGGGTAGGTCTTGGTGCACGGCTAAGAACGGCCGGTGGTGGTAGTGCTCATAACAAATAAAGTGAAAAAGTTCTGTACAAGGTGAAAAAAAAGCGATGCTCTAAACAAAACCTGGAGTTAGATACTAACACTGCAACAAAGTGCATGCAAAGCTGGTGTGTTACGCCAAAGGGCAGTTATAGTAACTTATACTGGCCACACAGATACTATTCATCCATATATAACAATTTCTAACAAGAGAGGAGACATGACAGTATTTGCTCTGCATGGTGTCATTGGTTAGAAGAAAGGGTGTGGCATCAAACTCCATATATGGGAACAAACAAGAGTAATACGTTGGTGAAGGTTAGACATCCAGGAAATTAGATACGCCAAAAAACAGTTACTCAAGCAACTGGATATGATTTTGGAAATGGTCAGACGTTTCAGGTAGCGTCCACTACCTTTCGAGTTTCATCAGTGACACTAGAGAACTTGTGCAGAAATGTAGCAAGAGCTATTGATTGATATGCAAATAAGTGACCGTTTGACTGTCTGACCATCCTTTTCCAAAATCATATCCAGTTGCTTAAGTAACTATTTTTTGGGCATATCTATATGCATAATCTGCAAAAAGAAATAGAAAAGCAAACCAAAAATACTTAAAAAGCATGCCTGTTCCGCGACATGTCTGGAGACTTACGTGTACCTTGCTACATGTTGGAATGCGCGCACCAGAACGTTGGTGAACTCTTTGGTGAACTCTGGTCCCTTTTTCTTACTGTTCTGTATGACATCGTTGGCCAGGTACATAAACGTAAGCTTCCTGCCGGGTTTGGCTGGAATGGAAGAATATTTGTCCTTTAAAAGAGGGCCTGCATGGGGGGGGGGGAGGTGATTATGACTTACGCAAAATTTTCACAAGAATCACAACCGATTACAAATTATCTTAAATTCTCAGAGCAGATTACGGCCTAACACTTTGCGACTAATGTACTATTATGAATTACGTTGATTTTTGGGGAGGCTGACTACAGATGACTAAAAAGGCCTGATTACGCCATACGAAAAAGGGCATGCAGGCCCCCCTTTAGGTTTGTAATCTCCAAGCCGATGTTTTACCTAGTCTAATTAAATCATGCTACTAGCAACATTTAGAGCCTGTGTACGAAACATGGCTAAGTAAAATGTCTTGGTATAAACATAACACGACAAAGTCTTTGTTTATATAATTTTGTTATATTTAGCAAGCATGTGCACAATATCTTGTTTACCCAAATTAAGGTTTACATCAAATTAAGAGGAAGAAGATCTAAAACAGATCTAACTTTTGGTGCCATCATAATTTGCAGCAGACGTGAACTTCACAAAACAAGAAAGAGGCCAACCACGTTCCCCAACCACACCCCCATATGGTAAGCTCAACATCACATATTTCATTCAATTGATTTTAGGCTGACTCAAGACAAGTTTAATCTCAGTTGCAGCTTTAACCACTTACTACAAATTTTCTTCTATCCCCTCAGTATTTCCCTGCACAACGAAAGAGCCGAAACCTCACCTTTGTGTAGCTCGTTCTGCCATGTTTGCACGATGAGTTTGTGATGTTTTCTATGGTGGATCAGCCAGAGAGACAAGGTCTGGATGCTCTGCTGCGAGTTGCTCAGCTCGGAAAGCTTTCTTTCCAAGGCACTCTCGGAAAACGAAGTCATGTTGTGTGGTTCGCAGCGACGGGGCTAAAGCACTCCGGCAAAATCGCCCGGTACAACAAGTTTTCTGAGCACTAGTCTGGAACGTTCTGCTATTTGCTACCACAAAAACATCTGGGGAGGGGGGCAGATGTGACCCAGTTTTGTGAACACGGCAGGACAGAAGTGAGCGGCAGATTCGGCACATGATTCGGTACTACTATAATAAGCTCGTCAAAATAACGTTTTCCACATTTAGAGTCTCCTGTTGGGCCTAATATCTTGCATTAAATCCAAGCTTAAAGAAATCTAAAAAAAAAAGGAAATATTTAGGCTAGAATCATATAAAAAATTAACAATGTAACTTTAATATCAAAACGCCTGCGGTCTGAGCTTTGAGTCTGAATGGAGGCTGAATTCCCTGGGGAAAAGTTCTAACATCTAATCCGCTAATCTTGCATCCATTCATAGAGCATGTAATAAGTCTTTGGTGACCGCTTCGCAAGGGACAAATCAAAGTTGTTTGGGGGGAGGCTAGGTGAATCAAGTTGTAATGTTTCCAATGCAAAACCAGCACCACTTTGATCAACTTCTGCACCATCCCTTAGGCTAAAGCAAGATTATATCATGTTTCTCATCACCTTGGTACAAAAGTTTCTGTCCATAAATGTCATTCTAGCGAATGATCATTTTATACCAGATTTGGCATTGCATGCACTTTCAATGCATGTCATTTTGCTGAATGTCCGTTGACTGTGATATTTTTTTAAAATTTTCTGATGACCCATTCCAACCAATGATAAAACAAAGTTGTTTTCAAATCAGACAATATATGTAAAGAATAAATTTTAACTTTATTCCCATAAAAGACATCACAAGGCCCCAGAACGCCACTGTGAAGCGAATTATCTCATCAGGTATTTGTCCGTCTGGCCTAGGAGCGCTTGAAACGAACCGATGAATGGCAAATGCCGTCCCCGGGCCCCGGCTGACCTCTGACCTGGCAGCCATGGAGCAGCAGCAGCGACTGCAGCCGCGCGTCCTGACAGCTGCCAAGGCCCGGCAGGACGGTAGGGTTTCCGCCTTCAAACCTCCAGCTGCGTGCGTTGTAGATGTAATATCGGGGTTCCTGCGTGTGTTCCGACGCGAGTGAACCCCGTTGCACCCGTGTAACGTTACCGTATTGCGTCACAAAGTGTTAGTATAGACCGATCGCCTAGCTTGTAGAGGTTACACACAACGCTAACGTAACCGTTCATTTGCATGTCTGCTAGCTGTGGCTATAACTAAACCACGCATAATTTCCAGCCTGCAAAACATCCTTTTAGTTGGAAATAACTAAATCTACAAGCACATCACGAATTAGGATAGATAGCAGGGTTATCTGGTTTGCTATGGGGGTTGGCGTAAAGAGATAGATAGGCCGGAAAAAGGGGAGAAATTATGGAAATCTTGGGGGCTGTCACTTCCGAACGCAGCGGGTGAGAGAGGGTGGTCACTACGCTACGTTAATCTTGTGGCAACTCCGGGTGTTCATGAATCAGTAACTAGAGGCAGACTGACGAAGGGAAAACATACAGGGGAGGACAAAAGGGCAAACAGAAGGAAACTGAGGGAAGGAGAGAAGAAGAAATGAAGGGAGGGTTGGGGACAACATCTGGGGTCAAAGGTACAAGTTCCGTTCTGATGTCAAACTTTGTTTACATAATGTCAGTAACAAGAGGGAGGATATAGTATACTATAAGTGGAACCAGTGCAAAGAAAATCTGGTATGGATTCCATATGCATACTCTGTTTTATTGTTTTATAATGCATAGGTGAACGGTTTGATTTTAATAACGTGTTGTAACTCGTGGCTGGTGTAATTTCGCTCGTAAAACATATTATAAACGGCGCCCTAATATTATTTGTAACTCATAGCGTGGCTTTCTAATTTTGAAAATGAGGTGTGTCCGAGGCTTCGATATTTTGACCTTTAGGGTCAACCTCTGTAGGTCAACCTCATATATGTATCTGCGGGATCCCTATATTGGGATCTGTATGGGGGGTAGCGTGTTACAAATTACGCAAAATTCTTGTTGCGCACTTCACGTTACAGTAATATTGTCCTGGGGTAGATTCAGGAATGTCCCTGATAATTTACTAATATATTGCAAAACATAAGTAGGGTACTGTTAAGTATTATTCTTTTACCAGTATGGTAAATTCGACGACCCCTACCACTAAAAATAAAACTGTAAATATCTATATTGGTATAGCCGGTATAACCACCCTTTAGGGTAACACACCAGCTTCGCAGGCAGGCGGCGCGGCGGCAGCTGGCTACATCACACCAAACAACTTGTTACACCTAACCTTTGAACATACAACTCTAAACATTGTTTAAAGCTATATAAAAACCACTAAACGGTCTAAAGCAACTGGATGAGACATTCCATTTCCAGATAGCATCCGCTATCTTTCGTTAGTGACTGAAAATTATTAATCTCATTCTCAGTCACTTATGAAACATCTGAATCATCAGAGAATCTACTAGTCCAGTTGCTTGATTTACATGTACAACTGTATTTTGTATTATGTAATGTTCTAGCTGGACAGCCAGCTGGGTGTAATTCTGCACAATTACAACAGGGGGCACTTTATTCACATTAGCAATATAACATTACCATGTCCAAATCACTATAACAGACTCAGGCTCTATTGAGAAAAAAATCATCATAATATTCCAAAATTAACTGAATAACTTAGGGATGGATGCCTGCAGTGTGTAGCATAAAGTCACTCAAATTCAATGTTATGGCGTTCATGGCGTCAAGAGATGGGCAGAAAACATAAGGATATGCCTGAGATGAAAAATTGTGTAACACTGCCAACATGGCGGACAAAAACACTTAACCCGTCTCTTTGAGTCAATTTAGAAGTTATTATTATATTAACCCTTCTCCAGCTGGGGGGTAAATACTAAAGTACACCATCCAAATCTCCAGATCTGTTTCGGTTATTAGGAGTCTGCAGGGAGGTTAAGCCAGAGGCTTGATCATATCAAACGTGACCAAACTATTTATGAAGTGTTCAACCCAAACATCAGGCAGGATAAAAATACATCAAAAGGCCATGCTTGTGTAAACTAGGCCAACATTGCGTACTGTGACCAGGGACATTACATAGTGTCCTTGCTGTTACTCAGGCCCTATCGTAAATATAGTACAATGTAGTACATGTAGTACATGTATTCTGATGGGCACAGTAGTAGCACACATCAATGTAATGTTATATATCCAGGTTTGTCAGTACATCGTGTCTTAGTTAGTTATAATTTTCATTTGTGTGTCCTTAAAGAACTTCAATGCTCCCTTGTTACGTAGTTACTGATATTGGGCTTTTAATATACTGTACAGTTTAGTTCAGTTTGGACCCAAGAATTTTTGTGGTCTTGGGAAATATTTTGGTCCAGCTGAATACTGTTGGCAGAGATGACTATATTTCATAGTTAGTACTGTAGTACCTGATTCATTTGTTTCTGACAGATGCACGGGTACCTGACTTCAAACTTTGATTTATGAGGCTAACCTCACAGTGCAGAAGGTCTCAGATTGTCAGAAGGAAGGTGATTTATAGGTTTTTATTAAGGTTTTAACTGACATGCTATGGTTTGAGCTATTCCTGTCATGGTGATAACAATACAATGTTCTTGCACTGTGCACACTGTAGAAAAGACCTTGAAGGAAGATCTCGAGATGATCAGGACCATACCAATATATTGATCTTGATCAATACTAAACAACTACATGATACTAGTATAGCATTAATGCAGTGCATGCATTAATCATATTCCCGTGCATTTGGAGAGAATAGCGTCTTGAAGGCAGGCTAGAGAGCAGAAGCAATCGTTCTGTTTCTGTATAACTGTAGATACTGTTTACCCAATTTCTTAGAATTAATATTGTATTGGCACCTTGACATTGAGCATCTTAAAGTAATCATGAACTTTAACTTCCACTCTGGTACCTAATGACCTTGTGACTCTTACTGCGCAGAATGGCGATTGGTTCCTGGCTTCCCGCAGTGCTGTATCAAATTTTGCTGTCGCTTCTCGAGCAGGACTGCGACAGTCAGTGGTACAAGAGAGAGGGTGAATGCTAGAACTATTGCAGAGTGGAGCTCCCTGTCACCAAGTACAGTAGGGGCATTATCACTAGATAGCTGTAAACAATGTTGAGATAGATGTTCAAGGGCTAGGTGTAACAAGTCGTTTGGTGTAATGTAGCCAGCTGCCACCGCACTGCGTGCCTGCGAAGCTGGTGTGTTATGCCGAAGGGCGGTTATACCGGCTATACAGACGTAAGACGGGCAATGTTGTTCCCTGATGATGACTGCATGTATTGTCTTGAGGTTCTTAACTTCACCGAATATAATGATGACAGTAAATACTGGCAGGAAGAACGTTAACGACTCACTCTTGCTTTCTAAGACGACAAAACATCCAATAAAAGTTACGACACAGGCGAAGTTATGGCGCCCGTTGGGGGTGACAGGTAATTTATGTCACGCGGCTGTCGCATAGAATGTTCGCGACTTATCACGTCCGAACATCTCGATTTAAAATTCTCGTCAAGGCAACGATATCCCAAGGTCAAAACTTGAACCTAAAGGTATCTTAATGAAGGTAATCAGATGATTATATTTATTACAACAAAATGATGAATTTGTATGTAAGACTTTAGTCTCACAAAAACCTAAGATTGTTCCTAATTGGAATGATCACATGCGTATACCAATGTCACTAGTATCTCAAGAAGGGGACTAAAAAATTCCTCTCTCAACAGCTGATACAGTCCAATTATAATTTCACAATTACTATATTGAAAACAAGCTGCTTAAAATGATATGCAATAAATACATTATCAACATCTTACTGGCCTTTGTCTTGAGGCCTTGAAATACCCCTTCAAAAGATAGCTCACAGTAGACTAACAACATCATGCATATCCTTAACTAAAACACTGAAGTATGAAGACTTGGATCAATGGTAGTATAGTGACATTGCTCAATGACAGGAACACAAACATAGAAACTGTTCATCCCTGTCTGTCGCCTGCCAGTATAATACAGGGGGGGTCGCCAGTAGCCAAGGGTCAGATGTCGCCCGTTACTTTTTGTAGAGACCATGTCAAGAATGTCGCGTCTCGTGGAATGGTGTGCATTCATCGCCATTAATCCTAAACCCAGTCAAACTCATTACAAAGGCTCCTTGGGGTGATGCATAATACATCTGGGACCAAATGCTTATCACTGCTATGCCAGCACCTACTTATAGCACACCAAACAAGCCCCATATATATTTAGCTGTGCACACTTCCCTAAACCCAGCTATCAATCTCAGCTGGCGTCTTGACGTAGGTTAGCCGGCTCCTGCCCGTGTATCTGATACCACGAGTCCCTCTCCCACGATGATATTGTTTCAAACCAAAATATCCCATTATGGATCCACATCTCCTGTGGATGAACCCTGACCTTGGTCAAAGACTTATTTTGATGCGTGGCATGTGTGACCGTTTGCTGGAGAATTCTGTATGTGGTCCCACTGCCTGCCTGCATGGACTTGTTCGCGAATGAATGTAATACCGGGGCTCCTGGTTAGGAAATTATTGCGTGCTATTTAGGGAGAACAACACACACAGACCCACAGTGTGTACATTGTTGGCCAGCTGGCCCCGAGCGTACGAATTGTGTGGTGCTATCGTACGGGGCTAAATCCGGATGTCGTTTTCGATCGCGTTATAGCTGCAACGCTGGTCAACTGGTACCCGTTATGTTTCTATTTCAAGTCGGATTTTGGCATGTCAGACGTAAACGTCACAGCAGTTTAGATCAAGTAACATTTCCGCGATTGCTGAATGGCAACAGTATATTTAGATAAATGCTCTGGTCGTAGTGGAATGTATATTACTTCCCGTTGGGCAAAGAGGCAACAGCTACTGCACTCTGTGCGCTGGACTTCGATGTAGAAAGATGTGGCTGAAGAAAATCCTCTTAGGTCTGGCAACCACTTTTTAAGATTCTGCTTATAACGTAGTACTATCTTGTGTGTCGTTACAAGCAGCAATGCTGTTGCATGCCCTGAATCCTGGATTATACGTATACGCTGCTTCGTAGCGGCCTCGATAAGGGATGTGCGCTCCATGGGCAAACAACGAGACGTAAATGGTCTTGTGGTCGGGGCGTCGTTGTGCTTACCGCATTCCAGACATGGTAAAACCGGGTCGTTTGGCTGACGGCACAATTATCACTGTGTATACGTGTTTGTATTTAGCAGGCGCTTATACACTGTTCCTTGTTTGAATGCAGGTAGATACAGCAACGTAGTATAACATCGCTTTATGTTGTTCTTAATCTTAGATGCTGGTAGTCATAACAGATAATTATGTGGTTATGTGCGTTGGTGCGAGGCATTTTGCATGGAGGTTTCACATAATTATGTTCCGTCACACATACTGAAGTTGACTAACTGTCATCTACATTTATAACCTGTTTTCTTGTTTTTTTCGCACATGAATTTGATAGACTGCTGGGGCAATGAAAGAAATGTTGCTTCAATCATGGGACCTTATTGTTATTCCATGGTAAAGAAACCTGGGCAATGCCACGTACAGTACTATGATTTATTTTATAGCACTTAGATGGCAGCAGTACCAAGTACTACCAACAATGTCGTATGAAGCCTTCCATTTCTATACGCGTCACACATATCTACAATTCCAAGTACAGATGGCCAGCAGTTTGCGGACATATGACCCGACTCAACTCGAGTGCCCCGACTCCAAAGTCGCTAAGCATTGTGCTCCGTACACCTCTTATATATGTCTATCACACATCTACATACCTGATGGACATCTACATGCCTTACACGTCTTCACGCATCACGAGGTGCAGAGCCATTTGTGGACACATGCCCTGACCTGCCTGTCTACAACTCCAGCCAACCGACGATCACTAAACCTTTCCTCTGTGCTTGGGATAGACATACTCAAAGATCTCGCTTCACACATTTGCACAACTATATGTACTGTGTGTCTGCACAGTCACAAATGTACGTACCCGACAAACTTTTGCTACAGCATCTTACATGCGTCACACATATCTACACTGCAGTACCGAATTCCGACTCGGAGCCATTTGGGGACAATGTCATGACCAGACTGCCTCAGCTTCAGTATTGCTTAGGTAGTCCTCAACCTTTTCACAGACAACGTGCTTCACACATTTACACACCTCTACATGTCCATCATCATATACATGTATCTAAAAGTACATACATGCGCACCTTACTAATATCTACGTATGCCAATCCCATACACATTAAATTTTACATTTGTCAAATTGTCACGCATACCTATATATTGCAGTCCTGAATTCCGAGTGAGGTTCGCCCAATCAGCTCGCCGTTTGCAGTCACATGACCTTATGACCTTACCGTCTCCACTCTAGGATGCTACGGTGGCTGTCATTGGTCCAATGGACAAACGATATGCCTCACACAACAGACATATACACAATAGGTGGATTAACTAAGTATTTTTATACACAATATGTAGATTTGTGACAACAGTTTGGATCAAGGATTATATTTAACGCTTATGTTTTTCATTTCAATCTCACTAAAGATCCCCAAACTGCCAAAAAAATTTGTATTCAGGCATAATCTATGACCTCATGAATATTATACTTGACATTACATTTGATTGAATTTTATTGTCATCATAATGTCATGAATACTCATTGCCTGCCTTGTATTTTCCAGATGAGGGTGCATACAGGTCATGAATGTTATAACAGTGATGTTACACTTGATGGAATTTTATGTATGATATCGTAATGTCTGCCCTGTTTTTCCCAGGTGGGGGTGACGGCCACTCCCTGCTGTGCTCCGAGTCCATGTTGTCCAGCAGCCCACCCGTGTCGGAGCCCCAGCAGTCCCCCACTGAGAGCGAACTGCGCCAGGTACTGAATTCGAATAAGGTTCCAACTTTTGCGACAGTTTGTTTATCTTTCAATGATCAACATGATTTTTCTGTGAAGCATAGTAAGCATAATAAGTGGGGTCGTGTGGCACAATGGCAGAGTGCTCGACTCGGAACCAAGAGGTCCCGGGTTCGAGTCCTTACATGCCACCGATCTTGGGAAAGGCACTATACACGACTTTACCCACTTAAGTTAGGTGGAAATGAGTATTGTCTGTCCTGTATTTGTTTCTATGTGTGGGATACAACACCAGCAACAGCTGCCTGTATCCCACGTGTATTGCACGTGTATTTTTCTTGGTTTGGATATTACAATTTGTTGTTTTGGCAATTACAGTTCAAACTTGCATCATAATGACTTCTATTAACACAAACAAACTTTCAAGACCATTCATTATTATTCATTCACTCAGGTATGGAGACAGCCCGAGGGATCCCCACATGGCTCCAAGTCCTACACTCCCTCTCAGCTGTCGCAGGGCGCTGCCGCCAAGTCCCCCTCCAGTCCCCGGCTAACCATGCACGCAGACACATCCCTTGGCAGAGACTACGTCAGAACGCCCACCAAGCTGAAAAGCGGGGAGAGGAACAACGAATGTTTGCCCCCGAAGAAGCGGGAAATCATCAGCCCCGCGAAAGAGATGGACACCCAGAAAGAGGAGGAGAGAATGCGATCGATGCCAGGCATGGTCACGGTGTCGGTACCGACCACGTACACCCCCGTTCTTGGCACAGAAAACCCTCTAAATCGGTTGGCCGACGTCGCTATTAACAGCGAGAGACACCTAACAAGCACGCATGGCCTAGCACCGTCCACTGCATCTCTGGAAGCGCGGAGTATAGCGCAGCTTTCTGGAGATGCAACGCCCGCATCTTACCCAACCGCACCTTATTCATCCATCTACTCCTCCACAGCGTCACTTCCATCAGCTAAACCCAGTTCCTCCCTCGTCCCTTCCACCGCTACGATCGCGCCCGGATCAGTACCAGCCACCGCCCTCCCCACATCCGGCCCGTACGTGGGAGCGCCCTACCTTGGGCCATACTGCTCCTCCGGGTATCTCCCCTCTGCATTCGGACAGTATCCGCAGATCGAGTCGTACTCTGCCATGCTGGCTACCATGGGAAACCACATCCAGCAGGCACAGGGCCAGGGTAACAAGCCGCCCCTTGTACCCTCACAGCTGGGCATAACACGGCAGCTGGATCCGGCAACCTCTGCAGGGACATCTGGTCAATCTCAGCTCTACATGGCCCAGGAAGCAAATCCAGAACAACCTCCAGTACCTACAAGTAAACCGTCATCGGATGGTCTTGACCGGAAAAATGGTATTCAGGTGTCCCATGCGGGAACAGGGGAGGCCTTGATGCCGCCCTCCAACATGCGGAATGTTCTAACTCTCCAGACTGGCTCGCAGAAATTAAGTCTCGGCGTACCGCAGGCAAGCAGTGGTGGGGAAACAGTCCTGTCACCCAACAGCGTGAAGACGTCTGTTTCCGATGACGATGTCTTCAAGAAGCCCGGCGCTGTGGTGAACCACGGCCGGGTGGTACAGGGGACTGGAAGTAGCATTGTGGTAAACACTCGGACGCCAGGCAGCAGGATGGACAGCACTTTACCGTGCGAACTCCCCTCTTGGCCAAACATCATACTGCCACAGGCCATCGGGACACAGGCGTCCGCTGTGCAGTACCTCGACACCTTCTCTGCTACCTCCCTTCCCCACCTGTCATCCACGAACACAGTCCACCCCATCCCGTCCACCGTTCCACACCTAGCGATCCCTCCTGGAGCCACCCTTGCTCCCATCCCCCCGCCTGCACCTTCTGCCATTGCTCTGTCTCACGGCAGCCAGGTTTGTTTAATGTTTATATTTGATCAATCTCCATTAGTTTGTACAGAATATCTATACATACTAGTCTTCCTGGAGTCGTATTACATGTACACAAGCTACACATATAATTATGTATATACACCTACAGGCTAAACGTAACTCAACTAAACATGGTAACACTGCAAGTTGTGCTGAGAGGTCAGAGGTCTTAATACTAAATCTAGGTTCCATGTATTAAAAGATGTTGGTGCATATAATCTTATATAATATAATATTATGATTTGTAGTAGTAGAATAGTTTAGTCAGAACTCATACATATATACACAATACACAATACACTCTGACACCAGACTCACAGGCAACCATTACAGGATGCCTGAATTGTTCTGTGGTCGACATCATTAAAATACAAAGACATGCTGTCAAGCGGTATTTTTAACAAAAAATTATTGGTTACGTATTGCTAAAATTTATATCAATTACATGTATAGATATTTTTGGTGCAACGGTACAGGAATGTTTGTTTTGCTGAGGCTGTTTTTGGTTTTGGCAGGTGCTGGGCCACTTCATGAAGGGCTCTGTGATCCAGCTGGCAGGAGGGGAGCTGAAGCGTGTGGAGGACGTCACGACAGAGGACTTCCTCCAGATGTCCGGATCTGGCCCGACGTCGTCTTCGTCCCCGCATCACGTCACGTCGAGCACGGTCGTGCGCATCACCATGGAGGACGGCTCCAGCGCGGGGCTTGTCCACATCACCTTCGCTGTGGGCCACGACAAGAACCTGGTAAGCAGTTAGCTAGACTACGTCATGTTTCTAGCAGTCCATCTGCTCAGTAAAGTCACTCAGTGACTTACCACTATACCAGCCTGATGAAACTATTCGCGGAAGTCCTTCTGCTCGTTGGGCCCCTAACCTGATTGTGTATACATCATGTTTTTAGCAGCCCTTCTACTGGTCTGGCTCCCTAGCCTGACTACATCAGGCTTCTAATGTACGTCACAGTTTTAGTAGCACTTATACAAGTCAGGCAGAGTCCAAACTGTAAGTCAGGAGAATTTGGAACATCTTGATTCTTGTCTGTTGATTTATGCATATGTGCAGGTTCCCACAGTTGCCTTAACATTTATGACAGATTACAGAAAAAACATTGTTTTCTCATTGTAGGTGACAGTTGAATCCACAGTGGACCACCCGTTCTTCGTCGTGGGACAGGGTTGGTCCTCGTGCCGACCTGAACGGACTCTCTCCAGATACAGCCTGCAGTGTCACACCCTGACCGTGGGCGACACCTGCATATCCCTCATGCTGTCAAACAACGTAAACGGACTGAACCAAGAGCCTGGGAGGGCCAAACAGCAGGCCACGGAAAGTACCAAGGAAAGAACTGATTTTCCCGGGTTATCATCATCGTTAGCATCACCTTCGTCACAAAATAACAGAATAAACAGAGTAGAACTGACGTCGTCGCAACATCAGCAGGCTCACGACACCCACGGTTCGAAACACGCAGATTCTGCTGGGAGTGAAATGGGAACTGGATTCGTCTTACCTCATTCAGAAATCCCTGGTGGTAACCATGGACAACCACATGCCGGCGCAGGCCCGCAGCAGTCGGCTCCAGGTATGCTGCAGACTGCTGCGACTATGCAACAACAACAGTGTGGCCCGCCGCACATGGCAAGCCCACAGTTCAGTCACCACCACCACCAGAGGAACCACGTAGCGGTGCCCTCTAGCAGCGGCAGGCCAGCACTGCAGCACAGTTCACCACTGATCCACGTGGGAGTGCCTGTTCTGCAGCAGGCTAACCGTGGCGCGTTGCCCCAGTATGTCCAAGTCCTCCAGCCCGGGCCCGGAGGCTACATGGCCATCCCCGTCCAGACATGTTCCGAACCGGAAGGACCACTGTCCACAACCGCAGGAGAGGGAGAGAATGGAAGATACGCCAAGACGAACGCTAAACTTTACGTAATGCACAGCCAGGCGCCCTCCAGTGGTACTGCAGCTGTTTCAGACAGTAGACTCCCAAACACTGACGACAATCTCGTACACAGAAAAGGTGACTCGGATAGCACCAACACGCAGACTCAAAAAATTCGGAAACGTCGCTGGTCCGCCCCGGAAACTGGAGACAGAGAAGAGGACGCGGCAAGCCCAAGTCGCCAGGCCCGGTCTGTCGCACTAGAGTCACTGATAAAATTTACGTCACAAAAACAAGGCAGCTAAATGCCTTCACAGACTACTTCGCTCTCTTACAGTGTAGCAAGGCTTCTGCCCAAGAGTTCTTAAAAACCACATCATACAAGGTGCCGAGGAGCTCTGTGAAAGGAGTCAAACATTCCATGTCAGATCTGCTGTATACATAATGAACTTGTGCTGCATGGGTAATTCCCAGACTTGAACATGAACAGTCGGATTATTTAACAATAAGAAATTCAATGATCCTATACACAGTTTTTCTGCACATCACATTAATGCATCGCAGCACCCCCATTGCAATAAACACATGATCGATACTCATTAACAGATTTATTTATCTTATAAGACTGGGGGCGATCAAATTAAATAAAGAATGAAATCTATCCAGAGCCCTGCAACAGCCCAGTTTGTAGAATTCCCAGGAATTTCTGTCAAATTTGTACAGGACTAAATGATGAAATGGTGCCCATTTACACAATATGCCAGCTTTGTCCATATGTGTTAGATATGCTTTGCTTACGTGTGTCAGCCAGACGAAAATTCTACTCTGCATTCAAAGTTATCAAATATATAATATAATCAGCAATATGCCAGCCCTTCCTCTAATTGAATTCAATGGATGATGGCTTGACACCAAATGAATTGTGATACTCCCCCACCCCAGATTGAATTCACATGATTTTTCATCTAAAAGTATGTTTAATCATGGTGCTTTTCACTCTAACACACAACAGTTTATACTGTGATTATCCCTTTAGAATATAGTCAATCAGTACTTACTTATAAGTACAATGTTTTGGTAGATATCACACTTGTTATTTTAGCTTTTCCCACGTGAAGAAAATATTTGCTTGTTTCAAATATGTTCATATGATGACCTCTGGACATATGGGTGTCCATAAATTTATTGATTGTCTTGCTTAATGGTATATTAACAAATGTATGAATTGTGCATTAACTGTACCACAAGAAACAAACACATGTTCTGTAGTTCCAACTGTATGTATTTGTAAATTTGAAATCTTCATCAACAGAGAATGCATTGTATATTTGCACAGGGACCCATGCATATATGATCAGATCATATCTGTTTATGTTTTAAATGTACAAGAGTACACTAGACATGTAACCATAGATGGACAGTCACCGATTGCAATAGAACTGTATCAACTATGAAAGAATTACATACACAACAGTCACACGGTGTCCGTCTGCCTGTGTTTAGAAGTAGCCTCTTCCAGGCTTCGGAAGCGGGTAGGAATTTGCCAAACAGAAAAATAACATACCAGGGGAGTTGGTCCGCTAAGAAGCACATTTGCTGTACTGAGCTTCCTAAGCCTGGTAGAGGTTACATTAGTTAGAAGTGCCAAGAGCAGGAGCAGTAGCTATCCCTTAGGTTTGGACTTTTACTTTGGACCTTCGAAGTGGTTTAATTTTGCGGTACAGTATGAGCGAAAGGAGTTAATTTTCAGTGTTTGAAATTCACGGTTGGAAAAGTGCTATAGACTAGTGTAGTTCAACAGAAATGCAAAAAAAAAAAGTTCGTGGATTTCGCGTCTTTTTAATTAATAAAACCATTGCGAAAACCGCGAAAACAAACCACCGGGAAAGTAATTGCATTTACAATATTGGGTCATAGAAATATCTGTTGTTGTTTTAAGCCTCCACGTCTTTTGCAGTGTTGTCACAGTTGTACCGTGTGGAGTTAAAGTCACAGACAAGTCATCGGTTTTAATGCGATTATCGAAACAACGGCTTGCCCGTGCGGGTTCCATAGTTACCGCCTGTAGCCTTAGCCAATAAAAGACGCTATGAAAAACCTTGAAAATCATGCTGCCATACAGAACCAAGCACTTGACCGTAACTACAGTAACGTAACGGAGTAGCCTCCACTAGGCTTCAGATGTGACGTTGAAATTGGCAAAATAGACAGATAACATACCAGGGGAATTAAAGGATCACTCGACGTTACAGTTTGCAAATCTGATATTGCTTTGACAAGTTAACTCCCCTGGCATGTTCTCTGTCGTCTATTTGGCCAATTTCTACTCTTTCCAGTAGCTTCTGAAGCCTGGTAGAGGCTATAAACAAACATAAGTCTGGTTTGCGAGGCTAGATTTTGCGTCGCCCTTCGTCCTGGCAACAGTAGTCGCTTCATGTTTACAATCTCCAAGCTACGGCGGATCATAGCCTTAGGGCGGCTGACGAAAGAGCGAACCCAGCCCTCCCCGATTTTCGCTCCGGCCTCCTCCCAAAAACCACACACGGGAGATTATGTACAAGCCTGTCTGGTCCTGTATGTAGAGCCCTTCGGCTGAAGAACTATATTCAACACGGACCCGGTGAAGTGGTTTGCTCGAAGGTGACCACTTCACAAAAGCGCCTGACAGGTTTGTCCACAAATGGAGGTGGCGTTTCATCTTGGGACTCGTCCATGCTTGAAAATAGGGGTGCGTGTGGAAAAAAGCAACAGGTGGTTGTCGTCGTTGTACATGAAACGTTAAATTCGTGTACAAAAACGTTTATTGCCGTTTATTTGTAGAGTTTGGAAATTGTTTAGAAACAATGTATGCGTTGAAATCGTATGAAATATTGGAAAGAAAGAAGTTTGTATCACTTTTGTCCCCTACAGAATGGCACGACCTAAGGAAACGTATTGGTACGCATGATGTGCGGTGTTTGGTTTGGGTGTTTTGTTTCCGGGGTTTGCAGTCTGGTAACCTGGGCCAGCGTAGTCACCGGAGCCGCCTACACAAGTTGCTAGGGCGGAGGAACTCCCGCTATGGAGGGGACCTGACACCCACAGAACGTCCCCAACAATCTAGGAGGGCCACAGGTGAGGCACACAAGTCACAGTGAACACCTGTAGACACAAAAACTTTCTACCTGTGTCTTCACGAAAGTGGCGTTACGAGGTATGACTTGCGGTTGTTGAGGGTAGACGCGGTAGCGTGTTGGTCTTTCTACTTGTGGCATGTAATTTTAGCTTGAATTATTCAAGACAGTCTTGACTAGGGCTATTGTGCCGTGAGTCCCCACCTGCATTACACCTGTCTACGTGCTTTTCAGGAAGGCTAAGGTTAACGTGGAGGGATGAAAACGTCTAGATCTGCCGTCGCTTTTAGGTTTGTCTGGTAAACACGTTGTCCTGTTTCCATACACAGTTTATGAAAACATCATTACAGTGAAAAGATGACACTGCAAATACAAATTAGACACGGATGGTCCAAATAGACCGACACTTTACACTGTTGGCACAAGGATTAGCGTTAACAAAATAATTCTAGGTTAAGACAAACTCTTTTTTATTTTACTTTAAAAAAAAACACATCTTCAAACCTCTACTTTTTTCCAGTGTTTGGCACTAATCATACTGCAAGACAGGTACATCAGAGGCTCATATGTATCTATTTGTATACATGTATTTTGTACTATTGCTTCACCCTTTTCTTTAAAAATTATTCAGGAAAAAGTGTTTGACGCATTTTTAAGGCCTGGTTTTGAATACTCCATAAGAGCCAGATAAGATTTAGCGAATAAAAGGTCTAAGAGCTTTTGACATTAATAAATAATGTCCCTTAGAAAGGCCAACAAGTGTAGATAACATTGTGTCCCATATAGGGGAATATGGATTGTTTCCATTCCTGTCAAATTCTGTTGTTGCTTTTTTTTGAAAAGTATAACTAATTGATTGTGAAAAAAGGTGTGATATTGTTTCTACATTATTTTGTTAATCATAATTTTTCTCTTTCATACGTATTGTTACATCTTTTAGTAACCCAGAAGTATACATACGTTTTCTTTTTTCATAGTTCAGAAGAACGTGCAGATTGTATTTACTGTGTGGCCCAATTAGATGGTTTGACTAACCTAGTAACTGTCATATAATAGGTTACTGTTGAACCAGAACAAACATGTACTCATGCTATACTAGCAGAAAACATGCACATTTGCCTTAACCAAATGATGAAAATGAATCTTATACTTTATAATAGTCAAATGAATGCTGCAGTTTTAACATATACAGGTACCAGTTTTGTGTTGTACCAGTTAAAGAACCATTAAGGGACAACACCAGCATTAGCACTCTTGACCATCAAGCACTTCTTAACTTAAACAAACAAAACTGATCCCATAGTTCACACTGCTTGTTTTTTTCCAGTCCACCAGTTTTCTGAAGAACGTTTGCTTAGCTGGCCCACATTAAATAACCCTTAGTCCCGCTACTGAGTGAAAGAACTTGGCCTAATAGGTTTCTGCTTAAACATAAGCTTACAGTTCTGTGAACAAAAAAAAAAATAGTTTTGTTCACATGAAAGATTGTAAGATATTATTACTAGTATATCTGGTTGTGATGGTTAGGAGACAAAGACTTGCCTGAACGTTGTTCAGTCATTTAGTAGTTTCCCTATTCGTCAAAGACTTTTCCATCTTCCATTGTGATTTAAAAAAAAGGTCTGTAATTGTGTAAACAGCATGATACATGTAATTTTCTACGCTGTATAGTATATACACAAAGCGATGCAGATGGAATCAGCATCAAAGACACATGCTGATTTAGGCAATTGTTTGGTTTTAAATATATTTAAGTTCACAGGAAGACTAGCGGTATGATGTAGCAAACTAATTCAGTATTTCTGGATAAGCACAAATGCATTGCAATAGTATAAGCACAACAATTCACAGTCTTGACCAGAGTTCAATTTTTTTCAAAGTGAGGTGGGATTTTTGGGGTGTGGGTCTCTTTATGCAAGGGAATCAGTGTCTTTACATAAAACACTGTCCACAAAGAACTGAAACCTAACCAGGAGTGTGCCACATACAGGTATCAATGTTCCTATGTCCGAGATTCTGGGCTTAGATTGAGCACCTAATTACTTGTAATGGGCATTATCCATGACAAAGCAAGTAGCTGCCTGTCGACGCATAAGAAATGCACACCACAAAAGATCATCCTTGCAGCATAATTTGTTCATATGCGGTGACTTCTTGTCTGGCCTTCTGCGGCTATTTTGGTTAAGAAAGTAATGATGTAAGAGAAAAGGCCTTTGTTCTTGTTCGTGCAGTGGTATTTGTGTTTGTATAGACACTTGATAGGTTGGAGTCATGTGCAGAACTTTTGTGTGCGCTGTTTTCTTACCAGCCGGGTTGTGCCAGTTTTTTAGCTGACAGATCTGAATGGCGCAACTTAGGTCGCAAAACAGTCCTTTTGATAGTAGTTGATTGTTGTATTTAGAAGATACTTTTGCACTTCTAAGAAACTTTAAACCGAAGCATTAATGTGTTTATCATTATGCTAACTTTAAGTCCTGAGAGTTGACATTAATTCTTTTCTTATTAATTTCTAGTGAGTTATTTCTTTGTGCTGGGACAAGCTTAAAATCTATAACTATTTTAGATATGTCTTCAACTTGTGGTATCACAGGAAATCTTTTACTCGAACTTATCATTTTGGTTTGCTTGCCTTCCAGATCAATCATGATCATCTAAAGATGAAAAGACTGCTATAAAAGTTAAAAGCTGAAAGACTCATAAACCACCTGTTAGAGCCATGACCGAGGTGGATGAACAGGGATGGTTCTAACTTACCGTCACAGATGAACTTTTTTTCAAACTTATCATTTTGGTTTGCTTATTCTTCACAGCTTAAAACATGTTAATCATCCGAAGATGAAAAAAAAAACTTGAAAACTGATTGAGGACTTCCAAACTACCTGTTGGAATCATGAGCAAGGTGGATGAACAGGGATGGTTCTAACTTACCGTCACAGATGAACTTTTTTCAAACTTATCATTTTGGTTTGCTTATTCTTCACAGATTAAAACATGTTGATCGTCCAAAGATGAAAGAAGCTTAAAAACTGATTGAGGACTTCCAAACCACCCATCAGCCATGAATGAGGTGGATGAACAGGGGTGGGGGCATGTCCACCACGCTGCCTTTAACGGCTACGTAAAGTCGGTGGAACGTTTTGTCACCGCGATGGAGGACCAGTTGGAGTTTACGACGCAGGATAACCTGCACTCCACGCCGCTGCTCTGTGCCACCATGTCTGGAAACATCGAGATGATACAGAAACTCTTGGACCTCGGTAAGTTCGCTGATGTCTTTTTTTTGTTTTGTTTTTAGAGCTGTCTTGAAACGTGAAAAATGTCTTCACTACCCTATTCCATTGTTGTCTTATCTGTGCCCAGACAGAAAGACACTGGGGTTCTCTTTGGAACTTGCAAAAGAAGATAAGTTTGCTGATGTCTTTTTTCGAGAGCAGTCTCCAAAAATGTGAAGAAATCTCTCTCTCTCTCTCTCAGACTGCTTGTTTTCAGTTTTGTTCTAACTTTTCATGACAGGAATCACAACAAAATGTTTTTTTTTTCATCTCTGTTCTTTATTGAGTATCGAATACATGTGTACATAGATAATAAACTGTTACATCAGATTCATTTAACTATCCTGACAAATTGTCTAATACCTTTACATTAATGGCAAAAGATACAACTTGAAAGGTAATCATAGGATAGAATTACAGACATTTTGTCATTACTTAGTAATATTTGCAATGCGAGAGGTACATGTACATGGATTGCAGAAAATAGTTTCACAACAAAATGTTAATGAATAATACACTAGGTGATAAAAGTTACTCTCTACCACTAATTATTCTCATAGACAATGAAATTACATGACTGTACAATGTATCCCATAACAGGTTGGTGCAGTATGTTAAAATTAAGCTGTTTTTTCTCCTAGGTGCACAGATAGACTACAAGGATAACAGGAACCATGGTGTGGTGGAAATCGCTGCTACCAAGAACTTTGTGGAAACGCTGGAATTTTTCATCAAGCTGGACAACCCAAAACTGCCGGTCTGGAAAAACCTCATCAAGTTTCTGTCATCATCAGAGGATGAAGAAGCAGAGGCGGCTGGGAAGGTAAAACAACTGTGAATACTTCACTCACACTCACTATCCTGGTTTTGATTATTCTGCTGCCGGTTTCCCTGTTCCAGGGGTGGGCAGCGGACAGCTGTTCTGGACACCTCGCCTCCAGCTGGCTCTGTCCTGTGGGTCTGTGCTGGACAGACCACACTCCTTAATATCCCTCTGGGAAAAAAAAAAATTAAATGGCTCTAAGTGGCCAATGTGCTGATGTTGACACCGGCGCACCAAATCCGTAGTGTCTTTTTGGCACACAGTTAGACAGATCAGCCGAAGAGGCCCGGTGGGCGTCACTCCACCGTACAGGTGGGGAAGTCATGTAAAGTGCCTTTCCCAAGGGCACAACGTTGGGCCACAGTGAGTATCGAACCCGGGACCTATTGGTTCTGAGTCCAACGCTCTAACCGTTGCGCCACTGATGCCACAGCTCACGTAAAGACTTTTGAAATCCCTTTAATGTATATCAAATTTTAAAAAATGGTTGAGCTCAAATCAAAACCTTCTTCTTGCACACCCTTATCTTAGAAGGCATCTTATCCCAAGGCATCTACTAGGCCTGAGGTTGTTGTATGTGTTTATCAGACACTGTTTTACTCCCAAAGGAGCAGCAGATTATATGACACACAAAGGTGTGAGAATAACCCAACTACATCTATACTGTAGTGATTGTAATCTATATTGAGTCAGCTCAATGCTTTTTCCTTTGTCGTAAAGCGAGTGTCTATAGATTACTCAAACCCAGTCCTGTCTGCACAGGTGAATAGATGGTTATCAGCAGTAATTATAGGTTACACCTGTCAATTCAGGTAGATTTATATCTCAAAGGTTGACAGGTTGACTCAATTATGTTGACTCAAAGACAAAGCAAGCATTAAAATGCCTGATCCTGGTATAAGCAGCATCTCAAAGGAGCCTACGGATAGTATCTTACAGATGGAATTTTGACTTTATAAAGTGCAAAGGAGCCCAGTAACAAGAGATTGCACCCAGGCTAGTCAAAAGCCAGCTTTAACTTGGTAGAAATGTTGACATATTACGGTGTTGGCATGGGCTTTAGAATATGTGTTATTGGCAGGTGTTGCACTTTGAACCTCTTACCAGTTGTCAGGCCCAACGTTAATATGCGATGGAAGTAGGGCACTGAAACTTTAATTGTGGCTCGCTGCAGGCATGTTTATTGGTAGGTTACCATAACACATGCTACCGTGCAAATAAACATTGGGCTGTAAAATTTTAAGTGCTTTTTTATTTGTCGATAAGAGAGATATACACGGCCGAGGAATATTGCAACTATTGCTATAATATTAATGTAAAAATTCCACAATTTGTCATGTCTACAGCAAAGAAGATAATGGAAGAAAATTTTCATAAGATTAGTCCACTAAATTCAACTTTTATAATTCCACTAAAAAGAGCACCAGCTACATTAAAAAAATTGTGATATTGAGGTATGTCAAGAATGTCTTGCATACCTGGATGTAGCATTTATTAATATAATATAAGTAATCTCTTTGAATTCACATTTTATTTAATGTGGCAGTGTCATGATACCCACACAGAATTACAAGAGCTAACGTCATGTTTAATATCATCATCGTGTGTTTAATGTCAACAGACATGATTTCAATCCTGCCACTGTTTTGAAACTCTCCAGGTCTTGAGAATCCTGACGACTGCAACGCAAGACGGACCCAGCCCCAACCTCGAACCGTTCGTGGACTCTGACGGCGTGCTCGCAATCGTCAAGGTGATTACAGGCTTCGTCGGAGAGGAGGCCAAGATTCAGGCTTTCAACGTCCTGGTGAACATCATCGAGAACGATCGGGTAAAGCAGCAGGTATTGAAGGGAGGGGGCATCCCGCCTTCTGTTAAACTCTTAAAGACTGAAAACAAAGGGTTGCTCTTTCCCCTGCTTATTGTGCTCAAGGAGCTGTGTAAGGAAAAGCAGTACGCGGACCCAGTTGTTGCAAACGGTGCCATCCCGGCGATCGTCAAAGTGTGCCAAACGGTCAACGACAATGACGTTTTCGTCCAGGCGATCGACGCGTTGGGAAACATTGCGGAGTCGGATCCCGACCATCGAACGACCGTAGGCGGCACTCCAGGACTCTTCTCCACCCTCGTAAACCTGTTTGAAGACTGTACGTCAAAAGCCTTGGTCCTCTCGCTGACCATGGCAATTGGTAAGATGGTCAGAGGGGACAAGAACAACCAGGAGAGGTACGTCAACGAGTACGGGGCTTCTCCGCTCATCATGCTGGTGAGGGTTAGAAACAAGGACATACAACTCAGTGCCATCGAAGCCTTGTACTGCTTAGCTGACGGTAATGACTTTGCCCAGAAGGCTATCCTAGAGGAGGGAGCGGTCATGCCACTGATACAGCTTCTAAAAAGGACACGGGCGCCGGATGTTCAAGAGATGTCCGCCATGGCTTTGTGGGCTCTCGCGGGGGATGATCTGAATGAGAGACGATCGATGGCGGGGATGATGGGCGTTCCGCTTCTGATCGAGTTCGTCACGTCGTTGTCGGAAACGCTCCACTACATCGGCGCGGAGGGCCTGGCAGTGCTCGCGCAGGGCCCGCACAGCAAAGCGACGCTGATCGGTCACGCGAACGGCGTCCAGCCACTGGTCAGGCTGCTGAAGTCGGACAAGGAGTACATCGTTGCGTGCGCGATGAACGCTATCCGCCATCTTTGCGTGGGGACGGGCTACGTGCCTCACCCGAAGAACCAGGCGACGGTCCAGCAGGCGAGAGGCATCAAGTCCCTCATCGCGCTGATGGTCAACTCCAGGAACGAACTCATCCAGGTGCAGGCAGCCTTGACTCTGGCATGTGCTGCTTTAGGTGGGTGGTCATGGAAGTTAATTTTGTTATCTACATTACGTTGGCAAAGCTTAGACATCCAGCTAATATTAGATATGCCAAAAAACAGTTACTAGTACTCAAGCAACTGGATATGATTTTGGAAGCATGTTATATGCATTTTTTTTAAACTTTGGGCACTTTTCTGTGAAATTTTTGTATATCATAGATCTGTTTATCATTAAAGATTGTAGGTCACAGACAGTCCAAACTTTGCACATACAATGTATATAATATACATGTATATCAACATTTTGCAGCGAACAAAGAAAACGAAGAGCACATCGCAGAGAACCTGGACTTCAGCTTCATCCACATCCTGCGGCTGCTGTACTCGGAGAACGAGCAGGTAAAACTGCTGGCGGGAGAAGCTCTGGCGGCGTTCGCCTTCAACAACGTGGCTCAGCAGCGGGAGATCGCGGAGTCTGGCGGGGTGCGCATGCACAACTTCCTCACCTTCCTGGAGTCGAAGGACGAGTACTGCCGGTGCTCGGGGGCATTCCAGGTGAGCTGTGATTTAACGTCTGCAAACATAATCCCGCCAGGTCACATATATCTTCCAGCCTGAAGAAAAAAATGGTACACTTGACATTGCTCAAACACACTCTTTTCAAAGTGGTAGATGTAATAAATCAATCTGGGAGGTATGAACACTTCAGATATCCAGGTGTTCAAAACATTCTTCGGGAGGCCTTGAAGACCATTTTTGTAATTCACTTTTTATTTGGCATGTCTTAGGAATTAAAATTCAAATTATCACAATTAAAACAGCTGTGTGTACAAACATTTATACAGAGCATCATATTTCGATGTCAAATTCTCAAAAGTTGTTGAGGTGCAGTAACTGTTGAAGCTCGTAAATGAAGAAACTACATGACTTTTTTTTTGATTGTACAAAATTAGTGATGAAGTTGAACTTGGCTCCATCCCTCACAGATCGTGGTCCTGGCGAGAATCGTACCAGATGAAGACCAGGCGTCCTCCTCTGCCATCGGTATCAAGCTGCTGGTGGACCTGCTGGAGTTCTCCCAGAAGGAACAGATCCAGGCTCTCACATGCGATTGTCTCGCAAGACTGGCTCATACCAGAGCAGGTAATGCATAGTATTATGTGTTATTACAGTCAAACCTGTACAAGTGATTACCTCTACATAAGGACCGCACCTGGATATTGATGTACAGTCAAACATGTATAACCCACAAGTGTTAAGACCACCTGGCCATTGAATTATACAGTCAAACCTGTAAGAGTGACCGCCTCTATATAAGGACCACCTGTCCATTGATACTGTATACAGGCAAACCTGTACAAGTGACTACCTCTATATAAGGACCACATGGCCATTGATATACAGTCTAACCTGTACCAGTAACCACCTCTGCATAATGACCACCTCACCTGGCTATTGATGTACAGTCAAACCTGTATAACCCATAAGTGACCACCTCTACAATGTACCACCTGGCCATGATATACAGTCAAACCTGTACCATTAACCACCTCTACATACATGTAAGAATCACCTGTCCATTGATATACATTTTACAGTCAATCCTGTACTTGTCAAGTGACCACCTCGATTCACCCAGTAAGTTTCTGGTCCATGTTGATTGTTGTATGTTGATGTATGTAGGAGTTCCGGCGGCCATAGTGTCCATCAACGGTGTGGAGCTGCTGTGTCGTCTGATGATGTCACAGACCGAGCAGGTTCGGTACTGTGCTGCCGTCGCGCTGGGATATCTCACCTTTGACCACACGGCAGAAAGGCAGCTGCTAAGAAGGTGTGTAAAAGGGCTCTATATCTCTTTGTTTCAACATAGGAGTGTCAAAACATAGGGGTGTCTGGACATTGGGGTGTAACTGTGTAACACTGTACCCTACACAGTCCTTTATGGACTCGGCAGCAGAGAATGATGCAAGTGGAAGGGATATAGCAAGCGCTTTAAATGTCTCCAGGCGTGGGGGCGATTGTGTTTATCTAGAAAAATGGCGGATTTTACCCATCATGCTTTTCGCGCCGGTAATGGCGAATAGGCTTATTAAGATCTCACTTTGCTAGTAGCAGAGTGAGATCTTAATATGTCCTTCCACTTGCATCTGTGTTTTCTGAAATTTCTGCGTTTGTAGAATTCTTATCACGATGTGATATTTGAAAATGGAAACATGAGATATTTGTTTTAATACATTTGCCAAAGTCCTGGAGGGTCGTTTTAGTTTACAACAACTTTTGTTTTATGACATGTCTGAATCAACTGTACAGACAAACCTCACATTTTTTATGGGACTTTTTATCAAATAAAGATTTTCTCTGCCACTTTTCCATACTGTATGTCGTCTCCTTTCATTCCCAGATGTCGAGAGCAGCCTTACCTGGTGAAGGTTCTTCTGTACCACACCAGATATGGGAAGATATCACCTTCCTTCCTGGAGGGGTGGAACCACTGCAAGCGCATCGGACTTCCCCCGATACCGTAAGCAAAGGACGACATTTCTGAAACTGTCAATTTTCCTACATCAAAACTCTAAGATATTCTCTTACACAATCCAAGTGCACCATTGTTGAACGTTTGCAGTATTTGGAGTACCATGATGGAAATTTGCATATTTTTAAACATCTGGAACACTTTCCCCTTTCCCAGAGAAAAGCCAAAGTTCATCACAGCCAAAGACAGTATAACTTACCTGTCAAGTATCAAGGAGCAGCCGCCACATGGTGAGTTTCATCTGAACATCTCTCACTCACTCACTCACTCACTGTTTTTCCCCATCAGTGGGGGGAACTTAGAAGAACTTTCACACTGATGCTGAGGCTTAATGGCATCCTGCCATTTGCCTCTATCCTTCTTTCTCAAACTCGAACAAGCCTCAGGTGATACAATGTACATGTATATTCCCTGTGTGTCGAATGTGTGTACATGTCAGAATGGACCACAGGAAGAATAGCTACAGTTTGTACGCTAATTGTGGATCCTAATAAAGTCACGTCAAGTCAAGCCTCTTGGCTTCATTTCCACCCTTGGCATCTTTTCTTTTGTATTCATCATGTGTTATGCATTTTGTTTTCAAACATGCAAATAAATACTAGTAAACTAAACTGACCAAAGTACGAACCCTTGTGATCTACAGCCCGTCCCCTGACCATCCTGAGCATGGGCGCCGACACTGCGACGGGAGAGACGGCCACGACCAGCCGCCACCACAGCTCCCCGCTGGGCCTGTTCCGTGACGACCGCACGGCCACCAACGTCACCGGTCGGTCCTCCCGCGTCTCACGGGCCACCGCGACCTTTCCACAGAACACGCCGCGCTCCGAGGCCGACATCACGCCCGCCGAGACGCCGAAGAACGAGGACGCGCCCATGGCAGTGCAGGATGGGTAATCTCCAAGCAGATGTTGGGGGAGAAAATCATGCTAAATTTTTTTTTTTCTGGCTGCCCGGTCTTCTCTGACCCTCGGCCACAACTAGCCTGGGTGCCAAACTCCATAGTTTCCGCTTGCTCCCTAATGTCGCTGGGCACTATGACATTAGGGAACGAGCGGAAACTGCGGAGGATGGCACCCAGGTTAGGCCACAACACCAACAGTCACAAAAATCCAGCCTGTCAGAAACATCATCATGGTTTTCTAAAGTAACATCTGCTTGGAGATTGCATCACGGGTCTGTGAGAGCAAGACTTAGTGAGCAGGAGTCTAATAGCTGTTGACATGGCATAAACGTTGCCAGCAACATGACTGTGCCAAAATTGACTGCTTTCTTACCTTTGCTGCCAGGGGCACATTTGTGCTGACGCCCCTGCATTCCGATATAGGGTTGTCGGAACATAGGTTTGAGTTGGTGAACTGCTAGAGCGCGATTTTGGTCAAGTTTATACTCCGTCCTCATGCCACTGGAGATGCTAGTATTCTCTCAGTACATGTACATTACAGGGTGCATCTCTGAGACATTGTCTACCTCACTGTGATGCCAAAGAAGATTGGGCTCCGAGGTAGACTGATGTAGGAGCTTCAAACCTGCACTTACAGGGTTTAAAAATATGTCTACTTCTCATAATCATCAATGTATGACTCTCTGGTAGTCAAACTGCCAAATATAGTGAAACATCAAGGGATCCCTTAGGATTTGTACCAAACCGTACAGTCCTTTAACCATTAAGTTGACTATTTGTGGTGATCAGTATATTTTTGCTGATTTGGTTGATAGTAACTACAACATTTGGAAGTGCGTGAACTGCTGTGTTGTCAGTATCATTGAATAACTCAGCTTTACTAGGTACAATATTTTAGTCTTCCAGAAAACAAAAGATCATGACAAGGTAATAATAAATTGACCATAGATAGTACAGGGTTAGTCAGATCATCTGAACAGAGATACAAGACCTGTACACTCTAAGTTACATGACAGATTAATGTAATGTACCTGTTTTTATTCTTCAGGTGATCTCACAGACAACTTTTATGTTTAGAACTTTCCTTCTAGTAGTAAGTCTAGTTGATGGCCAACTGTAAAAAAGCAACACTTTGTAAATAAGATGTTCAGAATTTGAAAATACATTTTTGGAATATCAATTATTGCCATCCTTTGCTAATTTTCGATGTTGATTTTGTATTATAATTGTATCAATGTGGAAACTTTGGACATGCAATGACACACATACACACAATCACATACACATACAAATCACACACATACAATCACACACACACACAAATCACACACATACAATCACACACACAATCACAGTTCCCAGTCTAAAAAGCTGAACCATGAGCAATTCAGCACCAAGAGACCACATCTAGTGTGATATTAAACGTTAAAAAAGGACAACAATAACAAGACAGAAGAGCCTAATATCTGCTTGGAGTTGGAGTAGTCAGAGAAGGGGACAGACTGAAAATGTATGTCTTCAACCCAACATCTGCTTGGAGATAAGGGGCTATCAGGAGGACATCAGGATCTGCTAGGAGATTAACATGACAGCCTTGTTGATAATCCCTCTCAGTAGGTGGAAAAGCCACTCCAGCTGGTTTTGTTTGTGCTCCTGCTGTGATAATTGTCCTATTACGGAAGTTGAACAAACAGTATGTCATTATCACTCCCACCAGGGGCAGACAATTAAACCTGTAGTCCACAGACCTATAGCCTCTACCAGGCTAGTCTCCACCAGACTCCTTTGCAGGCTGAATAAAAAGTAGAAAACAGCCGGAAAAGAATGAAGCTGGCCAGGGGAGTGTCAAGGATGAGGAAAGACTGAATCAGTGAATGCAGCTGCAGTCAGGACTTCACAACTGTAAATACAGAACCTCCAAAGACCAGAATTATACCATCCATATCCACCATTTTTAATGAAGAGATGGACAAACCATTAAAACATGACTTTTTATTATATATGACAAAATGGCATATCCTTCACAATGATGCATCATTATGTACATAAAACCATGGCGGCTTCTTCCATGTAATCTGTAAGCAGGGTTAGACAAAATTACAGACCAACCAACCATCCATCCCTCTTTATTGTACATAAACAAACAATAATCACCTTTTCTGAATCCATTACTTCTTTCAGAAACTCACCAATCCATAATTCAATTATGTTACCGGTATATAAACCCACCAAAGAGTGTCCGTCATCTTTTTTTGTAGAGCTGTTGCCATACCTTTGTACATGACTGTACACAATAGCTACCAGCTAACCCATTATTACAGACATACATGTCACAAACAGACACAAAAAAATCTTCTGGGGGTTGAAACTAAGTACACTTCTTATACCCCAGACTTTCCCCAGGTGGTCTGAGGACTAACAGAAGGTGGTGTAAGACATCCTCTGGCATTGCACAAGTCAAGTTCAACAAAGCCACTGCAATTGAGATGTGTTAAGTTTAAGCTAAAAGCTATTCCAGCCACTCACTGCCATTATACTGCCACTATACTGTAAATGACTTTACTGTATACAGAATCTGTGTAGTTGGTTATCCTACAAAGTAGAATTGTAAGCCTATCTTCTATCTCTTCTGCTTTCATTGCAGTAAAGTTATCAATCCCATGGATGTGTAGTACATGACTTTTCGAATCAAACGTACATGACAAAAGCTCACCAAAGTCACTAAGTTGCATCATACGTCTGACACACGATTTTCTGCACTAAAACCAAATGGTTGCTATAAGAATGTTTCATACCTAGTAGCTGCAGTAGAAGTGCTTGGGGTTGTTGATTTGCTGTTGTTGGCCAGCTAGAAAACAACATTTTACTTCTACTTGTACGAAATACATAAAATATACCTACTAGTAGTAACACTTACTTCACTTTCGGTACAGCATATACTTGTCTACTGACTGTGCTGAACTCATACAAACCAACGCTCCAATTTTAAGACTATACATATCACTGATACTTAGCAATTACGACAACAAAAATGACGTAGAAAAAGCTTTAACCTACTTAATCATTTTCCCTGTCTCTGTCGACAGTCAAATGCACACAGAAGGCAAAATATTCACAAGGTATACATGTCAACACCAACCCCAGAACCTTTGTTGACGTCAGTTAGCTTCCTCTTCAGACCCTCCCTTAGAAAAAATAGTATCATTTTCTTTCACCATAGTTCTTTCTTATAAGAAACTTTTTAAACACTCTACTGACAATGTTGACAGTAACACTAGCTAAGCAGATGCAGAATATCTGATGCTGACACTGCAAGAGGACTTTCTCCAGCTTTAGATTTTTGCCCATCCCTCTCATTTTGGGCATCCTGGGCAAACCCTCTGAAACACTATTTAATGCATTTTCAGAAAGGAAAAGGGAAAATTTGATTCAGTTGGAATGTTGGAAGCCCATTTTGTTAATTTTTGTCAAGTTTACGAAAATATGTCTTCATGAAGTTCAGATTTTAGAAGGTTGGACGGGGTGATTTTTTTTTCTGTCCCCATAAGCAAATTTCTGTTTCAGGATGAAGGGAAGGGTCCTGGAGATAGCCCTGCGCTACAGTGAGATATGCGAAAGACCTAACCTATGTTTAGCTGCATCTTCCATGTCCATGTAGCATTTACATTTCTGTACTTCAATCATTGTTGATGCTTGAGCATTTGCCATTTACACGGGCCAAAGTTCCAAGACTGCGGCTAGTAAGAGAGGGGATATCTTTGACAGAAGAAACTGTCTTCAGTTAAATCTTCGAGCATTACAGTCTATTTTCTATTCTATACTGTCTTACTCTATCTATACTGTCTCAGTCTCCCTAACTTCTGAATCTTTGCTGATACAAACTTGTCTGCATTTGCATTGTTCAGCCAAAGAGAAAGCAGAGCATTCATAGTCCTTTTAGCCTCGCTCGTAACTTACCAACACAGGATAATACAGTCAAGTGACCACCTCTACATCAAGACCACCTCGCCTATGGGACAACTTTTTTGGTGGTCCCTAGGCCCTATAGACATTTTTCCCCACAAGAATTAAGAATCCTGTCTATAGTGACCACCTGTCCACATAGAACAGATATCAGTCCCAAGTGGTTATCTGGGGCAGTTTTGACCGTCTTCATTTAAGTTTAGTGTGATAAGGCTGAAGATAAGGCCATTGGTGCAAGACTCTCCAAAACACATTACAAACATTTGACCGTGTTTTAATCTTCTGAGTAGCAATATCATCTGCCTTCCCCCAAAAGAAGCCCTACCTCAAGCATAAGCTAAAAATGAGTACTTGCAAAGTGATGTATAAGCTTAAAGAATTTGCCTTCAGACATGAAAGTTTTCGAGACGTCTTGGCAACATTTCATACATGTATCTTGAAAGTTCATCTGTGTTGGTAGAAGTCAGTATGAAACAAGTTTGAGTCACATGTGTTATCTGCGTGACGTCACAGAAGTGGTGGATTGTTCATCTCTTCATCTCTAAGACTGGAGTTGTACAGTCGAAAATTTGGGCAAGTCCAATTTCTTGTGTTGGCAATTGCAATTTGCAGTCTTGTTTCATATTGGCAACATTTCGTTCCTCTGAGGCTCAAAACGTTCCGTCTGCCTTGGGTCTCTTGGTACCTCTCGGGTCCTCTGTGTCTGGCTCCGCCTTGAAGTCCATGGCGTTGTCGAAGCTGAGGAGCCACTGGCACAGGTCATCCACATCATCGTCTGTCACTCTGTCCAGGGACTCAAACAGTTCTGCTGCCGTGGCACTGGTCCTCCTCCTGTAGAAGAAATGTAAAAACACCATTTAACATTTGGTAAGGCCACACTAAGTTGATTTTATGGGTGACATCCCCGCACGCATTGATTTTTGCCTGCTCTCAAAAAAGAAATAATCTCCAAGGAGGCTCTGGCCTGGGTACAATCCTCCGTAGTCCATGGTAGCTGGCAACAATAGGGAGCCGGCAGTACGGTAACTTCGGAGGATGGCACCCAGGCTGCCGTCTGTTCACAGGACTGTAGAACTCAGTACAGTGCCGACTCATAAATGATGCAAAAGGCCAGCATGTGCCGGCTTGTTGTAAAAGTCACTATGTACATTTTTGTACTACCACAAGCTTTGTATCCATGTGGCTTAGTAGCATTTTTTGCTGAATTTTTTTACTAGTTTGGGGGTGTTCAGAGGGTGTGCCATCCATAAAATTAAGGCAGTGTGGCCTAAAAGATACCACCAGACTAACAAAATTCTTCTGTCCAAACCACCTTAGGAAGGCCTGGTGGAGGCATCCCTTCTGCATTAGTTCCTTCTTTCTGTTATGAAACCTTACACTGGGAGGGGGGTGCTGTAAAAGACTGACTTATGTGAGTAACTGAAAGTGTAGGTGACTATTTTTGAAATGATTGAGGACTGACTAGGGTTACTGTATGTTCCTAAATGCTACAACAGCTTCAAGTACAGAGGCCACTGTTATTAAACCACTGTATGGCTTCTAAACCAAGATATTAAAACACAGAGCACCATTTTGTTAGCTTCCCCTCGCTCTTTCAAATGATCCGCTGGCCCTGCATATCCACGTGTCATTGTTAGTAGGTAACCCAAGTTATCACAGAGACTGTATACCTGATGCCACAACCCAGACATTTCTCTGGAACACGAGATTCACCTCACCGTGAGAATGGGTATGGAATGTGAGAAATTCCCGAGAAGGGGTACACGTGTGGAAACTGTTTGACCTGTACTGTACCTCCTCAACAACTCACGGTAACCGAGATCTCTGCGGAGGAAAGAGTTAAACGTAGGCAGACCGCGACTTGTGCGACTTGTGCCACTTGCTCCTCGCGGTGCGCTCCTACAACTGGTGAGGGATGTGACACAACATACATGTACCATACATTCCATTCTCTTCAACAATAACACAGCAAAAAGTTATGCAAACATGGAACATGGCTAGTTGTAGGCTTTTAAGAAACATGTCAGGTTCAGCTTCAGCCTGTAACTACAAGCTCCATGGGTTAATAAATACATTTTGTATTTGTACTGTGAAGTCTTCTAACTGGCATAGTTTGACCTAGGTTGTGACTTGGACCCCCTTTGAGTTGAGTTGAGTTGAGCATAGGGTGTTTCTTCTTGGAAGAACTCTGTTATACTTCAAAGCAAGTAAGAATCCACATACACCTACATTGTACAATCATGTATATATTTCTGAATCATGTAAACCCAGCACATGGTACATCAGAAATACCTGCACAACTCCTATTTTACATGCCCTAACCTGCACATGCAGGTGGTACTTCCAGGCCTTTAGAATGTGATGAAAAAAAAATTCTCTTCTTCTTACCCATTCTCATAGTTCTGCATGGGGTTGAAGACGGGCTGTGGCTGGAACGGGTACCGGTACGGCTGTGGGGGTTGTTGTTGTTGCAGCCGGGGCGGCTGCGGCGGCGGCTGTTGTTGTTGTTGCTGGGGCAACTGTATGGGGGGGATGATGACCTGCTGCTCGTCCATGGCTGAGCTCAGGACATCGAAGTCTATCGTGCTGATGGGACCCGGGGACGGCAAATCCGGGTGCTCGCTGGGACCGACTCCGTTACTGTGTGAACAAATGAATGAATGGTTCATTTGTCAATAATGATCATTTTGATCAGGTAAAGTACATTGCAGCCATAGGCTGAATTGCATACTTTTTACATATTCAAAAACTGTTGAAACACTGTGGAAAATACTGGGGCAACAGTGATAGGAAAGAAAGGTTAGACCCAAAACTACTTGTAGAAGACCTGTGACAGATGCGCTGGCTTCCATGGGATCATCCAAGCAGACAATCAGTAAAGAAGATGGCCAAGGACAGCCCCAGATGGAAGGCAAAAGTCATGGCCTTATAATTATACCTCACATGGACTGAAGCGAACACGTTTAGGAAGTAAGAACTGACCTGTCTTGTTGATCCATGAACTCACAGCTGACGGGGCTGGCGACAGACCCGGCGTAGTCGGACATGTGTGAGGAGGGGGCGGGGGACGGAGCCATCGGGGTGAAGGGTTCCCCTGGACTCATCGGGCCAGCAGATTGTCTGGGGAAAAGAGAAAGGAAAACTCTTAGTCCATATAGCACTTGGCAGCCATAATAGATTAGGATGTTAAATGGAGGTCCCGCGTTTGGGAGAGCCACACCCACGCACGTTAAAGCACCCACCAAACTTTTGGAAAAGAGTAGGGGTCCTTCCAAGTGTGAGTGGTTCTAACCTTACAGTCCGGTCTTACGCAGCTTGTACTTACATGTTCAAAACTGGTGTGTTAGGCCTAAAAATGGTGGTTTACCGGTTATGCGAAACAAACAAACAAACCTTGTTGGTCTGGTGACTGCGACCAGTCTGGCTTTCACGTACTTCACATCTGGTGCGTTGTCTGCCGCATCGTCTGGAAATAAAGAACCAAGAACACGTCAATACTGTCTACATACAGATATTCCTATTTCTCTCGCACTTCCTTAGGTCCTAACAGAAATCACAGAGCCTGACAACTTCAAGGAAGCCGTACTCCTGCACCTCAGGAAACTCCCTGACACAGTAGAGAACCTTGGCCCGTGTAAATTGTGTATTAGCACTCCCCCATAACATAAATGCTGTCGCTGCAAGAAATCTTTGAAGTTGGCTAACTCTGGACGTACCAGATGTGGTGTAATACTTCTCGAACACGGAGTCCCTGGGTGTGTCAGGGTACAGGTACTGCAGGGGCTGCTCCTGGTCCTTGTAGTAGTCCCGGATCCGCTCGGCCAGCGGCAGTTTGGCAAGGTCATCCACCGTGTACGGCTCCAGGAACTGAACTGGTTTGTCACCTGGAGCAATATTGGTGATATTGATACATGAATATTGATAATGATATTGATACATTGATATTGATACTGGCTTATCACATATGTAAATATTGATTGACAATGATATTGATAAGGCTTGTCACCAGCACCAATATTCATGATATTGATACATTGATATTGATAACAATATTGTCCCTCAGATAGGACATTAAATGGAGGTCCCATGAGCCATACCACCACACCTTTTGAAAAAGAGTTGGGGCATGCCTCGATGGTCCAAATTCTACAGCCCACTTCTAAAGTGTAACAGAATCATCAACAAGTTGATGTTGGGTACCTTAACCTCTCTCTCTCTCTATCCAGTTTAACATCTTTTTCCCCATAACAGGGGTTAGTCCTGCTTGCATCAAGTGCAAGTCTTTTTTGGAAGAAGATTTTTTTTGTCCTTCCTAACACTAGCCCAAACCCTAGTAGAGCCCATGATCCCTCCAACTGAGGGGGGCCTTTCCTAAGGGCACAACGTCTGGGTGCATGTCCGGACATGTCTGGGTCCAACCTTGGGGATTTAACCCTGAAGACAAATTTGAAAGACAAGACAAGGAAGTAAGAAGCAATGTGTGTTCACCTGACGTGTGTTCCTCCACCCAGACGGCACTGATGGCTCCTTTAGCGGAGGAGTCGCTGAACCTGAGCAGGAACGTCCCGTGGCACTTCCCCAACAACAGCTCCTGCGCGCGCAACTTGCTGATGAAACCCATGATGCAGCTGCGTCATGGTTCAAGAAAAAAGTGGAAAAATTAATAAAAAGTGATTTAAGTCATCAAGATATTAATTTGTCACTAGTACTTTGATGTAATCACAAGGCAGGCAGGCAGGCTATGGTTTATTTGTCTCTTTTGCACACAACAAAAAAAGACAAGGGTCATAACGAAAAGGACAACTTTCATTGCATTAGGAAAATGAAAGCAAAGAGACACAATTATCATAAGTATATGGACAAGTTACAATATATGGCCTCCTTTTGGTAGAAGGCTACAGCTTCGTTTATGGCTAAGCAGAGTTCTTTTGCCCGGGTCTTCTGCTTCTCTTCTGCGCAATGCACCTGGCCCTACATGGCTTTCTATATAATATCTTTTACTATTACTTACCCATCCTTCCACATATCTCCCAGCTTCTTGGTGGTGAGATCCAGAGTGCCGTGGAACCACTGCCAGAAGGTGAACTTGCGGTCGGGTAAGGTGTCCTGAAATAAAATGGAACAGATTTATTTCCTTTAAGTTGTACATGAATATCAAATAATGCATGGATTGTAGATTGATCCATTTAAAATTCAGCATACACCCAGTTAAGACAGTGCATCTTGTACTTGTATCTATAATATTTGCTTTTGCATTGAACTGAACTCCATCAATAGTTGATGAGAGTACATGTGAGTTCTTTGGTCATAGCAGGGACTGACTTTTGCCTCAGAAACAAGTACATGTATTAAGGCCATGTTGATTTGATTATATGGATGACATCCTCCGGGAGCCCCAAAACTGATGCGCGCGTGCGAATAAGAAAAAAGTTTTGCAAAAAAAAAGTTCTTTTCATTATGAAATCTACGTGGTCATGAGGGTTGAGCAAATGGCACAGAATATGGTTTGGCGAATAATCTAGTCTTCAAGTTCATTTCTTTACAATTTCGTCTTTTTTCGTTTGATTTTGGCATTCTACGACATTGGTATAGTTTTTATCAATTTTTTTTGTAACTTATGGTATATTTCTGCTCATTTTGCAACTGTTTTGTACGATTTACAGTATGGTTGAAAACTTTTTTTTGGGAAACGGCCGAAAATTCATGCGCGCGCGGATGTCATCCATATAATGAAATCAACATGGCCTAAGTACAGAGAACTAGTCTGTGCCGATAGTATAGTGACGCAAATCTTACCCTGTTAAATGCGGTCCAGGTCAGAGTCATGTTGGAATAGTCCAGACCAAAACCTACAACAGGAATATAAAAAAAATCAATCAGATAATTGTATAAAATGGACATGTGTTCATAAAATAGATGCATGCACTTTCAACTGAAGGCTACAAGAAAGTGGCAAAAATGTCTGTTTTGTTAACTGTAATCAGATCCAATAGGCTACCTCACAGTTCCAAGTGTGCATGTGCAGCCTTGATAGTCTACGGTCACGTTTGAGGTCTCTCACTCATTAACAACTATACTTAGTTTAATTTCATTGCTTTCCATATCTTTACATGCCGTTTTTTGTCCATCAAAGATGACTGAGAAAATATGTGTCCACCACGAGGGGCAGAATTCCAGGAACTGACGGAAAGACAGACGCTGGCTAGTATACTGAACTGATTTTTTTAAAATTCAATTTTCATCTCAAAACAAAGCTCATAAGAAACAATAATACATGTTTTGGGTTACATTAAGGAACTGTAGAGACTAAAGTTTAAGGTTGTACCCATTTGGGAAGCATTCACAAAGAAGCTTGATCCATAGTGATATTGTAAGAAACAGAGGCGAGCAGTAAAAACCCTTCTGGTCCCGGGCTGGGGTTCGAACCCACGACCTCCCGAGCACCAGAGCTTCATAGCCAGACGCTCTAACCTCTCCGCTAAAAGGTCTAGACCCTTTGGCCGGGTCAGTTGGTAGTGCCTATAAACCCCCCACTGTTACAATATAGTTCTAGGAAAGAAGCTTTCAGCTTGAAACTTTCTCCTGAGACATGGAGTATGCAAGAAAAAAGGGTGATTTGCTTCCATAGTAGTGACAAAACGTGTCATGGCTGAGAAAGTTCAAACTGGAAGCACAAGGGATTCTACCGAAGAGTTTCTCAGCGAGGAACTTCATGTTCTCCTCAGTGATGAATATATGTTTTACATTAACAAACCTACAAGGTCTTATGCTACATGCCTTTAGAATAGTCACTTTATCCTATTCAGTCTAGCATTTCACAGTCTCCCATTTCTAGATTGTCTGTCTAACTGTTCAAAAACAGATGAATGATGACTGCAGGTTGTACCGAAGAGTTTCTCAGCCAGGAACTTCATGTTCTCCTCGGTGAGGCCGCGGCCTGTCTGCATCTCGTACTGCCAGCTCAGGGCGTGGCCCACTTCCATCCACGGAGCCTTCTCTGGAACCTCAAACAGCTCTCGGTCCTACGGGAGGGGGAAGGGAACGTCAGCTCAAACCATATTATTGTCACATTTGTTAAGACACAAAAAATAAACATGAATGTGATTCAAACTTTACTGCAGCTGTATAAAATTGAAACAATTAAACGTTTTGAGTGTTTTGGACAGACACTCAAAATGTCTGTAAATAAATTGTTTCAATTTTATGCACTGGGAAAGTTTGAAGCACAGTTTTATTTATTTTAGTTGGCAGAAAAGCCTGTGCCTGCATGAAACCAGTAGTTTTCAGAGTTTTCGTTGAATGTCTGGTCAACGCATGCCGACATGCTTCCCATTATGTGCTGGTAGATGTAACATACCCATCACACTATCACTGCCTCATTGACTCATACAATTCTGGAAGGTTCTTGACTTGAGAGATACAAATTTTCTGCAACTTACAGGTTTTGAGAAAGCATTGTCCCAGAGGATGGTGGCCCAGGCATTAGACTCCTGGTTACTGTGAGAAATGAGAACCACTGGAAGTGACATCGTCTGAAAGGAAAACATCATCATTAGAACAGAAAGAAAAACAACATGATTTTGAACTGGCTTAGCTAAATACACTAAAGAATAGTTGAGCTACTCTTCCACTGATTGTGACAAAGAATTCCACTTCCTGTTGGTATACACCTTTCTATCCCCTATCCTAATTAGTTTCACCCCTCTCCTTTATCTTGTCCCATCCCATCTCTCCCCAGCCCATCATTCGTAGCCCTGTCAGTCTGTGTGCGGGTGGAGACTATCCTATATTTCTGTGTCTTGTGTACATAGACAGGAATTGGACTTGTGAAAGGAGAAGACATACCTTGAGTTCAGTCAGTGTTCCTAAGATACTGAGTTCTGTCTGGAAAGAAATCATGGCTTTCTCATCAGTCACTCTTGAGGGCTGCAAGAGACAAGAAAACGTAGTGTATGAGTTATTCCGTTGAATAGTTACTAGTATGTTTCTTATTGCCTACAGAATGGTTTGACCCTTCAGTATATACTTGTGTTATAAATGCATACCTATCTACACATGGGACAAAGAGCTTTTTTTTTATGACAGCAATATTTAGTGACTTGGACACAAACATATAGTCCACATACCTCTGCATTTCTCTTAGCAGGTCCTGCTATCTTGGTCTGCTTCATGTTCTAAAGGTAGAAAAAAAAACAGTTAAAGTTTGTAACATAATTTCATAACCATTTGTTCAGAATAAATCGAATGGTAAACATTTAGGCTAGCAGTGATGAACATCTTGCAACATGTTGGTCATCTTTGACAAGTTTGTAAGTAAAGTAGAAGGCTCATTTCTAACAAGTATGATTGGTCAAACTACAAACTTACCATGTTCTTAAACTTGACTGAACAGACGGATGCGTTTGAATCCAGCTCCAAAGTGCCTTTAGAGTTGTGCAGAAGGTATCTGTACTTCTCCCTGTACATTTAACAAATATGAATAGTGCAGTTAGTATGGTAAGGCAGCAAAGAATTTCTGCAAATGGTGAAATTATAGACATTCAAATAATATGCACATAGCAGGCTCACATTAATGCAAGGAAAATACTTTAATCATGAACAAAACTGCAAAATTGAAACATATATTGTCTTTTTCTCCATAAAAAGTACACTGTCTGGTAGTTCTATCCACAGAGAAAAGTAACTAACATAACTGGTGCAAAGAAGTTTCACTACTAACCCATTGGCTTTGACAACTTCATCCCCAGCATTGGGCCCTCTGTAAAACAACAGACAACTGGCTTCAGGTGCTTGTGTAATGCCAGAATGCAGGACACAGACAGATGTGACATAAGGAATACATACACTATATATGGCCTCCTTTAGTCAATATCAACTATCATACAGGATGATAGTAACATGTTCCAGTCCCGGCTTTACATTGTCTCAAATGCTTCAACAGAAGGTTTACTTCTTACATGTATCATCAGAAAAATCAGTTCAGCAAATCTTCATTATACAAGAAATATATGAAACAAGTTGAACTTCCTATTTCACATTTATGACAAAACAAAAAGAGTTATGTCCTGTTAATCCTTGTCCTGCGGGCATCTTTAACACAATACTCTTCAATATATTCATGTCTTAATTAGGTCATGGCATAGTTACTTCCACATTTGTTGCATTTTGCCGCAGTCTGATGCGAAATACCCCCAAATCGTAACTACACAGAGTGCTATATAGATGGTACTGTATGTGCAAAACAACAATTGTTGGGCTCCTCAGGACAAGGGATACGACACTGTTTTCCCCTCACCTGTAAATGCTGGCGTTGACTTGTGGCAGTTTGGTCAGGTTTGCACACAGTCGTTTCCCAAGGAGGAATCTAAAAAAAAGGACAAACATTTTGAAAACAAACATCTGGGTTACTTACTGGGTTAAGTTTTTGTACAGATTACGAAAATAAACATAACGTACAATGTAGCCTTTTTGAGTCCTTAGGAGCAGTAGGTTGTTGATCCACTGTGTCTCAGTCACAGTATTGGAAGGCCATCCCTGTCCTTCCACTGCCTTTTACCTCCCCAACAAAAATCAGTCAAGGATCACAAAAATCTGATTTCAGTTGCTCAGCTATTGCCATCCAGTGGAAAGGGGACCTACATGAAGGATGATGACAATATTAGCCCAACTTCACTCACCTGAGTTGAGCAGTAAACTTGGTGCCATCAGTCTTGAGAACCTGTGGCCGTGCCTGCTTGTTGTGGCGAGGCTGCTCCTCCACTACAAAAGACCTGCGAGCAAAAATGTTTTGTTTTAGAATATAACAAATATATAACAATGAAATAGAACTGAGATATAACAGTGCAAGGGAGGCTGAAAGCTTGTATCCTTGTAACCATGTATAATAAGCCCCATATGTTCTTATACTTACATGTACATCTGTTCCTATACTTAAGGTGGTCCAGAAGGATAGCTGAGGCATATTTAGAAATACTAAGAACTCTATCTGATATGGTAGTCTTTTGGGTCTATTTTTATAATTTTCTTTCGTCTTGTCACTATGGACACATTTTGGCCGCCAAATTGACCGCCAAATTGTGCATTTTTTTCACGCTCCAGCCAGGCCCCAGTGGGGGTGTGCACATTATTTTTAAAAGCTACTCCGCTGCTCGACCAATCAGGCTCGCTGGTCATTACGTAAACTGAGAGCTTCACTTTCATAATTTTTGGGAAGGGAAAAGACACTGGAAAAGAGAGTTTTACTGAGCGTTTGATGTCAGTTGTTTGCAAAACGTTTTGGGTAAAAACCTGCCAAATGCAAAGAATAATAATTTTCTGAAAACACAAGCCGTTTCCATTGTTTATCACACTTCGTATCGGCAAAATGTTGTCAAGTTGCAACACACAACCAGAGATATGCAGCCACACAAATCACCAAAAACGCCAGAAATAATCTGACAACTTCCTATATAAAAACATTCGACTGCCAAAAGAAACGAAGCTGTCTGCTTTGAGCCACAAGTTAGATCTTGGTTTAGTTATGAGCGGCCTGGCGGACCGGGTCACTGCATGCATAAAGAGCCGCGCTTGGTAGTTCATACTCGGCCGTCATTATGCGGCGTTATCCTTTGTGTTCTTTCATGATTTTCACAGACAACTCATACTAAGTAATTTTCTACCGAATAAAAACGCGTCTCTACCTGTGCACTGTCTTATTATTCTGAGTTTGTATCGACTGCAACACGTTTGTAACTACTAAACGCTAACGTTACGTTCTAGTGAACAGACATGATAAGAACTACTAGTAATTTTATAAAATCTACGTTTTTATTAAAAAATACGATACTTACAAACTTCAGCAGAATTTTTACATAATCTTACGGTAACTGCTAACAATAATCTTTTACGATTTACAGCATACAGCAAATAGTAGCCGCTTACAAAAAATCAGTTCCAACAGATTTACAGAGATAGTCCGTACTTTTCACATAGAACATAGAACGTCGTGCGTGAAAATTATTTCCACAAGTCTAGGACAACGTGCAACGTAAATTCACATAATCAACAAAATTATATACGCTCATAATCTCATACCACGTCCGGGCAAGCTTTTTTCCAGGGCTATCTACTCCGGTATCGCGCGATAACTTTTCAGTGTTGTGATCTTGGTGATCGTCAATCTCCTCTGGGGGTAGGCCTAAAAAAACAAGTCCGTAACTCCAGAATACCCCGGCAGATTTTCTCCAATAAGGTCTCAGAATAGTCCATAAACCTCCATCTGCAAATCGACGTAGGATACGGCCGTGAAAAAGATCGTCTACCGGCCCAAATGCTGCCGCAAAGCGCACAGCTTCTCCGCTCGCAAACAAGACACGCCATCCGCCATTTTGGGTGAGTCACGTGACCCCTACTCCCGCGAAATCTTAGCGTTCCTTTGGCTGTTCTTTTTACTGGACGTATCCCCGGCCTGTTTTTCCAAATAGCGCCGTAGTAAGCTAAATACAGGGGGCTGAAAGGTCAATGACCTATTTTTCGGTGGGAGGGATGAGCGCCCTTGGAATGGCGACAAAAAATTGGCAATTTCGGCTCTTTCGGGCTTCAAAATGGACATTATGTAACCCCTACGACATATACAGCATTTTAAGAATGAAACTGTGGAAAAAATGTTCATGGAAAGGGACAAAAAGGTGGTATATTTTGAAAGATAAGCTTATAAACTAAAATCGTATGCGAGGCCGACACACTGCGCCGCTTTATATGTTGGGGAGGGGTGCTGGCGCATGGCACTGTTGACATTTACGAAAAAAAATTCATAAAAAATCAACACTTTGAGATATTTTCTAACACATTTTGTTAGCCAGTGTCCTCACTATGAGACCGAAAGAAACAGATTATTTCAGACAATTACAACAATCTCTCCATCATTTCGTCATTTAGAAGATCACCAAAAGACTACATTTCTACTAAGATCACAAAACCCACTAATTATGCAGAATGTGGGACTATTCATTATCCACTGCCTTCAAAGAAGAAGTCGAACCCCTTAATAGCTAGAGTAGTAGTAGAAGTAGAGGTTTTTCCAGACAGATTGTTACCTGTCTCCTGTTTCTGTATAATTGACTGTACACGCAATTAGCCTTCGGGCATGATTTTGCAAATAAACAATTAAAAAATGCTCGCATACGTTTGTTCCTATTACTAGTGTGTGCCTTTCAACAAAATATGGTGAATAAAAACCAAAGCGCTGGCCAGAAAAATTGATTTTTCTAAAAAAGGGGCGTGGCTCATAACTCGAGATGACGTCATGATTACGTCATCAAAATTTGCATAAATTATCATCTTGCACTAAGGTACTTACACAAAAAAAATCAATGACCATAGGTAATCCTAAGTAGTATTTTTAGGATGTCCCCAAAGTCCTCAGCCACCCTTCCATACCACCTTAACTGTCTCAAGAATAACCTTTCTGTATTTATTATTTGTGTTTATCATAAGGCCATGTTGATTTGATTATATGGATGACATCCTCTGGGAACCCCAAAACGGATGCGCGCGTGCGAATAAAAAAAAAGGTTTGCAAAAAAAAAAAAGTTGCTTTCATCATGAAATCTACATGGCCATGACGGTTGAACAAACTACACAGAATGTGGTTTGGCGAATAATCTACTCCTCAAAATCATTTCTTTACATTTTCGTCCTTTTTCGTTTGATTTTCGCATTCTACGACATTGGCATGGTTTTTAAATATTTTTTTCCAACTTGCGGTATATTTTTGCTCATTTTGCAACTGTTTTGTACGATTTATGGTGTGGTTGAAAACTTTTTTTTTTTTTTGGAAACGGCCGAAAATTCATGCGCGCGCGGATGTCATCCATATAATCAAATCAACATGGCCTAATTAGGCTCCCTTGGAAATCAGCCTTTTGAGGCTGAAGGGACCCCCCATGCATATTAAAGATCAAAATATAATAATATCATAATAAATAAATTCATGATCAGTATGTCCTTACTGTGAGACAAGTGTATTGAGCAGTGTGTTGAAAAGAGTGAGTGAGTGAGTGAGTGAGTGAGTGAGAAGTGAGTGAGGAGTGAGTGAGTGACTGAGTGAGTGAGGAGTGAGTGAGTGAGTGAGTGAGTGAGTGAGTGAGTGAGTGAGAAGTGAGTGAGTGAGTGAGGAGTGAGTGAGTGAGTGAGGAGTGAGTGAGTGAGTTGGTGAGGAGTGAGTGAGTGAGTGAGTGAGAGTGAGTGAGTGAGTGAGTGAGTGAGTGAGTGAGTGAGCAGGAGAATGAGATTATCCTTACTGTGAGACGAGTGTGTTGAGCAGTGTGTTGAGCTGGTCGTGGAAGGTGTGGAGGTCTCCCTTCTGCTCCCCGTCCTGTAACATGTCCTGCTGAAGCTTGTCCAACTTGTCCACCTGCTGCAGGCTGTGCAGGATGATGTCCAACAGACGCTCAAACCTGTAGATTCACACACAACTGGTTAGATATCATCAAAACTGCCTGAGAAAGCATGTCAGCAGAACATACTGCACCTGCTTGAAATCTGTAATGTGTTCAGCAGAACATCTCATTTATCTAAGGTCAAACCTGCAGAATTATGTACAACAACTTAGGCCACACTAATTTGATTTCTTGCTTCTCTTTTTTTTAAATTTGCAGTGACAGCACAAAAAAAGAAAAAAAAAACAGTCCTAAGCATCCTATGATAGAACCTAAAGCGACAACAGCCAGGATTCAAACTCCTAACCTCTTAGTCAAGAGGCAACTGGATTATGTACACTATAATGAGAGTAAAATTGGTCACCTGTACAGGTTTGACTGCGCTGCAAATTAATTTTAGTTTGAGGAGACTTTATTTTGCAGTAGGTGGGAATTTGCTGTGTTTGCAGCCTGCATCACTGACTAAAAATCTCTATTGTTTGTGATTGTAATGAGAATGAAACTGTCATACACATTTCGAGTCCTACAGTACAAGTATCTGCCTGCAGACTCACCACTGCTGCAGTGTTTCTATGTTGACTCCCGGGTGAGGAGCACCAATACAGGCCAGCTGCTGCCATCTCTTCCACTGGTTCAGCTCCGTGTTCAGGATGGAGTTCTGAACCATGTGGATCATCTGCACAACCTGGGGAGAGAAAATGTATGTTTACCTTCGCATATGGTCTGCTCTGTTAATTCTTAAACACTTCATATTTATGGTGACAGGAGTCTAAATCTGTCCTGCAATAAAATTGCAACATGATGTAACCCTACACAAGTTACCATGGTGACAGACAGTCTGGTTCAGGTCATTGACCTTATTGGTTTGGAGAAGAAGAAGAGGAAACGGAGCAAAAACAATATGTTTTCCTTCCGTAAATATACATGTAAGAAAGTGATCTGAATCCATTTGTAAATAGTTTAATCAGGTTGGTAAATTATTCACAACCATTTGTTACACTAACACCTAGCTCCAGTTCCAATAGGTTGTTATTTCAAGCCTTGCCATCCAAGTCAAAGTAATGTAAAACAAACAAACAAACCTTCTTCATCTGAGACACGAGTTCGTGGCGCTCACAGTGCAGCTTGACGGTTCGGTTGTCCAGCAGTTTGATGCAGTCCTGCAGCTGCTTAGTCAGGTCCTGCTGAAGGCCAGCGGTCAGGGGACGGCTCAGTTTTTCTGGGGGGACAGAAACAAAAAAATTATGTGACTAGTGTAAGGCGCAGAAGTAGAACCCCCCCCCCGGGTTACAATGGGATGAGCCAACCGGGGTCAGAGGTGAACTAAGCACATGGAAGATATACAGTGTTCTATCAGAATAGATTCAACTCTTCACACTTCTCAGCGTCCTGCCTCCTTGTTGAGTCTGCTAAGTAGACAGATTCTACACTAGTTTCATCAGGTTGGTAAGTCACCGAGTAAGGAGACTTTTTTTACACAACCAAGTCTTTTATTCAGCCAACGTGTCGGTGACCGTCTGTCACCTTCCTCAGGGCAATTCTGCCTGGTTCATATTGCACTACAGCACCATTGATCTGGACCCAGTTCTTAGCCCACTGAAGAGCTAATCTCCCACTGGTTGTGACAAAGAAGACAGATGCTATGTACACTATGTACAATATTTACAGGTTCATTGTACATTTGTACCGGGGAAATTCCCCTCGGTCTCTTCAACAAGCACAAAGAACAGTGGATCATGGCTTAACGTCCTGTCCTAAGGACTGCGACCCTTTCCAGTAGCGCGCGTGTTGGGTGAGCTACAACAGCAGGGATTCAAACTCCCAACCTCTTAGTCAAAAGGCAGGGACGTTAACCACTGGAAGAATAAGAAAAAGAAAGGAATAGCAAGATTCCCTACCTTCCAGTGCTGCCTTCTTTTGGTGCAGATCTAACCACACCTCCAGTATCTGCTGTAGTTTGGACAGTTTGTCCTGGTTACTCTGAACAGAGGAACAAAATAGTCAAGTTAACATGCAGTTCCATCTAAAGCACAGTAAAGGGGTCACTGCCAGTCATTAGAACAGAGCACATGTTCCATTTGGGGTCACAGGCGGTCATTCAAACAGAATGTGTTTTCCATTTGATTGCAGTGTTTATGAGATTTAATCACCACTGGTAAGGTTATGGCACCAATATGAAATAGGGACGTCTAATTGGTCGACATCTTTTAGGTATGTGATAGATATAGAAAACAACACGGTGTATTCCGTATGCCCGAGGTATCAGCCCCACTGCGGCCGGAGGCGATCTGACTCGCGGGAGGGCCGGGACCGAGGGCGATGCGGAATACACCATGTTGTATTTTATTTATGTCATACCCACCAAAGAAAACACGCTTTTCAATGCAAAATGAGCCCAAGTTTGATGTCCCTAAACTAAAAATGCAACAACATCAATTCCAACGTCCGAATTCTGTATTCGAATTTTCAAAAGCCGCGCAAAACGCGTTTGAATCGTTCAATGGAAGCCATGGAAGCCCGGGCCGTACCATTAAGTACGACCCGGTCCGGAACCCGTTATTGAACGTTATTGTGGCCCGGGTATGATATAGTAAGAATGACGAACCTTTGTGTACATGACCAGAGCGTCCAGGTGCTGCACTAGCTGGTGCTGGGAGGCAGACTCGGACTGCCCGTCCTCAATATCATCCGGCTTCTCTTTCTTAATCTGTCAAGAAAAAGTAATTAGGCTAAATTAGGTCAAACTAGAAATGTAACATTTGTAAAGCAAATGTATCATGTTTACCTTCACATGGTCCAGCTTAACAAACTACTTCTTTGTTTATTCGTACTCAAACACATTCATGTATATGGTGAGTGACCATGCTGCCCCTCTTGAACTAAGTTCTGCACGGCACTTGCAACATTATGTAACCCGACACCAGTTACCATGGTAATAGATATCTGGTCCTGGTCATTGACCTTATTTGTTTGGAGAAGAGGAAGAAACTGAGTAAAAACAATATGTTTTCCTTTAGTAAACATAAATAGCTGAAATGCACAATCGTGTAATCCTGACACATGTTGCACTAGTAAATACTGAAAGGACAGCTCCACTGTCAATTCTCTTAATGCCTTTAGCCCATGTTTGACATGAACAAGCAATAAAGTTCACTGTCATTCTGGTATGATTCACTGAGAATTTAATCAATATATTCCCACACTACACTCACTTACCCACAAAAGACTCAATAGGCCCTATATTTTATGTCTCACCATCTGGACCATATATTTCATACTGCATGTAAATTGCTAGAAATTCTGCGAAGCAAATTGACCCTAAAACTCAATAAAATATGCCATTTTGAACCTCATACAGGCTTCATAAACTGCATGTCAATTTATACAATCTACGTACAAATTAACTGAACCAAACCAAATACTCCAAAAAGGAGAGTTTTTCCTCAATAATCCTCAATAAACCTCCATAAAATTGAGCAAAAATAGAGTGGCCAGCAAAGAGTGTGTGTCGCGGTGTGAAAAATTATCTTTGCAGTCAACATGGCCAAGTATTTGAGCACCAGGTAAAAACAAACAGAGTACAGAGGAAGTGAGGCTGATTTGTTCCTGGAACTGTTATCAGATTTCCGAGAAGCAAATGCCATAAAAGGTGTTGCTGAGTCATCGGGGATAATTGAATCGACGCCTCATTTTTTAAAACTACTCCAGCACGGTTTCCTGAACTCCCCAGCTAACCAGATACTTCCAAGATTTAAAATTTAGAATTTTTGCTAACTATGCTAACCTGTTTAAGGAATAAGTTAACAATACTAACCTGTTTATTGATGGTCTTGTTAAGGAATAACTTAACAGTAGTAACCTGTTTGTGGTAGCCCAGTTAAGGAATAGGTTAACAATACTAAATACTAACCTGTTTATTGGTAGCCTGGTTAAGCAATAGGTTAACAATACTAACCTGTTTATTGATGGTCTGGTTAGGTTAACAATAGTAACTTGTTTAAGTGGTAGTCTGGTTAAGCAATAGGTTAACAATACTAACCTGTTTAGTGGTAGTCTGGCTAAGAAATAGTTAACAATACTAACCTGTTTATTGATGGTCTGGTCAAGGAATAGGTTAACAATTCTAACCTGTTTAGTGATGGTCTGGTTAAGGAACAGGTTAACAATAATAACCTGTTAAGTGGTGGTCTGTTTAAGGAATATGTTAATAGTCACCTGTTTTTTAGTAGTCTGGTTAAGGAATAGTTAACAATTCTAACCTGTCTATTGGTAGTCTGGTTAAGGAATAGGTTAACAATACTAACCTAGTTTAGTGGAAGTCTGGTTAAACAATATGTTAGCAATACTAACCTGTGGTTAGTGATGGTCTGGTTAAGGAACAGGTTAACAATAGTAACTGGTAGTCTGGTTAAGGAATAGTTAACAATACTAACCTGTTTAGTGGTACTCTGGTTAAGGAATAAGTTAACAATTCTAATTTGGTTAAGGAATAGTTAACAATACTAACCTGTTTAGTGGCAGTCTGGTTGAGACAGTGTCCCACGATCCTTCTCTCTTCGTCCAAGCACTGCTTGACAGCCATGGCCATAACCTGGTTGTTGGCACCGAATGCCTCCTACAAACAAACAAAAACAAACAAAATATAATAAAATAAACAAACAAACAATCATGACAATTCCGTAATCAAGCTGCATTGCAAACTCTCTTGTAAAAAGCGTCAACTGAACAGCTAAGAACTAGGCTTGAAGTCCATAACATTCAGGTACAACTAGAAAGGTAACATTTGCAAAGCAACTACAAAATGTTTACCTTCGCATATGGTCCCCTCTGTTCATTCTTACTCAAACACATTCATATATATGGTGACAGGAGTCTAAATCCATCCTACTATAAAATTGCAACATTATGTAACCCAACACCAGTTACCATGGTGAGAGCCAGTCTGGTCATTGACCAGGTCAGAGGTCAGTGTTTGGAACAGAAGAAGAAGAAGAAACAGAGCAAAAACAATATATTTTCCTTCGGTAAACATAATAAATGTCTTCATTTCATACCATCCCACAGGAAGACAGAGTTTACCGTGATCTTGGTCATGCTTCTCTGGATGCCGTCCTGTAGCACCACCCTGTCAGGACCGGTCATCTGGTTGTGCTTGTTCTGCAGCAGTTGTTGGACTGTCCTGTACAGCTTGGTGGCCTGAGCCGGCTTCACATCATCCCTGGAAGAACACAAAAACACCAAAGTCTAAAAAAAACTAGAGAAGTAACATTTGCAAAGCAAATGCATAATGTTCACCTTCGGACATGGTCTGCTCTGTTAATTCTTATTCAAACACATTCACATACATGTACTACTAGTATATTGTGACAGGAGCAGAGCAGACCATAAAATTGCAACATTATGTAACCCAAGACCAGTCACCATGGTGACAGACACCAACAAATCATGTCATTGGCCAGGTCATAGGTCACTGTTTGGAGAAGAAGAAGAAGAAACTGAGCAAAAAGAATATGTTTTCCTTTGGTAAACATAAAAAAGGAAAAAAATCCCATAAATACCAACCCTATTTTTTTCAAGACTGAAACAGGGAACACAACATTTTTTCCTAGGCCTAAACTAAAAGGTTAAGGTTAAAAACAGAGAGACTGACCATCGCTGGGTCTCAATCCATGCGGAGAGGTGGTGTCGAGCGGTGATGGGGAAGGACTTCTGGTCGTACATGGACTGCAGGTGCTGCAGAGCTTCAGGAGGCAGCCGCTGACACTGTGCCCACAGGGCCATGTTCAACTCTCAACTACAGACGCTTCACCTAACAGAAACACACAAACATTAAATACATTAAATACACATACTGACACTGTGCCCACCACCACAGGGACTGCTTCAAGTCTTCACTACTGACGATTCACCTAACATACAAACATGAACAAAATTCTAACATTCACCTAACACATAAACATCGAACATTCTGACATCAGACAGTAATTAAACTTGGCCACACACTGACACTGTGCTCACAGGGCCATGCTTCAGTGACACTAACAGTGACACACAAATATTACATAAATCAATGAATCTTGGCTTAGACACACTGACACTGTGACCACAGCAGGGCCATGTTCAACTCTCAACTACAGACGCTTCACCTAAAACACAAACATGAACAAAATTCTAACATCAGACATTAAATTACTGGTAATTAAACTTGGTCACAATCACTCAACATGCTGACACTGTGCCCACAGTGCCATGCTTCAAGTCTTACTATAGATGCTTCACCTAACAGTAACACACATTGACAAACATTAAAAATAAATAAAACTTGGCAACAGAGTGTGTAAGTGAAAACTTGGCAACACTGACACTATGCTTACAGGGCCATGCTTCAGCTCTGAACTACAGACGCTTCACCCAACACACAAACATTAACAACATTATAACATCAGACATTAAAATTGGTCACACACTGACACACAACCTGATAGAGAGAGAAAACAATTTTTCTGGGGGGGGGGGCGATTCAAGAATAATCGCAGCAGGAAGTTTTTGTACTGCTGCATATGCATGTTTCGGGGGAAAAAATGCAGTGCATTTTGATCTGGCTGTTTTTCTGGCAACACACCAACAACGGATTAATTTACATGAAGCTCTTACATAAGATCTCACAGTGCTATAAGCCATGCTGTACAATTTGGGGGGGGGGGATTTCATTCCTTATACATTTACTAGTATAGTACTTAGTTGGACTGTATAGGATACCTACAACAGTACCAGTAAGTGTACTGTACCTGTAAAGTTATTTAGGTACAGGTCAGGACCTGAAAATTTGTGGAACCTGCACCTGAACAAACACTACTTTTACACTAGGTATTAATGGATGAAGGATACTTGGAAAAACACTTCGAGTCTGAAAATATGTAAATCCTCATTCAAATCAAAGACAGCAATTTACCACCGACAAAAACAGGTACAACTTACAGATATTTGGTCAAACTTTTTCAGGCCCAGTACCTTGATTTTTTTTACTATCAACAGATATCGTTGTTTAGTTCTAGTGTCACTGATCAGGCATAGAAACGTTCATGTCTACCTTGTCTGAGTCACCTTTTGTTTTGAATGTCATGGACACGGGTGTTAAACATGGCTTACACATATATCCTGGAGGTGTGGTTGTCTTTCTCTTTCATTCACAACTAAATCCTACACTGTACGTCATGACTTATCCACTCAGATACGACACATACTGGCCTGAGTTGAGTTGTGAGATCCTGGGAAATCTTTAAAAATGAACAAAGTGAAACCGGGAGACCAAACAGGGAGCAATTGAGGCAAGAGAAATATAGGTTCCTCTGAAATGCTGCTGGTATGAGACCTCAATGGAAAGTGACCAGCAGGCCAATTGGAGCTTCTTACAAATAAACAGAGAATCAAACAAACAAACAAAGATGCCAAAACACTACTGTTCTGGTGGGAAAGTTTAAAGTAGACCGTTATTCCACAGACACTAATGATGATGCCTGTGTATTCTTGAGTACTTGCTATAGTGACAGTCTAATCACTTATGCTATATTTAAGGAAAGACAACACACATTATGTCCTGTTAACAAATAAATAAATTAACAAAATTACTGTTAACTTCCCGAAGTCTATTAACAGTCTATTACGTAGCCTATAAAACCCAAATAAAGGCAAACACAAGCATATTAACACTGTTCCATATTTGGCAATAGTGCATTATACACACGTCAAATAGACTGAGTATTTGACTGGGAACGTTATTCGTTTGCAGTTGTATTTCACCTAATCTGGCATAAACATAAAATGAATATCTTCCATTATCTATTTTTCTGTTTCCAGAGTTCAAGTGTCTTAAAATGACATAATTTTGGATATATCTGTGGCTCCTGTAAAAAATCCAGGTAATAAGATACACCGGCAAAAACATTTACTCAAGCAACTGGATATGATTTTGAAAACAGTCATTTTGGAAACAGAAATTTCCAAAATCATATCTGGTTGCTTGAGTACTAGTAACTGTTTTTTGGCAAATGATTGGTATGAGTTGATAGTGAGAAAACCCTTCATTGTTTAGTTAATTGTGTTGTATAACTCACTTACTAAGCTACTGTCATGCAAATGAACCCCCACCCCTCCTCAATACACACATGTCAACATGAGGGCTACTTGGAAACCACAACCTTTACCTTAATGTCCTGACAGATGCACAAGCACGGACATCAACACCACTAAAGGAAAACACAACTGCCATCGATTGGCCATGAACAACTTACAGCAGGGCTCGAAATTCATTTTTGGGAATAGGACACTGGTGCACCCAACCTAAAAAAATTTTCTGTGGGTGCACCATATAAGATAAAATAAGTAGAATGTCAGTGAAAACCAAGGAGGTTAAAAAGGAGGATATAACCTCCTTGTGAAAACTAATTATGTTTTGTTTTGTTTCTAAAGGAAAGTACTACAAGAATGATTTTACTATTTTTCTGACACTTAGATGTTAAGACAATGCTGAATACTAGTAATACTCTAAATTTAACACCTTGACATGTACGTAAACCTACAAAAAACATTTGGCAATGGGTGCACTGGTGCACCCACAGAAAAAAATTGGTGCACAGCTCCAAATTTGGGTGCACTAAGGTGCACATGTACCCAGTATTTCGAGCCCTGACAACTTCCAGTGATGTACACTAACAGGAAGTGTGGGGTTAAGCCTGGGTCGTTAACCTAGCCTACCGACTGGAAAAGATGAGTCTCTCGGTTTCTGTTTTCGGTCATTTGTCGGGGACGACCTAAGGAAGTTAATATAAGTCATCCGCGGTGAAGCGACAAAGGGCTTCCTGTTTAGAACTCCTTGCAACGCCGGCGTGGTTGGAGACAAGATGGTTTCAGTATCCCACCTTGCTTTCACCGGCTAGCAACAGACGATCCATGTAAACAAAGAATTGTAGTTCCCTTTCTGTGTACACATGATACTTCCTCGTTGCGTGAATCTAAAAATTATGTGTCAATTTTTATAGCCCTCAAATTTACGGACGCAAGTTTCGGGTTGGACACGAAAAATGACACGTTTTTGCGCCAATACGTTGGTCAGAATATCTGTCGTCTGTAGCAGAGTATATAATGCTTTTAGAGGTGAGACTTGGGAGGGAATTTCGGCGCTAAATTTGTGTGCGATTTACGTTGTTTTCATCGCACTCCCTGTTTTCAACATGCTAGGAGGAAAGGGGGAGGGGGGCGACACACTTTTTCTCACAAACAACGAAAATTCGACCAAGTCAGGCGCCCATGTACACTCTAAATCTACTATACACAGTTCAGAGTTTCTTTCTGCTTTACTAACCTTAAATTGTGTCCAGTCGTTGTCGCTAGAAGCACACATGAAAACCAGACGACAGACGTCTAGGCGGAGTAAGCTTCCCTCTTGATCTCCCCCCACTCAAGGTTGGTGACCCCGGGGTTGTTTGCGCTGTTCCGAACAGTATTTATTGCCCCTTGAGACCATCACTTTAGACACCCTTTTTTTGCAATTTCAAGACAAAGACAAATCATGATTTCGCCTAAGACATACTAAATACAAATAATATGTTATATTTTAGTTTTTTATACAATAATCAAGTTTTGATGTGATAAGATGTTAATATTTTCAGACAAAAAAGGGGTGAACGATGGTAAATAACACAGCCAACATCCGGGCACTTGATCTTTAAAAGTGGCGCTCCTAGCGGTTTGTTTTAGTACTGCAGTAAAATTGCCAGCCACCTGAGCAGAACCGGTCTAAGGTATAGTTTCAATTTTTTGCCAAATTCTGGAACATTTCTAACTCTAGTTTTACCACAGACAAAGTTTGTAAACCTGGCTTTTAATCTAAGGTGTTTTTAGAACTAAATCCCTGTGGCATTAAGTATTTTGGACAGTTAAAAATTCTTACTGTAAGTCTGTTGGTTCAACGTGTGCTATCTGGAACAGCTGTTGCTTTGCTTCATGGTAAACTGATAATGGATAAAACAGCTTGCTCCGTTTTTTCTATGCGATTTTGTAAATATTCTAACGTAGGAATAGTACACAAAAATGTATCTTATGTTGCTTGATATACAGCATCAGCCTACGTCAATTATTCTTGTTACAAATTGGAGGAAAACTTTCATTTGATAGTTCCTATAAAATTTGATTTATAGGAATCGTTTCAATACTACAAACGTTAGTATCAGTTGTGAAAATTCCGTTTGAGTCCTGCTTTTTAGAATCAGTGGAAGACAGAAAATAGACTACTACACATGTGTATTTGTGTAATAATTGTTTGATACTTTTATTAAATCCTTAACGTTATAACAAGGAGGTTAAATCCTCTTTGGTTATAATAACATCCTCACACAATTTGTGTTTGATGATACTGGATATTGAGATTGATTAATACAAATGCCAAAAAACAACTCACAAAACAATTATAGAAGAAGAAGAAGAACTTTACTGCGCAACAGATGCATGTAGCGGGTACAACGTGTGGCAAAATATAACGTTACATACATAGTTTGTGGTGGTGCATACACATATGGTGGTGTTGAGAATAGGAATCTGGTCTGCTTCATAAACAATGTATAACAAAAGAGAGACGACACCTTATCTAAGCCATTAAAGGCTAATCCAATTTATCTTCTCACAGGTTCACACTGCTCCAGCCCCCTTGGCCATCATGGCTGCTGAGGTGGACCACTCACAGGAGTACCCGCACCATGCCCACACCATCCTCAGCCTGCTGTACCAGCAGAGAAAAGCCCGGCACCCTCTCTGCGATGTTACTCTAGACGTGGGGGGAAAGATCTTCTCCGCACACAAGGCCGTCCTGGCCGCCAACTCCCCGTACTTTCGCTCCCACTTCGCGTCGGACGCGCAAACTAGCGTGGTGTACCTGAACGGCCTGACGGAGAGGGGAGTGGAGGTTATACTGGAGTACATGTACGTCGGGCGGCTCAACATCAGCATCGAGAACGGTCTGGAGGTCAACACGGCGGCCAGCTTCCTGCACATGATGGAGGTGGTTTTTATGTTTATGTTTATGTTTATGTTTATTAGGAACTCCATTAATATAAAACAACAGTTCCGTACTACTCTTCCTTAGCCTGGGTGCCATCCGATTTGTAACAGCAACCCCGAAAATTTTTTTTCGGGGTTGCCGTTACAAATCAGATGGCACCCAGGTTAACTCTTCCTGGAGTCCTGTACATTAAAATTACATCATAATGAATACAAAATAACAATTCCACCGTCACTTAATAACTACACTATAACATTATACAGCACTACGATATATTAAACAACTACACATTACTAATAACTACAATATATATAACACTACAATATAACAACTACACTCTATCTATATCTGTGTAGCCAGTATAACTGCCCTTCGGCATAACACACCAGCTATAACTATAACAATAACTACTTAATAGCTACATAGATAACACACAACTTTATACTGATTGCTAATAAATACCAAACCTGTCATGACTACTTACTGCAGGTTGTGGCAGACTGTACCCACTACCTGGCGGCAGCGCTGCAAGGGAAGAGAGCTGTGGAGGCAACTTCGCAGGCGAGGCAAACAACAAGCCTTGTGCAGACAAGTTCACAGGTTCAGCAGCAGCAAACTGTGAGCAAAGCTGACTCCATGATTCTGGCTTCCATGCTGGGTGGCACCAGGACTGTACCATCTGCGTTTAGGGGTGCACCAACCTCTAGGGAGGAGGCGATGCAGTCCGTTTCCTTTGCCTTGATGTCACAACAACAGAGTTCTGCAGCAGGGCAGGCACGCAGCTCCACCCAGCAGCTGTCGCCAGTACTGCAGGCCACCCCTGTGCTGTGTCAGCGCAATCCACACACCACAGAAGAGACTAGACTGGGACACTTACAGCTACCGCCTCCCTCCTCAGACAATCCAAAGCAGCTCTGTGGTACAGATTCGCCTGCAGATCAAAGACGAGTATCGGAGAGTCATCAGGAAGACTTCGGCTCTCTTAACGTGGTATGCAAAACCGAAGAAGAGGAGGTGATTTCTCTCTCCAGTAGCGAAGACTTTTCCTCCGAGATGGACTACCACAGGGACCTAGTGCAGGGTGACCTAGTGCAGCAGGAGGAAGGCGGGTTCACCAGCGGGAGGGCGTACGTTAGACCGGGGGAGACGGGGGAAGAGGATCGTCCGTGGCTGTGCATGGAGTGTGGCGCCCGCTTCAAGACCAAGAGAGTCCTGCAGCACCACTTCATCTTCCGTCACAGCGAGGAGCGCCCCTTCATGTGCACGTGCTGCCAGGCGCGGTTCAAGAGGAAGTGCGAACTGAAGCGTCACATGTACACCCACACGGGGGAGAAGCCCGTCCCCTGTAGCCTCTGTCCCGCCAGCTTCATTTGTAGGAGTCAGCTGTTGGCGCATCTGAAATCTCGCCACAGTTACGGCAGTACTGTTGGTGACCCAGATGTGAACAGCCCTAACAAAAGTGAAGAGGACTCCTGTGGTACCTCTTAGACTGTCATTAGTCTAAATGATTGAATAGTCAAAATTGGCCTAAGAAGTGGTATATTTGGACAATTTGGCCTACTAGGACCGGCTAACTCCACTGGCCAACTACATACCCATTTTATTTTGAACACTAGTATTTATTCAGCCTGCAAAGTATAGTCTGGTAGAGTCTAGACTGCTATTCTGACAAGGGACACTGTTCCTCCATGTCTTAGCTAGCTTTAGAACTCTGTCTTTGCCATTCAGACATTCCCATGAGTCAGAGCGACTATATTTATTGGCTAGGAATAATCAAATACTGGCTATAATACTACTTCTATATGGCGAAAGCAAAGGATTTGTGGATCATTTGTTGTTGTGTCCAAGACTGGCCATCATACTTTGAGTTGTGGAAAATAAGTGTGACACAGCTAGCTTTTTTTGATGTGGAAATTTTGAGGTTCTAGTATATCTTGCTAGCCTTTTTTTTTCTATTGTAAGGTTGTAGTGTCAGCCTATAGTGTCAGCTGTATTCATTGCTTGTTTTTTGTTTTATTGAATGGTAAACAGCCCGTGCTTACCAAACCTATTTTTAGCTCTTTAGTCCTCTCTGGTATTTGCTAAATGGCATTTGATGGCAATTTATGCCTTCTCATTTTATGAAAACTTTTTTATGTTAATACTCTCAGTATACCATATGGTACTACTTAGTAAAACACAACTCATATTGGAGATGATCACAAGCTACATTTGTGGATTCAAAAATATGCATTGTATCGATTGACATTCATCTACTAGTACTATTTTTTGGGCAAACACAGCTCTACAGTACTTTTTTGTTCTGATACTCAATTTGTTCATTTATTCCTAGTCATGAAAACCAAATCAACAGGCAACTTTCAATGTCTCATTGTAACGTATTACGTACATACAGTTACTCATACATGGAAGAGAGTCTTCATCAACTACAAATGGGAATACAGCTCAATATAGTTTTTATATGTTCATGTTTATTGCAGTCCAGCTTTGCAAGTAAATTATTTACATTGGAAAACTCTATAGTCATGCATATGTGCTGTCCATGTGTTGCAAGCAATGATAGGTTGTAGAACATTGGGCATTTTGGTTCCCTTTCCACCATGGAGTTAAAAGATCGGATTTGGAAGTAAAAATTGACGAAGTAAAATTTGATTTGTCTGATGCTTGATTTTAGAATTTCAATATGATGTATGATGTTAAAGTCTGACTTTAAGGTAAGAAGACACATAAAGCATGAAAAAAATTCTTCATCTATCAGAAATGGTCATGGTCATGCTCTAGGGAATGGGGACATTTCAACAATTAAAATCAATTAGCCATTTTTGTTTGTTTTTGAGATAGTGCTTTAGAACCTGAAGACTACTGCACAAGTTCCTGCTAAGCAAGATGTAATGACAACTATAGTTAGGTTTGTGTTAAGGCAAGGATATAGGCATACTCGATATAAGTACAACCAACAAATTCAGAATAGTTGTTTCCTATCATGCAGTTAGAAATTCATCTGTACATTAACATTAGTTAAACAAAATTTACAACAAAAATATGGTCTATCTTAGTTTGCTCAATATCAGCACTTTATTATGTACAACAGCTTTTCTGCTGACATACTTAAAAAAAACATGATTTTTTAAGTAAAAATACATATACATGTAGAAGATTCTTGTTAAATGCAGCAATGGCAAGAACCTGTACACTGGGCCAATACGTATTCACAGTTGTCTTTCCTTCCATACTCAGTATGCATTGTCTTTTTCAGACTTATAATTTATATACAACAGTAAAGGAAAGATGCAGCATTAAGCTAGTCCAGTGGTTAGTGACCCTGTCTCTGGACTAAGAGGTCGTGAGTTCGAATCCCAGCTGTACACAGCGTCTTCTCTGCCACAAACGGTGGAAGAGTAGCTCATCTTTTCATTGCGTTCACTTGAGTTACAAACCCAGGTTCAAGATGACTTCCACTTTCTTTAAGATGCAGCATACTAGTAAGTCATGATTATGACTTTTTCCACTTCCCGTAGCCTGGGCGGATGCCAAGAGCATTGATGGACTCGATCACAATTCCATGCTGTAAAAGAGGGAAAAAAACACAGCTATAAATGCCTTACATGAACAAAACACCCACACGCAATACATTTTCAAGTCAGCTGTGTTAAATTTTAAAAGAGTTCTGGTCTCACCTTATATTCGTTCCACTCTCTTTTCATTTCTTGAGACATGTATTCATCGTGGATGTCATCCTTAAAAAGAAACAAGAACATAAACAAGATCTGTCATTCAAGTGAAAAGACTGGTTTATTCAATAGTATAGTACATACTGATTTGTCAAATTCTAGAGACATGTATATTCCCCTCTATATCATGAAAGATTGTTGTTTTGAGGTCTGTCCTTGGTGCTGAAGCGTGTTCAAAGAGAAGAAAGTTTGTATAAAAGCTAATAAAGCCATTGCATAAAACATATCCCTTAGGCCACACCAATTTAATTTGTTGGTTCTCGGATTCGCCTCTTCATTTTTTTCTGATTTGCAAAAAAAAAAATTTGATTCTGGTCCTGAATCAACTGAAAAATGCTCATATTTTGCCCCCAACAGTTGAGGAAAGTCCTTTTCTTCCTAGTTGTTACAGTTTTCCCATCTATCATTGCAGTGGTTTGATTAAAAGTTCAAAATTCAAAGTTTAAATCTTAACCCAGCCTTTTGTGTTGACTTCATGGCTCATTCCATAGCATTTAAGCCTATAATGGGATGCCTAGACCTGTTTTTATTTTTTTTCGCCCTGTCGCTTCATATTTTTTCTGAAAAAATCCGAGAACCAACAAATTAAATTGGTGTGGCCTTAATATACATTGTATTGCTAAAACTTAAAACAAAATGGAAGTTGATGCATGATCTGTTTCATTCAGGTTTAGTAGTCTGATGTTGTTCTCTAAACTCTCAATCTTTTCCATTAACTGAGATTTGAGAAAATCATGTACCTGAGAAAGATGGGCGAAGTTCGGTGCAGCAGACTGAAGCAGCAGTTGGCGTGTCGTGTCATCAAGTTCTGGAAATTCAACAAGGAAAACAGTTGAGTGATCAAACTTCGACTTTATTTTGATCAACAATTAACTTCAGTTTACACCAATAGTTATTCTTCCTAGGGTCTCTGCATTACAATCACATACAAGATAGGATCACCACAAAATAATAATCATACATATCACATACATATAACTTGAGGAAGTGGCAGACATTAATGAACTTTGCAGACAAAATCTACAGAAAATAGTTACTCAAGCAACTGGATGGAAACTGTCAGGCGTTTCAAGTATCATCCACTACTTTTCATCAGTGTCTATCCAGTTGCTTGAGTTAAGTGTTGAAAGTCATGTTAAGTGCCCAAAGGCACAAGATCAGTGGCATGTGGGGACTCAAACCTCTTAGTTCTGAGTCTAGCACTCTGCCGTTATACCACACAGGAACAGTTTTCTTGCCCATCTCATTACCTGGATGTCTAACCTTCATCGTCGTAATGTAACAGATTGTTACCTGATAATTTCTCCTCGGTGATGACTCCCATGGTAACGGGGGTTGCCGTGACAACGGAACAGGTGAAGGGAACGTTCTCCAGGACGCTGACCTCTCCGAACGACTCAAACTCCTTCAGCCTGCCGACCACCACCTGTTTTCTCTTCTTCACCTGTGGTGCCAACATACAAAACATTGTGAGCTAATTAGACTATACTAGTATTCTATCATAACATTAACGTACCATAGCTGGAAATCCCACCTCAAGTAAAATTAGGGCTGTGCAGGTACATGTATTTCTGATGTCTACCTGCAATGGTCCATGTACTGGGTATATGCAGATTAGTGCAGGTAAAATTAGAGCTGTGCATGTATTTCTGATGTCTATCTGCAATGGTCCACGTACTGGGTATATGCAGGTTAGTGCAGGTAAAATTAGAGCTGTGCAGGTATTTCTGATGTCTACCTGCACTGGTCCATGTACTGGGTACATGTTTATGCAGGGTAGTGCAGGTAAAATTGGGGCTGTGCCGTTTTTTCTTGTCTACCGCACCTAACCTGCACTGGTCCATCTACTGGGTATATGCAGGTTAGTGCAGGTAAAATTAGAGCTGTGCAGGTATTTCTGATGTCTACCTGCACTGGTCCATGTACATGTACTGGGTACATGTTTATGCAGGGTAGTGCAGGTAAAATTGGGGCTGTGCCGTTTTGTCTTGTCTACCTGCACCTAACCTGCACTGGTCCATCTACTGGGTATATGCAGGTTAGTGCAGGTAAAATTAGAGCTGTGCAGGTATTTCTGATGTCTACCTGCACCTAACCTGCACTGGTCCATGTACTGGGTATATGCAGGTTAGTGCAGGTAAAATTGGAGCTGTGCTTTTCTGTTTTTTCTGATGTCTACTTGCACCTAACCTGCACTAGTCCATGTGTACTGAAATTTTGAGACTCACCCGTTGGCCATTTGGTAGTTTGTGGAGTGCCTCGACCTCCCGCAGCACGTGGCACTCTCCTGACTTGATGAAGGCTATGAAGGGAGCCTTACTGCCTTCTGTCACCACCACTGCAACACAAAACAGAACACTCTTGGACTACTGGACTGTGAAGTTAGAATTGATGTGGCATAATCAACCAAGAAATGAGGTGTTCAAAAATTCATATTTTCCTAGAACTATCATAGAGCATGCTGTCACCAAGACAGTTACGTATATCATCACTTAGATAGCTTTAATAACAATGTCTAGATGATTTAGATGATCAAAGGCTTAATGTAACAAGTAGTTCAGTGTAATATAGCTAGCTGTCGCCGTGTCACGTGCTTGCAAAGCTGATGTGTTATGCCGAGGGTCAGTTATAGCAGCTATACAGATACATGTACAACTATTTTCTTGTGTATATTGTGTACATGTAACTTCCAACTTACCCCAGTTTGGGTCGAACTGCTCCCAGCTGATGATCCTGGCCAGTTGTCCGACAGCGAGGCGCGGCCACAGCTGATACACTGGGCAGGCCTGGACCAGCTGGGTCTTCTCCGACTTGTCTCTGTGCTCAAGTTGCTGAAATCAACAGGCAAGTTAGCCTTCAATCTTACAGATGTCCGTTACTAGAAATACGTACATTTGTACATAAAATGTAATTTTCCATTGATAAAATAAATGTATGAATACACACATTTTTTGCACAATACTGTATGTACGGTGTTACAAGATTCCCAGACTCAATTTCATTCATTTTCTAAGAACACAACATTCAAGTTAGTCTTCAATCTCACAGATGAGCATAACTAGAAATATAGACATCAATATGCAAATTTGCATCATTAAAATATGTATGGCATACAAGATCTGCAAAATAAAATAAGTACGAAATTCCAATTCCCAGTGTCAATGGCTCTAAAAAGACCACAACATGGTGTCAGAAGTGGGATACGAACCCACGCCCCAAAGCACTGATGTCTTACCTCAACCACCTTCTTGTAGTCATTGCCATAGATGATAAGGAACTCACAGGGCTCTTGGGTCAGCACTGTCAAAATTCTGCAAGGAAAGAGAATAAAATATCATTCGTACACCATTATTTTTTCTCAAAGATGGTGTTATGGGAGAGTGGCTAGGCCAGCAGACATGATACAGAAAGATCACAGGTAGAATTTACAGGAAAATGCAGGGCATGAGATGATCTCACCTGCTGTTGGACTCTCTTCCTTCCACTCTCTCTAGAGTTCCGAAACAGTCTCCAACTCCAAGCTAGACAAGAACAAAATAAAAGACTCGATAAATTTGCTTTACTACCATGGTTGTTTCAACCACAAACTTCAGGAAAATGCAATTTTGGGTGGCAAAAGTGGATGTTCAAAGTCAATTTTCCAGTCATTCTTTTAATGTTGAATCAACTCTATCCCATCCCATTAAAGCACACTGATGATGAGGTTTTACCTCTGGCGTGATATCCTCCATAATGGGAGTAGGACAGTCAAACTCTGCCACTTGACTCAGCAGCTTGATGTAGGGGAGAGTCTGGGGTCTGACGCTGCCTTTCAGCACCAGGTGTAACCCCTGATTACCAAATACTGGGGGAGAAATACAAGACGGGAAACATCATTTAAACTAACCATTTTACAAGAAACAATTCTCAACAGTCTGTAGTCCAAAGAAACAATAACACTGAGTTAACAACATATCAACCGTACATATCAACTGAGCCCTTGGGGAAAGCATATCAGGCCAAAACTCTTGGAAGTTTTGCACATGAGACCATCAAGTTGTGAAATATTGACTCTGTCCTTGGTGCTGAACTCATTATTTTTCCAACATAACAAACAAACAAGTCTAACAGTCTGGTCTTGCATAGCTTCTACTACCGGTAATACTTTACAATACTGTACAGGTGTGTTATCCCTAAAGGTTGTTTACTGACTATGCAAAACAAACAAACACTAGAAAGGTAACATTTGTAAAGCAAATGCATAATGTTTACCTTCACACATGGTCTGCTCTGTTAAATTTTACTCAAATACATTCATATAATATGGTCATACAGGAGTCTTAATCCCTCCTACTATAAAATTGCAACATTCTGTAACCCAACACCAGTTACCATGGTGACAGACGTCAACAAATCAGGTGATTGGCCAGGTCACAGGTTAGTGCTTGGAGAAGAAGAAGGAAAAAAGAGGAAACTGAGCAATTGGCCTTCGGTAAACATAATAACACAAAATGACTGACCAGGTACGCCGGTCTCCCTCCAGACGTCCAGTTTGGCCACAGTGGCCATCTCCTTGAGCACCTCGTTGCTGACCTGGTCAGCCAGGGTGGAGAACAGCTGCAGACCCTTGTACACCATGTGGTGTTCACGGGCAGAACGCTCAAACGGCCTGGGAAATTGAGATGAGATTGACTCATTCGAAACACACAGTCACATTTTGTATGTACATTCTAAGTAGATTTGACTCGTAAACACCTGCTTTTCTTATTGTATTCTGGGGTGACAACACACTACGAAGATTTATTAAGATAACTTATGTGCCACCAGGTGGAATTTTTTGTATACTACAGACTAAACTACCGGTATTTAAAGAGACTGTAGCTTTATAACTGTACACCATGCACGTGTGTGGCGTTCCCGGGCAGAACGCTCAAATGGCCTGGGAGATCGAGAGGAGGTTGATTTATTTGAAGAACACACATCTTCTATGTACACTCAGTCAGGGCAATTTGACTCATACTTTTCTTGTTTCATCTGTGGTGACAACACAATATGAAGATTATTAAGATAACTTATATGCCACCAGGTGGCATTTTTTTGTATTACTATAGACTAAACTGTTGAGAAGAGACTGTAGCTTTATAACTGTACATCGTGTGGTGTTCCCGGGCCGAGCGCTCAAACGGCCTGGGAGATTGACAAATTGATTAATTTCCTACTTTGGATGAAAGTTCGTCTGTGACAGTAAGTGACATTATGAAGATTTGAAATGCTACAATAATATCTAATAGCAGTCCACTGGCCCTCAAGTTGGAATGACCAAAAGTCATGTGGATCAAATGTTGTTTCTACTTAAATTGTTACACCTGTCTCTAACACTTAATGACATCTTTTTCTTTTTGTTTCACCCATGACAGATTAAGACTCTAACACTCTATAAAGAGTACAAAGATGATGACCCTTATTAAAAGGTCCTCAAAACTACATGTACTGTACATAAAACAGTACTGGGCTCTGCCTCTCCCTAAGCAACAAAGCAAGGGTGCTCCCCCTCGACGCAAAATCTTAGCACCGCTCCCAAATTTAGGGTTTTCTCTTTAGTATTTTCATGAAAATTTGATTTTTTCTCAAGGGGGATCAACTGATTAGGGTGCATCTCTCCCCTTAAATATAAAGTTTAACCAATTTCTCTACTCACATTTTCCTGAGAATCTTGCGCAGTGTCCGGATGCATGCCTGTCTCTGTTGTTGTGGGTTTTCCCTCCGCTGCTCCCTGTGTAGTTTGGACAGGTGAACTCTGATGTCGTGACTCGTCTCCTGCAGGGGCGCCAACTTACCAACCTTCTGGGACGTCAGCGAACCTTTTCAAATGCAAACAGCACAAGTTATAGACTTTTTGTTTAATTTTCTTTAAATGACATACCTGAAAATACTTTTATCCAGTAGACATACCTGCACTGGTGCATGAAAACTACCAGTGAGCCAGAGAAATTTTACCTGCAACACTTAGAATTCATAAAGTATGGATCGTACACTAAAAAACTGTTCAGAAACAATAGCCATTACAAATGTATTTCTTTTATACTTCATAGGTGGTACCAGGTAACAGTAAATGCAGCAAATAAAAATCAACATACATCTGATATAGTATAAAAACCCAGTTCATAGACCAGTGCAGGTTAGGTGCAGGTGACACCAGAAATATCTGCACGGTTCCAATTTTACCAGTTAGCAAAAACAATTTGTAACTTACCGACTGACATCAGAGACGTGTGCTTGGACTTTTCCGGCCCTCTGTGAAACAGGTACAAAGGAGAGAACGGTACTTAGTCAATGGAAGCATACTACAAGGACAGATTCATTCACTTCACAGTCAGTCAAAATGTAATTTCTCAGGTTTACTGCTGACAAGAACTTTGTTTTCACAGCTGACTGTTACCATGTCTTCTACTGATAAAACGTTGATGATTAACAAGCAAGCAAGTAAACTAAGTAAAGAGACTCTTTTTCCACAACCAAGTGTTTTATTCAGCCAACATTTCAATGACTGTCTGTCACCTTCCTCAGGGCAATTCTGACTGCATTCCCAAACGTATAATTCTTACATATCTACAAATATACATATACACATACACACACACAAACACACATACACACACACACACAAGCAAGGAAACTTTTAGCTCTCTGATTGTAGAAGCAACAACTGCTCGTAGAAAAGTTGGCAAAAACACTCTGACGTAGTCTAATACATTCTTTGACAGAATATTTGCTGCCAGTAATAAATCTGTGTTGCCAAGACAACGATGGAGATTGATTTGAAAATTCGGAAGTGGTGGAGCCAGTTGTGAACAATGTTTGTATTGTGTTACTATTGTCTTGTTGTAGTTACAACAAAAACTGGCCACTTGAACCTTGTACCTTACAAAAAGAACTGGCCCGCAGGCCATTTTCTGTAATAAGCCATTTCAAGTTATTCTACTTAATTTAAATCCTGACCACTCTAATGCAGAAAAAGTATAATTCAGGTAGTTGGTTGGATTTAATGTAATATTTGAGGGATGTTTCTGAATTGACTTTAATTCTTAATTAGCGCCTGGAATTTTGCACAATCTGTAGTGACTAAGTCGGTTATTTTATAACCCTAATCAGTTAGAGAATTTGAACAAGGATGACAAGTTGGCAACTATATTCAAAAACTTTATTTATAGTAAAATATCAATATAAAAAAAATATAATACTGACTTGCTGTAACTACTCCTAGCGGAGGCTGTCTTGCTGGGAACTAGGGCGGATAGTGGAGTCGGTTTTAAAAACATGCGGTGGTAGTTTTCCATAAATGTTCTGTGGGCATCAGCACTCGACTCTGGACTGTATCTGGAACAACAACAAGGATGCAAAAGTTTGCAACGTTAACACAAACTAGAAATAAAAATTGAAAACATCGACTCTCAAAATTCTGGTAGAGACCATAAGATTGCCACATTTAACAGTGTTATCAAGACCTTCTCAAGAAGATGTCAAGATCTGAAATTATTGCAAAACATTCAGAAATAGGTTCAATGTGTAAAGGACATCGATATTAATAATTAAAATTGTATTGTAGCCATATCAGAAAATCAGTAACTTGATAAGGTTTTCAGTGAATAGGTTTTATTTTGACTTCAAGACTATGTAGTCGTTAATGTTTTAAAAAAATGAATGTGCATCTATGAACGCAATTCAGCTTTCTGCTGCAATGTTCGTGAGTTGAGCAACTAATAAACCATTTTGATTGATTGATTGATGAACTCACTTGTCACTGAGGCCGGGGATACTGGTCAGCCAGGACAGCTGTTCATAGTCTATCAGCTCCTTTGCAGTTTCCCTGGGCACTGTGGGCAAGGAAAGAGGATTAAGTAAGCCTCAAGATAATCTAGTATAAACATTTTACAATAATACTGCCGGGGATCAGGACCATTGTAAGCTTTGTAAACCAGTCAATATCAACCAACAACATTGAGCGGTTAGAGTTAGGACTACGTAGTCTACTGGACATTAATACTTTGGTGTTGAGTTAGGGTTAGATTCTTAAGGTGATTATTCGACGTGATTACAACAGTATTAGGCCTTTATTACTTGTAGAGTCTTTGACTTGTCCTTGATAATTGTAAGGGTTAGGACTTAACCTGGGTGTTAGTCATGGTCCAAGTTGATAATGGAGCGACATCCATGCTACTGGTAACGTTAGCATATAATGTTACCGAAGGGAATACATTTTACAGTCAACATTTGTTACGAAATCTGACCAAGTTTGTTAACTTATGCAACCATTATAACAGAACGCCGATTCTATTGAGGCTCAGTTCGGCAATGCAAAACGTATATAAGGTTAACAGTGGTGGGAAATGAGACTAATCCTAACGTAAACTAAAGTATTACACATTTACCTCTTTGTTGTGGTGTGCGTTTCAGCCTGGTCTCCCAGCTAGGTCTATTGGACCACTCTCCGCTGGCGTTCTTTCCTCCACTTGACTTCAGAAGTGCCATTTCTGTGCTCCAAAGCCGGCTGTATTGTGGCAGATAAGTATACTATAAAGCTACATGTCCTGTGGGTTGCTAGTGTGCGGATCTAGAGCTGTCAGTGCCTAGCTACGGCCGCTGTTGTAACTTGACACGCCTGAGGTGGTCGCACTGCGTCCTGCGTTCCCAGGTAATTACGTGACGTCAGGGGACGGGACCATTCGTACCGCGGGGGGGTGGCAGCGTCGAATTTCAACCACCTGTTCGAACTAGTGCGGCGTACCTAGTCTCCTCCAGACTCATTTGCAGGGTGGTAAATAGTTGAAATTGGCCCAAAAAGGGGATCTCTGACCTCGGATGCCATAATGTTCAACAAAAGATGAACGTGGGCATAACAAGGAAGAAGAAGATCTAATTGACCAGAGGAGTTGTCTGCAGGAAAAAAAATGGACCTTCTCTGGGCGGCCAACTTCTCTGGCCAATTTTAAAATCCCCATTTTTAGGCCGCGCGATTTCTACTATATATTCAGCCTGCAAAGTAGTCTGGTGGGGACTACGGCGTACCAGTATTTCACTGTATTTGTGTATCTACTGCACTGATTTCTAGACAGGACGTACACCAAGTTACACTAATGCATATTGATATTTTTTTTTATTCATCAACATATAACAATACAATAACGAGGAACAAACTCATTTTAACAGCACCACAAAACGAAATATTGATTTGATTTCAGGTACAAAGGAGATAGATTGTCTTCTACATCCTACTCCATTTTTTCATAAAACAAAGTTTACGGTAGTCTTGAGGCAGAATCGGTTGTTACTTGTACGATATGTCTGAGTAAATCGCGCTCCTAGCGGCCGCCGTGGGCACGACAGTTCTCAGTGAGGGGGGGGGGGCAACTAACCCCAGCCAGTGAGCGATTGTTCTACATAGGTATATTTTTTAAACAAATTAAATTTATTGCAAATTCATGCTTAACTTTTGTAACTAAACAATAAAATAAACATAAGTTGAGAATCTTCAACTAACGCTATTTCTAATATACGAGCGTAACAATTTTGTACTACATGTATAAAATCCTACACACACTTAAAACATTATTGGAATGTTCTGTTGTCGTAACAAGAGGTTAAAACTCATTTAAAAACCCATCATTTTGCCATCATAATTTTTAAAAATATAAAATTAGGAATGCAATTAGATTTTATGTTAAAAACTCATAAACCCATACTTTTTGTTCAAAATAGATCAGAAATCCGTTAGTTTCATAAGTATATGAAACGCGGTAAGTAAAATAAAAAGCTATCATAACGACATTGCTGGGAAGTCCAATCTGTCGGTAGCTCCAGCAGCTGGTTTATTGCATGGGTGAAAAACCGCAAGGGAGAAGAGCCTTAATCTCCATCTTCTGTACGAAAGGAACCAGCTCTGTGCCTGTAAAACAAAAACAAATAAATCTGGACTGTGCACCACCTTCGGCCTTGTAATAACGTGCTAATTTCTTCTGTAAAAAACAGGCTTTGATTGGTAAAAATTTCCCAACAATATAAAGACACGCTCATACCGGTATTACAGTAATTTACTTTTTTGGGCAGGTGAACTTTTTAATTAAGTACCCAAACACCATTTGTTTAAAAAAACAATTTTGAAAACAATTTGAATTTCATGTTGCTGAAACTGATGAGCTTTACGTACCCGCTGCTATAATGTCAGGATGGTCGACGACTTTCTTCCTCGCCTCCTGCCTGGCGTCAAGGGCCGGGAATCCTTCGTTGAACCACAGCTGGTAAACTGTAAGGGTGAAAAAAATTAAAAATATTGATGTCAAAAGATGTTTTAAAAAAACTCCGATGAATTGACCATGGTCATCAAAATATCTGAGTTGGTAGTAATCATAGTACGACGCTAAACTTCTAAACTTAATTCCAAAACAAAAGGTACACGGGGATCTATGTTTACGTTCGGAAGTAATTGGTCATTACAAGAAGAAGACTAGTGGTCGTTGGAAATTTGATCTTTAAGCATCGTACTATCATTACCAGAGGAAGGCCGAGGGGATCAACTTTTGTAGAAATGGACATGACCATGTACTTTGCGATGACAACATCATGACGGCATGAAATTTTGCATAAATTATCGTCTTGTACTTACAGTCGGAAAATAAAGAGCCAGAGAGGTTTGATAACTTAAACTGGTATTAGATTACCTCTGTTGAACTCCCCGAACTCGCTCTGATAGACGCCGAGCAGCTCGCACGGCACGAGTTTGGCCTTCTCCGCGGCCTGCACAGCGCGTCGGAGCGGGTCCTGCCACTGCTGGTCTGCCGTCAGCTGGTACGAACGGAGCTCGTACACACCTGGGGATGATGGTTAATAAAGATAATAATAATTATAATAGTAATGATTGTAAGCTGATTGCAACAGACCTGAGCCAGCTTACAGATGTACCCTATGTGACAGAGACTGTCATTTTCGAAAAGGACTGTTCAGCCATAGCCGAAGCTGTAGGGCTGTTGACAATTGGGATTTACCATGACCTGGATACATAACTTTAAGAGACTGCGTGAAACGATGGTGACGGTACGTAGGATATTGGTATTTCCTCTTTACACAACCGGTATAGACGTTCACCTGGCCTGCTTAAGTTTCGATGCCCGTGAGCCTATACCGGTTGTGTAAAAGGAATGTCTTAAGTTTTACCAACCATTGAAACTACTTTCGGAAGGTGGCGGAACGTGTTTACAAATAACTTGAAACCGCACCTCCGGCCTTGGACGGCGTCCTCTGTTCAGCCCACGGCATCAGGTGCATGACGACGTTTTCTTGTTTCACCAGCATCGGCAGGATCTTGGAGAAATACTTGCCGACCCACTCCGGGTCCGCCGCCAGGGCCTGGCGCACCGCCGCGCGGTGAGAAAAGTTGTCTGAAAAGGGCGGAATTTGAGGACATGGTTCTAAACAACGTCACTGGTAGCCTGAGTGTCAGCCTTGTTAGCTTTCGTCCGTTCCTCAAGAGGCGGGGAGCGGACGAAAGCTAACAGGCTACGTCACTGGTAGTAAAAGCAGAAAACATTGAATGAGGATGACTTAAAAGACCATAACGGTCAGGTGGAATGATGCCCATCGTTGATACTTGCATGTTGTGTCCAAACACTAACGAGGACACAGACAGATTTGGTGTCGCCAATGTGCCAAGATCTGCACATTTGCCAATGACCGCACTTTTTTAAAGACAATACTAAGTAATTCCGAGGAAATGTAGTTGTTACCTTTCATGCCGCTGGTTTACAAGAGGAAAGGAACATTGAATGAATAATTCAATCTGGACGGCGGCAGGTATCGACTTCTGACGTCACACATCCCGAAGATCAGTGCACGCAAGGAAAAAGTGGGTCAAATAAATGGTGAGGACCTTTATCTTGTGTTGTACATAAAACAAAAACTTTATAATGTGCTTTTAGCTGACGAAATAAAGTTTGACCACAAAAGTTAAAGTTTTATGATGATAACATTTATTAATACAGTCGTCATAAAATTTACCATATTCCCAAATATGGACAACTTCGTTGATGCCGCCCAGCTCCGTCCTCCAGTAGCCAATCAGCTTGGAGTGTTCCATGCGCATGTGCATCTTTTCGTCCGAAAGTTTCAGGAAGTCTCCGAAACAGTCCGGCCGGATGGAGTAAGTACGGAGTTCGTACAGCTTCCGGTCCCCGTCATGCACAGCGGCTGTCGTCGACAGTTTCTGGTTGGTCACAAGAAACGCTGAAGCCAGCTGCCCTTTCTGAAAATGTGGATCTTCGGTGAAATAGCTTCTTAGTGCCAATGACAACGAAGTTTGCATATTTATGCCCAACCAAGGATACTAAGTAATGCATAAGGGTAGTTACACAGAGTATAATACAAGAAAACTATGGTGTGATTTATATTTATTATTATTACATGCTTCTTCTCGCTTCTTAAAACATGTGTTATGAATTTACAATAATATTTAACTACTAGTATCTCGTGGTTAGATGATGACTGCATGATAAAGTACTATCAAGAAATCCAAGCTATTCTATTAAGCAAGGCCGAAAACGCTAAATTTAGATTAAAGGATTAGTATGGACCACCTAGCGGCTTCCTGTGGTATTGCAGCAAACTGGAACCGTTCCGGTGCAAAATACAAGTGACAACTCGATCTTTTGACGGATGGCACCATTGCTTGATCCTCAGACATTTCTGCTTCTCAAACTTTGGATTCTTGATGGCAAACAACGAACTATGTATGCATAGTGAAGTTCTTTTATTCACAACCATTTAAGAACAATTATTTACGAAAGTACTATGTAGAATTAAAGCGACCAATTGAACTACTAGTACGCTTCACATATAATACGCTTAAAAATAAATAAGGAATAAAGAAAAAAGGTTTTATCATATGCCCCGTTTTCTGTCGCAGCTCCCCACCTGTTAAATGTACAAGAAGTAAAAAAAACGCGCCATATTAAAAAATTCCCGAAAAAGTCCGGATCCCAGCCTACATTTAGGCCATGCCCAGCCCGGGTCCAAAGTTCAATTTGGCGGAAAATAGGTCATTCGTATTCCAGAGTAACCAAAGGCAAATAAATAACTGACATAACCGTTGAGAACGGCACAGCATACAATATAAGTGAAACGATGAACAGTAATGTATCAAGATATGGGAATTACATTAGGAATATAAAAATAATCCCTAGTTGAACTTCATAAAAAGGTTCAAAGTTAAAGAGTTGCATCGTTTGTAATGCATTTTTGTCCATTCATATATTTGATAGGGAATAGAGTTGATTTGAATAGCAAATGAATATTCTTTTTAACTTGGTGCAACACTGTAACGCTGAAGAAAGGGGCCAAGAGACCGCGATTTGGTGATAAATGTAGCGTAAAACGAGTAACGAAATGCTGACATTGCAATTAATTTTGGCAAGTTGTCGTCCTACTTTGGAAGAAAACATACCTGGAAGACGGGTGTCTTCTGCTGCGCAAGTAACGAAGAAGCCAGCCGAAGAACGGACCGTTGCATTTTGTCCAGTTATGCAGAAACTTGAACTATTGGACCAAAAATTGCAGATCAGTCTCAAGTTCTCCGGCCCTGTTTACTTCTTGACCACTCCCACTTCCGCAATCGTGTAGAGGTCAAAGGTTAAGACAAAATGGCGGCAGCTATGTGTCGAGCATGTGTGTTTTGACCAGTTTTCCCTCTGTCTAGCGCTACAGGCTCGCTAACTCGTGGTTTTTATGACAGTAGGTACGATGGCCAGGGATCCGAACTTTGTGCTGGGCTACCTGACACAGGTAGAGGAGATAGCAGAAGAGATTTTGACCGACAAACGACAGGTAAAATTATACGATGCCCCCCTCCCCACCTCCAAGAGTAGTACTATAAGTTATAACGTTAACGTTAACCCCCTTGGCAGTACTTGGAAATTAATTTGTTGTTTCTCTGCACATTATATCGTAAGTATGATAATCCATAGCATGCAATTACTGATGTGACGGCACTGTTTTTGTGTGTCAGTCTAAAGGTAACGTTTTACAGTCATTCTTTTAGAGACTTTACACGTTCATAATTCATCCAATCTTGAGTTTAATATTCCATTTTTGTAGATTGTGGATTTAGACAAGAAAAGGAACGCAGCGAGAGAGGCGTTAAGATGTCTGAAGAAAGAAGAACAGGCCGTCACAAAAGGTACATCTTCTGTAGTTTGACTTTCCACAATCTTCATCTTTCATTCACTTGAATTTATTCATTGATTTATCCATTGGTTCAGCATGTTGTTACATAAACAGCCAGGGTTGCCCAACTAATGATAGCCACTAGTCATGCGAGTAGTATTAAATATTAAGGTTAGTATTAAGAGCTAACACACAGAGAGAATACAATGAATAGCTTACACACTCAATCAATATACTGTACTAGTATACTGGGTTACAGACTTACAGGTGTACTTAAAGTACTTCTGAAAGTCTGTAGTCTCTGATTTGTTAAATGCTGTTCCTTTTCTTACACAGGTGGTAAGGCCTGGGTGTGCTTTGGAGACATGTTTGTGAAGATACCCAAAGAAACAGCAACAAACATGCTGGAAACTGGTGAGAATCCACTCTTTCCTGTTTACAGTGTAACATCTGAGCTTGTCTTGCATAGCCGGTAAACCACCTTTAGGCATGACACACCAGTTCTGTACAGTAGGTACAAGCTGCGTAAGACCAGACTGTAAGTGTAAGATGTTTTAAATCTTTTTTTCTAGATCAGAAGCAGCTGGACTCAGAAATTGACAGATTGAGAGACGGGCTGCAGCCAAAAGTGTCAAAACTCAGGGACATGGAAAGTGAGTATGATACAGAAACAAAACAAAACGGAGAAGATTGTGTTTTAAGGGCTGTGATTACATATTAGTTCAGACAAAAACTTACAGCAACAAAAGTAAACTACATGTATTGATATGTAGAAAAACATTTTATGCTTCAGAATTATCCTATGCACTGCCTGTGTACATTCCAACTGTAAAATCTATTAGACTTTGATTTGTAACTTAATTTAATAAGATTATAGTTTATACACTGTCTTCATGGGCATGTCACTAAATACTGTAGTTACATGTAGACTTGTCACTCAGTATCCATAAAAAATAATTACGTTGATTCGTAAATTGTGTATGTGTAACATGAATTATATTGTAATTTTTTGTGTTTTCAATGAAGGCAAACCAGAGCTGAAGGGGTTTGGTCTACAGCCACTGTCAAAAGAAGAGGCAAACATCTTCAAGCCTTGAGTTGGAAACTCACTCACATTCACAAGCAAATACAAACATGGTTTTGTGTAATATTGAAAAACTTATGAAGTAGGTTCATATGATGCCACTGAAGTAGTCACACAAGTAATGCTCGAATGTAAAATTGTTGAAGTAAATTTAAAGAAGATCTACTATTATCTATTATTGTGGAGACTTTGGGATGCAATTTAAGAGTGTCAGTGGATCATATTAACATTTACATGTCTAATGTGTTAAATGATGTCAGGAGTTATAATATGTTGTATATCTAAGTTAATGCCAAAGTGAAGCCATGTGCTTTAGGTACTTTATGTGCCATGTGAGTATGATATGGCAGACTGTCAATCATAAAATGATTGGCAGGGCAGTGACATAAGAGTCAATGTGGTGTAACCTAGTGTAGATGCTAAATATCATATTTTATAGTAAGTTTATTTGTTTTGTGCATGCACAGGCAGTTGATGACAGCTGAATATATGAAGAGTCAGCTGTGTAATTTGTAGCTTCATGTATCCGTTTTTGTTTAACAATTGTCCCAGAAGGTATTGTTCATGTATAACAATGCAAGGACTATTGTTTTTTGTGCAATGTAACATTAGTTCATCTCAAGAAGATATACCAAATCAGGGCAAATGCATTCATTGCCTGGGTTTGTGGAATACTAGTATGAGTCAGGCACATCATGTTGTATGAAGTAGCATTTTCATTAATTTGTCTTAGCAATAGATAATCTTCTGATGTACTCATTTATGATGGTGAGATACTGTTAAAAATGTGGTTCATTATCATTACATAGAACCTTAGTACTAGTACATTGTATCTAAATACAAGCCACCTTACCATGCTGTACAGCACACACTGTTACCTCAAATGTTTCTTTCAACATTTGCCATGTGGTTTTCATATTGGGACAGTTTACTTTGCAAATCTCCCAATAAACTTAACTGAGTATTTTCATGGCTCATTATGTTTACCGAAGGAAAACATTGTTTTTGCTCAGTTTCCTCTTCTCCAAACACAAAAGGTCAATGACCTCTTCTCCAAACACAAAAGGTCAATGACCTGAACCAGATGTCTATCACCATGGTAACTAGTGTTGGGTTACATCAAGTTGCAATTTTACAGCAGGAGGGATTTAGACTCCTGTCTGACCATATATATATGAATGTGTTTGAGTAAGAATTAACAGAACCGATTATGCTCAGGTGAACATTATGCATTTCCTTTGCAAATGTTACCTTCTAGTTCTTGGTTGTTTTGGTGTTGCTCGTTTTATCTACAAACAGGTTTCGGGAGGGAAAGTTGTTAACTACCTTGAAACTCAGTTTTTGTCTCCTCCGCGTCTGTTTAAAGGCAACCAGTGAAGTTTTTAGGGTTTGGAAGCCCGATTTTTCAAAGTCTATATTCCAGTCACTTATCTACATACTGAGTTGCAACCACACTATCCCAATGTATATTGACCCTTATGGAGCCAACACAGTTACCAAAATTCTGACGGAAAATGGTTAGTGGAAGGCCCCTTGGCTGATTTTTAGGGTACCACACCATAAAATAAAGGACTCATCTTGGGGCTAGTTTTACATACCCAAAGTATGAAATACTGATTGAAATGTGCTAATGTGAAGCAGTATGTGTCAATATCATAAAAATCGCCTTATTCACAATATGTCCAGTTTTGCTGCTCTGAAATCGCATTGGATATTTTCCCTGGCGTGTGCGGTGACCTGAAAAAGCACGCCGGTCCCGTTACCTGTCCTTGGTAACGCCTTGCGTGTCGTTAGGACAGGTGTGAAAGGAATTTCTCCTTCCAGATTGACGCTTTCCAACGACACAATGGACTTATTGGCAGCCCCGGCTTACCTGCCGGTCTCGGTGCAGGTGCGCCTATTGTGAGACAATCGAATTTCCTGGTCTAATAAACAAAACCGACCTCCATTCATCCGCCCTAACACAGGCCCCACATCCTCCCCGCATTCCGCGACTTTGGTGGCGGTTGGAACTTAGCCTCTGCCAGGCTTCGGGAGGCGGTTGGAAAGAGTAGAAATCGGCTAGGGAAATAACATTCCAGTGGAGTTGGTCCGCTAGAGAGTAAAGTTTGCTGCACCCGAAGCCTGTACTCAAACAATGTTTAGCGGACCAACTCCTCAGGCACGTTATCCTCAGGCCGCCTCCGGAAGCCTGATAGAGTAGAAAATGCCTGAAAATAGTAGAAATTAGTCAAATACACTGAAAAATAGACCAGAGGTGTTAGTCGGACAAGGGCGTACAGTTTCTAGCTGGCTAACTCCTCTGACATACAATATCAGTCCATTCGACCAATTTCTGCTACTTTTTCAGCAACCTGTAGAGCCTGGTAGAGGCTACGTTGGAACGACTTTAGCGGTGGGAATTGATGAAGAAAATAGTCAAGGATTTATAAGAGGGGGTTTCCGGGGAATATCGCTGATCAACTCGAAGGCCACTTCTTGAAAACCACACACACACACCGGAGGTCGCCGGAAAAAACACTTCATCCGTATTATACCCAGAAAAGAAAACACATGTATCAGAATACTTCGCAGTATGTTTTTCGTACGATTTCCTGTCTCAATATTACCCTCTACCAGGCTTCGGGAGGCGGTCGGAAAGAGTAGAAATCGGCCAAATAGAGAGATAGCATGGCAAGGGAGTTTGGTCCACTGGAGAGAACAGTTCGGGAGCGGCAAACTGTTCTCTCCAGCCGACCAACTCCCTTGGCATGCTATCTCTCTATTTGGCCGATTTCTACTCTTTCCAGCCGCCTCCCGAAGCCTGGTAGAGGCTATATCAAAATAGCAAAAAAGCTTCGCTGTGATTTTGTTTTGCGGTGCTGTTTTGCATCTCCCTGTGTTACTCTGTTCACGATAATGTAAGATGCAAAACAGGTGTCCGTAGTTTTACAGAGATCCATGCCCCCCTCCCACACCGTGACCAAGAGTAATCCTTGTGGCAGAAACAGGATTACGTGAAAAAGCAATCAACACTTTGGCCTCCCTACAACCTTACCTAAATCACAACCAGCGGAACATCGTTACAACAACACGGGTTAGGTAATGATCCAATTAACGGTACTCATGCATCTGTGAGCGCCAGATACCGGGACACATCGTAATCTCCAAGCAGATCCTAGGGTGGCTAAAAAAAGAAAGTATTGAATTGGCCAGTATCCATTGGCGAGAGAGGGTCCAATACACCATCTAATTAAGGTGGTTGGGGTAGCTAGCCTCCTGAGCAGGCCTACGAGCGGGTGGGAGTGTTGATACTGCGTTTTGTAGAATTTTTAACGCGATCTTTTGCCGGCCATCCTACAACCAGCCGCCCTGAGAAGGTTTGTTTCCGTGGCGGGTAGAAAAATCTGGCCATTTATATAAATTAAAGTAAAGATCTTCCCCCATCAACCTCTGCTCGGAGAGTAGACACATCGTTGTTACGTACTCTACAGGTAATCTCCAAGCAGATTCTGTGCGCACGTTTCTCTGTAAATTAAAACTACGGACATCTGTTTGGTATCTTTTATTGTACAAACGCCACGCTTTTCTGAATAAATTCGACAAATGCGAAAAAAAACAACAACCAGAAAAGATCACGACGACAATCAAACTTATTGAAGTTGTTCACTAGCTGCATGTTTCTAAACAGTTGTGATGTAAGGCTTCTCGTTAAAAAAACACCAGGGACGTACTACGTATAATGTCCTGGAAAACACCAATAAAGATCTTCATGTCGCTCAGACTGTACGGACCAGTTTGTGTGGTCTTGTCCCGGCGCAGTGCCACAATTTGCAGGCTGATTGAACTTGGGTCTCCGTTTCTGATTGAAAGCAGCCCTGAAACGAGCCCTTCTCATGTAATTGCCAGCCTCATAATCTCCAAGCAGACGTAACGTTTTTTTTTTTTACTCTTCGTTGCGGGAAGGTAGCTAGCCTGGTATTTCTACGGTGTCGTTTCCAACAAGGAGGTTATAGTGGTTCCAATTAGTTCGACGAGTTTATATACAGGCGGAAAGAATAACCCGGCCCATCAGCATTTTGAGTTTCATGTTGCAATTCGACATTTTTGGTTTTTCTTTGAATATTTTCAAATCAAATTGAAATCAAATCTAATTTATTTTATTCAGTAAGGATCTCGCGGGCACACACACACGAATTTCGTCCTTCAGGATTTACAAGTACAGATCACATTAAAACAATGATTTACTACACTCCTCGTAACATGGTTACACACACAAGTCACTTTACCCTACACGGGGGGGGGGGTAAAAGTGCCCGCGACAACTTTGATGTCGGATAGCGTCTGCTTGCCTTCCCTTCAAATCTTTCATGATTTTCCTTCTGACACCTACTATATTATAGTATTTGCTCCTAAAGTCTTCTTTCTTAACTTTCCTCCCTCCCTGGTTGATAATCTGTGGGTAAGCCGTTTCACACCCGGTAAGACCTAATACAGCCGAGTACGTGTGTGAAGAGGATCTGCTCAATGAGATTTTAACAATACACATCCTGTAAGAATGTGTATTGTTGGAATCTCTCTGGATCTGCAAACAATTTTGTATTTTTTTTTCTCACTTTTCATGGCCCACCACTATCTATCAGTTAAAATGAGGCCTGTTGAAATATGTATAGATATGTTAAGTATATGCGTTAAAAATTAGGGTAGAGATTCCGATCTAGAAGAATCGACGATTCTACTGCCAGATGAGATCGCGCTTAGAGTCTCTGTCACTAACCACGTTCTTAAATCGGGGAAACTTGTTCTTTTGCAATACGGCAACATTTGAAAATAACAATGGATGAAAAAATAGGGTTTCATTTCCCCTTCGGAAGGCCTGTGGAAAGGTGCCGTAACTGCACGAAGAAATGAACTCTACGGTGGACCAAGGAGGTTATCCCTATAACCTCCTTGGGTGGACAACTCTCCTGGCCAATCATTTCCCGTATATGTGCTGGCGGAATTTGGATGTTTTTGACCCTTTGGGTGTTAGTCTGGTGAAGATGACTAGCCCAGTGGGACGCGCTCTTCAGAGGTAAGTCAGAAAATCACCATGAAATCCAACAGACAGGGGACAGACAAGATAATTAAATCAGCGAGGCTGTGGTCCCGATCCTCCCAGTCCCGGTGAAACATCGCGTGTTTGTAGTTTCCCACGTGGAACCCCCGCCTACGTGTTTATCCTTACATCGGGCGGCCACGCGGGGGGTGTTCTTGTTCCCAGGGATGCCTGATGTACTCATCTGTCTGCTCTCGTTCACAGGTTGTCTTCTCATCGAGGACTTAATTTTAAATCATTGCATCCAGTTTGATATGTCTAAATTTTGTTAAGGCGTCCGGAAGCATAGATGTATGGTTCGGACTTTTAGATTCAAGATATTTTGTATGCTGAATGTATATACTAACGCCCAGAGCGTATCGCTTTAAAATGAAACGCACTCTCTCCAAGTTCCCTCTATTCTGAAGTATTAAATCTATTTCTTATTTTGGCGTTGCTTCGCTGCTTCTCATTTCTCAATATCACAAGTTGCTATTATTATTATTATTATTTATTATTCATATATTTCTTGTACACACTTTTGTACATGAAAAACGATCGCCTGCTTGTCCAACTCTCCAACCAAGGTTGATGGGGGAAGATCCTTACCAGGCCTGATCCTTACTTTTTATATATGGCCCTTTTTTTGTCGCTACCCTTGGGTGGCACATGGACCCTCTCTGGCCAATGGATACTGCCTGGCCAATTTGATACTGTCTTTTGCCACCCTAGGATCTGCTTGGAGATTATGCTTGTCCAACGCAAATGTTGGCTTTCCCCGTGGCGGGAGTGAAACCCAACACCCGGACCCGTGGCGCGCCGGCTCGTCTGTTCTTGCGGCCGCGCTAATTGAGGAGGCGTGGCCAGGACCTACCAGAGGTGCAAAATAACAAATTAAAAATAGATGAGCTGCGAAACGGCCCCGTCAGTTGTTTCAAAAACTTACAGGAGCGAGGCAGT